TCATTCAAATATTACGAAAATATGTATTGTATAGAAGATATATACCGGGTGTCCCTTATATACAATGCTAGGCTTATTGGACATCTAAAGTTAAAGCAGAAATTATTTTTCATAAACAAATAAAACTTCTTTGGGACTGATCGGGCAAATTATATTTTTCTTTAAATAGCACTTAACATGTTTCGGAATCTATGAAAGAATCATGGTATTAAACGCACCCTATCAGATAAAATGCCTACCTGTACAATTTCTTTATCATCCAAACTGATAAACAAGTAACAATTTTAAGACACTTTAGATTTATTTAGGTTTTAAAAGTGCCTTAATATTGGTTTTAAAAATTAAAAGTTCTTAAATACTGCTTATTCTCACGCAACGAATTTTGCACTTTTTAAATTATAATAAAATGTCCTATTAATCTTATACTGGTTTTATAGTACTCTTGACATTGGTTATTTTAAAACTATTTTTCTATTTTTAAGGAATAAAATAGCAAGTTGGTTTTAGAACTATCAATTTTGGAACATTAAAACCCGATTATCAGATTTTAGTAAAAAAAATTAAACTTTTAGGATTAATTATAATGATTTTCAAAGTAATTAATCTACCGATAATATATTTTAAATGCAGAACCTCAGTAAATAAGATTTAAAAAGTAAATTTAAAGTTACCTTGAAGAACTCTTTAAGAATATTAAAATTAAAACTAAATTGTTTTAATAAAGTTTTAAAATTTAGTCTTGAAGTTCCTTTCATCCTTATTTTGGTTACACTCGTTATATTATTTTACATACAAACAAATAAAAAATTAAAAATTCCGACTACACCTCTGTGAAAAGCACTAGATATAAATGAAAATGCATTTCCATTCGAAATTGCAGTTGTCGCTACAAAAATATTGCCAGAAATGATTCCCTATGCGACACCTTTTAACTCTCCACTGCTTTATTTATTTACATACATTAGTTTTAATAAAAATGCAACACGTTGTTTCCTCGGATTTATTTGGCATGATAAAATATTCAATTGGGTTATCGAAATAATAAAGGGTTGATAAAAGCAACCGTAGCTTATTCTTTATCAATGATATTTTGGTTCTATACAATCCCTAAAAATTTTTTTATTTGATCTGTGTCAGGTATGGAAGAACGTTTTTTTATACGAAGTATTGCATTGGAATTTTTTCCGCTATAGTTTTAATTTAATTTTAAGTTCTAGCTGTATACACAACTATTGAATCGTCGCAAAACTTATAACCTTACTTTTTTAATTAAGTTTCAACAAAGCACTTGTATACAGGAAAAAAGGATAGGGGGCCCAATACAGTACCTTGAGGTATTCCATATTTGATTTTCCGGCTGGTTTTATACTTAACCTTATTTTCCCTTTATGTAAAATTAAAAGAACAAACGTCTTACCTGTAAGGAAGTTCCTTCTAAATTATATGAGTATACTCATCCAAATAGATATTACACATAACCATGACTCTATGCTTTAATGAACCTTATAGTCTTGAAGTGAAATAATACAAAATAAGTATATAAAAATAAAACCCCTCACATATAGCCATAATAATAATAAATTATAGCACGATTTCTTTTTGAATAAGGTATTTATTATTGAGCGTTATTGAGGTCAAGCTCACAATAATTCTAGTTTAGGGTGCTTAAGAGAACAACTTTTTTTCGTTCAAATACATTTTTTACGCCCTGGTTGTTCTGCTTTGAACCTTTAGGAATTATGAATAAGAATTTGTGTGTGCACGTGTTAGAAACCGTCTTTATCTTTCCCTCCAGGTGTGGAAGTGCATTATTCGAAACACTGTGTGAGAATAAGTTTTTTTTTTAAGATGGCCTTGTAAAGTTTGAATACAACTATATATATTCGGCAACTAATATTATTTTTCTATATAGAACACTTACAGAGAATGTAAGAATGCGTGCATTAGTTATTTTAACCCAAAAGTTTATATTTTATAAAAACATACATTTGTTAAATACTATCAATTTTAGAAAGTATAATAACATAATTTACACGCTACATGTCCCCGTGTTTTTTTTTAATCTTTGCTTGAGCTCCTAGTCCAATTTTTGATAGATATTTGTGTCTTTATTCAGTGGCATAGCCAGAAAGGGAGAGGGAGTTCTCTATTTTGAATTATTTTATTTGCCAATAAATTGAATAAAAAGTAATTTAGATTGTCAGAAAAATATTTACCTTAACATTTTAGAAATTTGGAGAGGGCCGCTCCCTCCGCTCCGGCTACACCCCTGATTTATATAAAAATTCAAACAAGGCGTCTATCGGTTTCATAGCAATTTTTCTTTTTCAATGTAAGAGGACGTCTAGCGGCGCAAACTTTCTAACTCCTGTAAATCGAAAATTATAACTTTTAAATTCTGAGCAGTTTGCTTTACTTTAGAAGGCATTGCGTCCATCAAAGTGCTAAGATACTTATTAATTATTATTCTTGTTTAGGGTTAATTCGGCTATTGTAGTGGATTACTAACATTACGGTAAAATTAGAGTTGTTCAACAACAACAATAACAACAAACCGATGATTAAAAATAAAAATATACAGAATTCAAAATTGACATCCTCGTCCTTAAAGCCTTGAATACGTGCAAAAAATCAATAACTAGTCTTCATAACATAAATTTTTGACGCGAGGTTGTCGAGTCTACCTATGTAGAGTTTTCATACTGTCATGAAATTCCTAAGCCGACCCTGTGTCTAAGGCAAGCGCGACCTTCAGCTAGCACCCGACTCATGCTCGAGGCGACGGAACGTTCTGGGAATGCCGCTGACGCTCGAGAAACGGGTAGAACGGGCGGAGCGTGCCGTTGAGTCAGAGTTGGAACTTTCGGGAGCGTCTAGAGACTTCTCGTAGCAGAGTTGGACTTGGTATAAATAGCCCGACTCATCGTCGGGCAGTTTAGTTTAGTATAGACTATTGGAATGAAAACTTAAATAGAAATAAATAAATAAATTAGAATTGTTAGTTAGTGTCTAAGTATTATATAAATTAATTAGTACGTCTTAAATAAATTGTAAATAGTGTGTTTTAAATAAACTATACATAAATTAGACTATTGTTACATTGGTGTTAGAAGTGGAACTATAAATAAATAGTGGACAATCGTGGCTAAAAAACTGTGTGATTGAAAAGTGTCTGAGCTGCGTCGAGAACTAGAAGATCGTGATCTGGAGACGACAGGGAAGAAAGCAGAACTGGCAGAACGTCTTAAGGAAGCACTAGATAGTGAAGGATTGGATCCGGAAACGTATCTATTTTCGGATGATGCATCTTCTGCAATAATTTCTTCAATTTCTTCCGTGGAAAGTAAAATCTCTTCCTTAAAAATCAAAATGTCTTCTGATATAGCCTCTGTGAAAACCGATATTTCTTCTAACATTTCTTCATTAGAAAATAAAGTTTCTTCAGATGTATCCTCTATCAAAAATAATATTTCCTCATTAGAAACTAAAGTTTCTTCTGACATTACTTCCTTAGAAAGTAACGTTTTGTCTGTTTTCTTCCTTAGAAGAAAAGGTGTCTTCTGATATGTCTTCCGTAAAAAACGAAATATCTTCTTTAGAAACTAAAGTTTCTTCTGATCTCTTCTTTGAAAAGCGAAATCTATGGAAGATAAGATTTCTTCCGTTGAGAATAAAATAATGCCTTCCGTTGAGGAGAAAATAAAAGAAGATAAAAGAACTGGAACATTCAGAACCGGTCAAGGACGGTGAAATAAAGTGTCATGAGGTGGAGTCGAAGTTAAAATTGGAAGGAGCTTTTTTAAAAACCTAAAAAACCTGTACCTGTCCCACCCTGTAGATGTTGCACAGACTAATGTTTCTGAAATTTTGTAAAATAAACTTTATTATATCAGATGCAACATTTTATTTTATCATTAATATTTGTATTACATTATTACCTTGAATTAACTTTGATTCCGTTAATTCAATGTTGTAGTATCGATATTTAACACCTTTCCTGTTAGAACTAATTGAAATTTATAGTATTTCACCTTGTAAAAAGGAAAAAATGTCGTTTAAGAAACCCTTAGTAAAATCACGGTCCAGGTGGCTCATGAACAAAGATCCCAACAGACTTATTGTCCTTAACAAAGCCTCTGGATCTTGTTTCCTGTGCAACTTTCCTCTCTCCTCTCCTATCTTAAGAATCTCAGCAAGAGATTCTCTTTTCTTCGTATTTAGTTGTGCATAAATGTGTGGCCCAAGGATTATATAGGTAGAGGTACTTACAAAAGAAATCATTGCTTTCGATTCGAGAAACATTAAAATTAGGTTGGCCGAATATTAATACAGTTTGTCCTAAGTATTTTTAATTTACTTACATTTACGCTACATATAAAACAAAGCCACTATTCTACCTTTTATCAAACGAAACGATTTCTTTACATAAAAGAAAGTCCATAAGTCGAAGTCGAAACAGAAGTAGTAAAAACTTTACACAACTCATAAAAATAAGGTCGGATTAGCAAGTTTCAAACTCCACCGAAACAATTTTATCAAGACTCCATTTAATTTTCTTTTATTCAGAGATCTCAGTCAACTCGGTGTAATTTTAATCAAACGGAAAATCTTTATTATGGGTATTTGGAGACTACCTTTGAGTTCACAAGAGAACTGCAACATTATTTGATAAAATTTAATGAAAATCTCTTAGAGATTACTTTTTTTCTTTGTTCTTTCATTTTAAGTGTACAATTAGGTATTTTGTTTCAGTTTACTCAGGAATAGAAATTAATCTTAATAATAACAATAAAAAAACTAACAAGTCGATTTAAAGTAGCAATTATGCCTCAAATAAAAAAGTTTGAGTTTAAAAGATGAAAATTTAATCGATAAAAACAACAAATCTTTTTGTCATTTAAATTTAAAAATATTTTACCTTTTATTAGTTTAAATTAAAAATAAAAAATCAAATTCCAATTTCTACTAATTTATTTTGTGTCTAAAAATGATTTTTTCTACTAATTTCATCACAAGATTTGCGTGGCTATAATCTCATTGTTTTAACTAAATTTGAAAGCAGTTTCATTTTTTAATTTTCCTTTATTAATTGTTTATACGTCAATAATTTATTTATATTAAATTTTATCGCTATTTGTCGTTTCCATTGTTTGTAAGAACGTAAAGAAGGAATAAGCCGTCTTCACCATCTGAAACAATATAAAAAGGAAATTCTTCATAAACAATAAACTATAATGATTATACGCACGTCGCAATCCATTACAGTGTTTTCCAAAAAAATTAAAACACATGAAAAAAGGTTTTATTTTTCATAAAACAATTATATTCTTAATAATTTATTTTCCTACACTTGGGAATCCATAATCGAGTATTATTACTTTTAGGTATTCAATGACTCTATTTTTATTTTCTCTGTATACCACCTATATTTTACAAAATATGTTTGATTATAGATTCCTAAGTGATACAGAACATTTTACAAAGAATAATTGTTTTTGTTTTAACATTAAACTTTTTGAGCCATACTATATAATAGATTGCGACGTGCTCTTCGACCTGCAAACCTGCATGAAAATGAAAGCAAAAAAACACTTTTTAAATATGTTTTAGCACGCGTTAATAATTAATGTCAAGATGTCTTATATGAAAAAAATTGACGTATTAGTTAAGCAGGACCACTATGTATGACTCTATTTTGAACGAAATTGGTTATACAGAAGAAATCATTGCTTTTGATAAAGCAATTTCAATAATAATAAATTATAAATATTTACTGCCACTATAGTTTGCCTGTTGATGTCGATAAAACCCATTGCAGAGAGACAAGCCATTTTTTGACTTCTGAATATCATGAAACTGAGGGCCTTCCTCATTTGGATAATGTTCGGTAAATACCATTGGCAATGATAAAATGCCGAATTCGCAACATTTTCAGCCTGAAATATAACAAGAAACAAAAAATAAAGAAATGTCTAGTTAAATTGTATGACTAAACTAAATTAATTCCAGCTCTACCCTCTTTAATAGAACGAAGATTAAATCCAATTAAATTCTAGTTTCCGTTTCTGTGCAAGCGCGTGCATTTACAGAGGAGTATTCAGATTTACGGTTAAAAATATGTAAGTACTAACCTCGTCTACTAGTTTTTGAGCTGGTACACCATATAATAACAAAAACTCAGATGTAAAAGCGCACACCATTGTTCCACAGCGAATTAAATCAACGATAGTGTTATGTCTGAAATTAAATTTTGAGTTTTATGTTTACGATATAAAAACGTACTTACGGTTGTGATAGCACGTACATATTCATGCACAATAATGCTGTAATTATGGATATTAAAAGCGCAAAAAGCCAAGAAAATATTCCATCCAGTTGACGTACGTATCTAAAAAAAAAAAATGGAACCTATATAAAGAAAAAAGGAGGCAATGAATACTCAATAATTGTTGTTCTTTTTCATTTTAATTCTAGTTTTGCAATCATAAAAATAAATTAGATATTAACCCTCAAAAACTATTTTTAACGTAGCTAAACAAATATTAAACTTTTACTTACGAAATTAAAAGATCGTGGTACAGTATATTTTCTTTCAGTTCTTTAGAACACATTTCATGTCCACGTTTATCGCCTTGACTCTTACTTAAATCAAGCTGCCTCATTTTCGCGTTCAAATTGCTGAATTGACCAGCTCCGATGTTGATCGTAATGCAAATAAAGAGATTCATACCCATCACCATCGGCATTGTCACCAAAGTTACATAAAATTCTATTAAATAAGAAATTGCGAATGGTATTTGCTCGATTTTATAATAATAATAAATTGTTGTTCCTTTTACTAGCAGCGGTTTAAATAGAAACATGCAAGTGCTACAAAAAATGTATATAAGCAAATATTTTTGAAGTTTTCTCAGACTTTCTAGTATTTTTGAGTTTTCACTTCCGGCTGGATCTGATTTCCAAAATAATTTCGTGTATTTGATGACTTGTAAAATTTGGTCTTTTTTTATTGTCATAACAAAGAATTTTACCCAAACCTAAAATATTAAATATTTTAAGATTATTATAATTACTTAAGGGGGTTCTCGGATAACGATTAACAGTAGGGTCAAGTGATGTAAAAATGAGACATTTTATGAAACTTTTCATTTTTGAACTGGTATCTTTTTAAAATAAATTTTCAAAAATTGCCATACTATGAAAATTGTGATGCAGAATTACACAAAAACGAGCAATTCAAGGAAATTATTATGGGTTTTGAGACAAATAATAATACCCTTGTCTCATTTTTACCTGCCACTTTGGGTAAATATTAGACAGTGGGTGGGTAAAAATGAGACATAACAGTTTCAGACATTTATAGGACAACGGTGGTCTGGGGCAATACTAAGACACCCTGGTCGAAAAATGAATCACACATTTATATGGGTTTTCTCAATTTTATTTGAAAAATGCAATAAAAACTTAAAAATAATATTACAGAACACTTTTTGGGTCATTTTTACCCCCTACGCCAAATTTTTAATAGGAACAACGTATGTAAAATACAATTAAAACAACACAAATCAGTGTTCGCAAATTAAACAAAAAATAAATTCAACTCTACGTACATTAAATAAAAAAATAAAAACATTTGTTAACTGTTAATAGGAACTTAAATTGCGCTTTGCATATAAAAACAAAATACAAAATAATTAGTTCACATTATATTTATGAATATCAACCAAAAATACCAACTTTTGTGAAACTCTGTACCTCCATGAGTTGTGGGAGCAGGTAATTTCATTACAATGTCGTCCTTTCGTACATCATATTTTTCGGGTATTTGGGGGAATATAAATTTTTCACCTTTTCGGCGCAAATAAGATACAGAAAACCCATCTTCTATAACTGATTCTACTAGCGCAACGTAATGTAACTTCTTTTTTTTTGGACCAAACTTTACCAAAATATAGTACCCAATTTTTATTTCCGCTATTAAATAATTAAATTCCTCGATCTCCTGCTTTTCCATTTCTTCTTCTAATACTTCTTGTAAGGTCATATTTTCAGTGTCGCTTTGTTTTTGATAAGAAATACTTTCAACGTCCGAAGAGGACTCGGCGATTTTTTTCTTTGTTTCTTTTTTTTGTGGCAATTCTTTTTCCTTGATACTATCTGTGGCGTGAGGTGGTAATTTAAACAAAGTGATATTATTTTGCACGGCAAGCTCTTCCATTTTCTTCTGGCTGATCGAATAGACAACTTACCTTCCTTTACTAAGGTAAGCGCCATTTTTAGGTCTTCGTCTGTGTACGGCTTTGCTTTTGGACGTAATTTCTAGGCATTGTGTATTGTAGAACCTATAATGGAAATGGTATATAAATGTCTTATTTTTACCCCATGAAGCGTCTCATATTTACCCAAAGTGGCGTCTTAAATTTACCCCGGCAAAATAACACTTACTCACTCAATGACTCTTAGCAGCAGACTGTCCGGCTCGTTCTCAGAGCGCCGGTACACCTCAGTCTTCAAACTGCGACCTTGATCGGGCGCGCCCGATGAATTACCACCGGCTTGGCAACAAAGTTTGTGCGGCAATTTTAAAAGTTTTGGGCATAAAAATTCGACTTATTGAGTTGTATTAAATTATTTTTCTATAGATTCATATTGTTGTTTGAATAAATATGCAATTGGGATCTACAATATGTAGACTTTATTTCTTCTTGTCTGCATCTCATTCAAATTATTTTTAGCTGTAAAGAATCGACTGTCTCATTTTTACCCAAAATATGTCTTGTCTCATTTTTACACCACTTGACCCTATTTGTTGATTTTTATATTTACCTGCGACAGTACACCAACGGACTCCACTGTAACCAATTCTTTTTCCAAGAACAACCTCAAAATTATTAGCACCGTAATATAAGCTGTGAGTAAAGCATTAAATGTAATTAAAGGTTTAATATATCCCTTAATCGGGTGCAGACCCGCAAAGCCCCACAATAAGAAGATGATTCGAAATTCTTTTTCGTATAAATTTGTTTCAATGGTTTTTTCCATTTTTAGATGCCGATGGATATTCGGTTTCTTTTAAAATGGCGATTTTAAAAACGTAATGACCTAATTTTATATGAAATTATTGTGATTGTTTCGTGTTCTTTAATAGAGTAATTTGGGAACGTAAAATGTATAATTTTCGAATAAAATAGGAAATTTTTAAATTTGTTTATAAAATATTCAGCGACATTTACAAATTTTTCGTTCTCTCTTACCTTGTAGAACATATATAATATATATTAAGTGTAAGGGGTTAAAGAAAAGTTCCTTTATTTCTCACAAGTCAATTTAATTGGCGACCGGTTTCGATCACCCAGCAAACATTTTCTATAACATTAGTTATAACTCGACTTTGTTAAAGACGAATTTACTTATTGAGGTAATTATTACGTAAAATTGACTAGAAAAATATACCTCTAATGTAAATTTACCAAACGGTTTTAATTTATATTTAAATTTACGTAAATTATACCAAGAAATCTACCTTTTGCACAAATCTGCTTAAAAGTAACTTTAACCATATCAGCAAGGGAAAAACTACTAAAAAAAATAACCAACAATTACTTCAAAGTTAAATTTCCTTTGTAGTAAAATTAGGTGCCATATTTAGGTAATATCTACCTGTTTGGCAACTAAAAATCGTCTTTATAGTAGAATATCCAACTAGGTAGATTTGGTTAAAAATTCTACGTAATTTTATGCCTCCATAGTAACCTATTTGGCCGCTTCTATTTACTCTCCTTTAAACTAATATTAGGTCGAGATCGTAGCAAAATTCTACCTGTTTATCTACCTAATTTCAACCAAATAGTCGAATACTCATTCAGTTGATCTATAAGTCATCTTGAAGAAATATTTATTAACTTTGTTGTAGCAGTTACCTGAAAAATCTACCACAAAGTAAATTCGACTAAAAACCACCAATTTAAAAAGAGTCATACATGACCTATTTGTAAAATTTATATTATTTAGGTTATTTTAACAATTAGGTTGTTCAGTTACTGTCTTCGTCATTGTTCTTAAGAATTTCGGCCATTTAAAAAAAAACCATTACAGTCGTAATCTTAATTTACGTGAGGTGTAGATAGAGCTTTAAATGAGTGCGAAAAATAATTAATAAAATGAGTTCGAAAAATAATAAATCATATCGTTATACTTCCGATTTTTATCGTAAAGTGAAACGTCTAAAATCTCAAGTGTAGAACAACGTGACCTAAATATGTCATATTTACCTATAGGTAAATTTTTTATAAAACCTATAAGTTATTATTTCTTTAAATAGGTAAAGTTAACTAATATGTCGTGAAATTGAAGTTAATTCAACTTAGTAAAAAGGTATTTGTAAAATACGTAGATTTCCTTAGTCATAATAACTTTTAGGTCGAATTCGCACAATACGCCATATTTTCTTAACGTAATTAAAGTACGATTCCAAATTTAAAATTTTTAAAATGACCATAACTAAAACATACGAATGAAAATACCGAAAAACGAAACATTATTGATTTTCTAAAGTGATACACAACAAACGTAACATAGTTTTAGCTCATAATATTATTATTATTTTTTTACACGATCATATTTTTTTTCTTATATTTTTTTTTAATTAGAGAGTATTTTGGAAGGGCATTGTTATTTTTCTAAGTAGAACTGTTAACATGCACGACAAAATTTTCTTCGCATTAATTTCAACAAGCGTGAACTGTATCATTTATTAATTTTCAATCTTTCATGTGAATTAGATATATGTTTTAGTTGTGTTGGTGACTTCTTACAATATTTCTACTTATATATAGATAAAAATACCAAATAAGTATAAAATTTCTTTTCGTACACTTGGAGGCATACGTCATCTGCAAATATTTTGGTAGTTTCTACCTAAACTTAGTTAAATCAACGTCGAATTAACGTTATACTGACGTCAAATTTCCCTAGAGAGGTATTACTAACCAAACGTACTGGGCTACTACAATGTGGATTTAGATGTAATTCTACCTATTTTGGTAAATAAAACCAAATTTCGACGTCGTCTTATTCTCCACTTATGTCGAATCCACGTCGAGCCAACGTAAATTTTACTTAATTATGGTTAAATCTAATTTTGCTACCAAATTTATTATATATAATTTAGGTAGTATCGACGTCAAATTACACCAAAATGTTTGCTGGGGCAAGGTGTGCCTGATGATGAAGTGACAGCTTCGAAACCGGTCGCCAATTAAATTGACTTGTGAGAAATAAAGGACATTTTCTTTAACCCCTAACACTTAATCCCTACTACTCACATATGGCTACCCTCACTCCAAATATATAATATATTACATTACGAGTGTGGAAAGTGACATTTTTCACACGAGTGGGAAATATTGTCGCACGAGGCACAAGCCGAGTGCGACTATCACACGAGTGTGGAAAATCACTTTTCACACAAGTGATGTACAATATTTTTCCTACGACCACAAAATATTTTCATCAAAAAATGTAAAACCAGGTTATTATAATAAAATTAAAAATACTTAATAGGTCAATTAGTGATGGCGTCAAATTCAAAATAATGAATAATATGCTCGAATTATCTTCATTATTATTACCAATTGGCTCTCATTCTGCTGGAATTTATTTTCAATGAACAAATATTACACACTAGGAGCAATTTACATTGTGTTGTACATTAAAAAGTTACAATTAGAATTTTCTTATCAAACATCGGGTCGGTGGTATAGCAGTCTAACGCGTTTATATTCATTTATAGACAAGTTTATGGTCCGAGACTGCCGGGCTTCGAATCCCAGACCATGTGGATTTTTAATTAAATTGCATGGTTCGGTATAGGATTTGATGTGTGCTGTATTACGGTGGTAAATGTATTACGGTCCGAACGGATGCCGTAGCCATCTAATCTACAACATGGCTAGGTTTGACATTTAAGCCTTTCGATATTGCAAGAAAATCTTTTTTTAAACTATAGGTGGATATGATACACCCATTTTGTCCAAAAACGCGGAAACTACCTCTTTTCGAGCTTTTGCTTTTGGAACACGATATAAATAATATTTATAAAACCCGAATTTCTTCATAAATTGGCAGGCTTGGCGACTCTACTATTTCGAATAAAAATAGCGTCCAAGTTGCAAGATTATGTCGCTACCCCCTTAGATATATAAGAATTTCCCACTGGCACCTATTGTTTGACAGGTCGTTGGAATGCTTAATTAAGTAAAAAAAATTGCATTCTAATTATAGAAATGATTCCTTTCTTTGTTTATTAATAATTTAAAGTCGCAAAAACATTATATACGAGGGTAGGAAATGAAATATAAATATAACTTTCGTCACTAGAGACGAAAGTTAACGTTGTGAGAATTTCTCTCACTTGCGACCGATATCGCGTTTTCGCTAAAGGTATTCTATTACAAAATGATGTGTTTTTGTAAAGCGTTGTAGAAAAAATAGTTTACTTCATTATTATTTTATAAACGATCGGTTAAAAATACTTAACGATTTTAACTTATAGAATAATTCTGCAGACAATGACTGTGCTGGACCTGGATGAATTCTATAGCTAATACAAATGAATGAACTATAATAATTCGCCCTTCACACAGGAGTAAACAAAGTCAAAAGTCGAATAACCGCTAAACTGAATGAAATCGATAAATAAGCATAAATTTATAGAATGAATAAATTCGCTCGCTCGTAATTGTTTTACCTTTTCATGATAATATGTTTTATTTATAAACTATATAATATATTGATGTGAATTAATGGAGACATCCATTTACAGTAAAAGAAAAGTAATTGTCGATTTATATTTAATTTTTTTTTTATAATAAACTCATGTCAGTACATTTAAATAGTATAGGGCGAGTTAACAGAAGGAATAAATTTGATATTGATTTTTCGAAAAATTCTATAAACAGATCAATTTTGTTTTAAAATTACTTACTTTTTGACGTAATATTTAGATATACGGGGTGATAAGTGTAAATAATAACAAAAATTTACTTATGTAAGGCAAATAAACTTATTACATTACCATGTTGACAATGGAATAGACTTTTAATGTGTAGACTAAAAAATGGGAGTTGCCATTTAAAAAAAAAATCCAATGACGTCACTACATTTACTCGCACCACTCTGTATAACTGAATATTATGTTACCTATTTTTGGAATACATTCCCATTTATTCGAATGTATTCCTTACTTTTGACTCACACTGCATATTTTTCAACGATCAAGGAATGTAAATCATTTCCTACGAGTATGATTTAAAGCATGAGCTGTAAAACATACGAATAGGAAATGTAACCATTCTTTCATGTTTTTTTTGTATCCTTTTATTCCTAATATTTTGATTATTTTGTTTTAGCTGGCGAAAGCACGTACCAGTGTAATCCTATCGAATACTTTTCCGAAGAAGCTTACAGCCCTGATCCAAACGATTCTACATTAGCTATACCGTGTAAGTACAGTTTTTTTTTATGCTAGCTTATTAAAATCAAAAATTAAAGCTGTAATTATATAGGTAGGTTCCTAAAAAGAAAATATTTTCTCCACTGACACTACTGAATGCAGTTCTTCCGAAACCAGTTATAATAACAGAAAGAAAAAATTATTGCTCTTGAAATTGAAAGAAAATTCTGAAACACTTGCTTCTTATGTATTTTACACGTATTTCATTCTAATTCTAGAGATAGAATGTTCATTATGTAATAACTACTGGCCAATGGTTGTGAATACCACGCCCGCATCGTAGATTGTCATGAATTTCATGACTGGGAGTTCTACGCGACGTATTTGTATTTAGTTTAAATTTTCCTGAATAAGGATAAGTTGCGTTTGTTAAGTTGGTCTTAAATTCAAAAATTAGTGAAAATAATGATTCTTTTATTATGGAATTTGATAATATTCCTCCTCAAAGTTTCATTTTACTATATATGTTCAATTCCTACTGTGTCTGTGGCATGGAAAAAGTATATAGACTGTTACTATGCTGGAATATACTATATACCCTGACGATTTTGAACAAAATGAAATAAAAAGGAAAAAATAAAAAAAAATAAGTCTTATTTATATTAGAATATACAATCGGTCCTTGTTGAATAAATGTTTAGAAAAATCAAAATTGATCAACTTTATATCACTCAAGTGTACCTAATATTAAAAATAATCACCGGCGTGAACTTAGCGAACAATTTTTAGCGACTAATTTTCCGAAAATTGCCGAACTGTCAGTGGCGTCGTAATTATTTTAAGAGCGTACCTACAAAATTTTAACGTTTGAACTCGAAATCGTGTACTCCATCCCATATATTATTTCCTTACCACGACTGCCGACGTGCAAGAGGTCTTGAGTGAGTCAGAGTTACCTGAATTAGGGAAACCAGAACCGCATTTAGTTGTTCTTGGTAGCATTGTGAGATATTGTTACGCATTTCGATTTATTAGAGGGTGTTTACAATATTTTTATATTTTAATTTAGTGAGTAGCTGTAGTTAGATTAAATTACATTTAGGAGTATAGAGTTAGTTTTTTTAAGTTGGTAAGTGTATTTTTGTGAAAGATGGGAAAACCTTTCCACATCACGGATTATTTCACTGCAGTGGTGACAACGTCAAAATAGTTAAAGAGGTCAAAAAAGCCCTACATTCAAAATTTTTGTTGCATTGCGTCATCTGCGAAGAAACGTTCAGCATTGTTAGTGAAAATCCTCAAAAGAAAACACTTCGAATTAATGCTTCAGCGGTTAATGGAGCTATTTCGATTGGAATTGGGTCAAGTCAGTTGTCGGAGTTATTAAGCAGTATACCTGAACGGATGTATCGTTATATTCAAAATGATCTGGGGGACTATTACCATGAAGCTTTTTGTAGTTCGATGATAGAAGCTGGAGAAGAGGAAGCTACGTTAGTAAAAGAGAATGGGAAAGTTGATAAGAATGGTTATCCATTAATAACGGTAGTAGATGACGGATCTTGGGCGAAACGGTTTGATAAGACTAATAATAGTTCAAACTCAGGAGCAGGTGCGATTATAGGATATCGCACTAAAAAAATTTTATATTTAGGTATAAAAAACAAATACTGTCATTTTGTAAATTGTTTGGCGAAGAGAAGGACTACAGATGCTACAAAAATTGGGATTGGTCTTCAACTGAAATGGAAAGTAAGACTATTTTAGATGGATTTCACTGTAGTATGTATATGCACGGATTGAGATATAATTATCTTATTGCTGATGGGGAAAAAATATTAGAAAGCAAGCCTTATGGTAACACGGTAGTAGAAAAAATTGAATATCGAAACCATTTGTTGAGAAACTATTGTGCACGTTTGCGGGATATTGCAGCAAAGAGGTACAGTACCGCAGGAAAGTTAGTTCCAGTCAAATTGGGTAGTTTGTTAAAATTTAATATTTTAACGCTACGAATTGCTATCGACAAAGCTGCTAAACACCATCAAGAATCAGAAGTTGCAATGGAGAAAATACAATTTTGAGTTTGAGAGTAGTCAAGAAAAAAAGATTATACAGGGCCATTCAAAAATTAATAATAAATTCTAGTACTTTTTTGGTATTACATTTTTCTAATCTATCACTATTTTATGATGTCTATTACGTTTTTTCTTGCTCAAAATTACCAAAAATTATATACAAGATCCTCTCAAGATTAGACTATAATTTTACTTTATTTTGTTTTAGATGCTGTCTCCAAATCAATTGTATTCATATTCGTTGGAAGCGCGTTCGTTGTAATTGGTTACATCGTTTGCATTCTAGGACAATGTTTAACTACGACCGCAAGATTTACATTAATCGCGGGGATAATTTTTATACAAACAGGTAAGTTAACCATCACAGCTCGGCAGTATGAATTCTGTCATGGTTTGCATATTTGAAGGAGCTCGCAGAACGAGGGACTATCTGTATTTGTAACGTGTGGAGGGTGGGTTACCCCCCACGGCACTTAGGCTTCACTAGGCCTATTGTGCATCCTTCTAAGATGATAGGCACCTCCTAGCTCGTGCGCCAGCCTACATATTAACTCAGGGACTATCTAGACCAGCCATACTCAACCTGCGGCCCTCCAAGCTTTTTTGCTGCCCGAAACATTATTTAGAAGGGGCTTTTTAAAACTAAAGGTTTCTGTTTTTAAAAACTGGGACGAAATGTGCGAAAACATTTATCGGCCACAGCACTAAATATTACGTTAATTTTTAAATAAACGTTTGGGTCTTGCGGATACTGCAAAAGACAAGATATCTCCACTTTTGTCAGTTTTAAGAGCACTTTCGTCTCCAAAATAGTTCAAATAATATATGGCATAAACAAGACAAGTGTGATGAAGTTTATATTTATAATAAACAGATGGCCAATAAAAACTAACTCCATATTAATACAATCACAATATGCACAAACAAGATGAGTGACATACCGAAACATTATAACATTGTGTTCAATTGCTAATAGTGTATCTACCAAAACCAGATAAGAGACATAACTTATTTTTGCTAAATGTAGTCCGATTTCTAATAGTGTTTTTGCCGAAACAAGGTAAAGGCCAGAACACTTATTTTTGTTTTGTTTTGCTTAGAGCCGTCTCCAGCATTTCTCGATTGTTCCGAAATCATCAGGATAATTAAGTCACCCTTTCTCTCAGCGATTCAGCTAACCTTCAAAAACCAATAGAAGGATGCCTGAAAGGGTAAAAAAATAGCTCTGAAAATAATTACAAAAAAGTGCAAGAAGAAAGATTTACTGAAAACTTTGCAAATCAGGTGCTACACCTGATGAATTTCACAATTATTATATTATGACCTGTATGTAGAGAGCTAAAATAGGCTAAGTGACGTTTTTCTCTTTTTTTTTCTTGTTACCAACCAATCAATTCTTAGTTTATATTTCGTGAAGACTAATTATGTTTTGAATACCTTTTTTAATTGGAGTTCTTGTTTATTAAACAGTTTAAAGCTTTTAGTGATTTTTTATTAAATTTTTACCTTTTAAATTTATGTTTTGTGTTTTATTTATTAGAGATCCCCACTAACTAATTTTAAATGGATTACCAAAAAAAATATTGCCGCCCGTGTAACATAGCAAACATACGAATGTGGCTCGAAAGAGAAAAAGGTTGAGTATGGCTGATCTAGACGGTGGAAATGTATGAGTTGAATGAATGAGAAGAAGTAGGGCATGTCAGAAATGGTATATATACGATTTTAATGTGATATAGCGTTAGATCTTGGACAAAAAAAGGGCGAAGGGAGTAGAGAAGACACTCTCATCAGTGGGGACGACACCCTCATTGATGGCAGAGATCGTACTAATCCAGAAACCAGGTAAAAGGACTTGTCTGTAAAGGTATTTTATCACAGTAGTGACAAAGTAACCATAATAATAAATATTTTTGTCTTTCAGTATTTATGAGGCGAAATCTCGTCCCAATTTGAGCACACCTTGAATTTGGGACGAGGCGACAAGACATAGTAACACCTTCTAGTTACTTCGCAGTGGATGGGCCTGTACCACCTCCGGAAGTATTAAGATTAGAGGAGTACTGTCTAGAGAACAAATCTACCATTACCTCTTGGATGCGAAGCTAACGCGCGCAGTACCATATGGGGTAAGCAATTTCTAGAATATGTAAGAAATAAGAAAGTGCATAGTATTGGGAATGATCCCACATTTGTAACAAGGGTAAAAAGTGAAATATTAATAAGTACATCAAGAAGCATTAAAGATCTAGTTAAAAACTGGAAAGTATATTAAGTTAGAGGGCGATGATACCCCTGAGACCATCCTCAGGAGAAATCTTAGAAACCAGACTGGGACAAATGCAACACCATTCTAAAACAAAACTTAACAGACTAAAAAGGAGCCGCGACCTTCACTAGTTCTACAAAGTGATCTCGGCGAACTCAATTTGTTAAAAACTAGCGGTATTTATTGACAATTTTCTCTTGGTTGATTGATCTAACAATTATCATTTTATTATGTAATTTACCTTCTCATTAGTCGAGTCTATGTACATAATCCCTGGAAAATAGAATACTTCGGAGATTCATCTTTTAGAATTATTTAACTAAATATCAATTTCAATATTTATTGGGTAAATTTATTATAAAGGAACATAAGTTTGAGGTTTGTCTTTTATTTCTTTCATTTATTGAGTTTGTGGGGAAATACTAGCATAGGTTGGCCAATATTGAAACTTAGTTGGCGCCCTTTAAATTTGTCTACTATTTCCGGAATTTTTAAATGGTACACATCCTCTAGCTACTTTCTAAGCGAAGCCGAAGGCCCGAAAGTTGACACCGTAACAACAAAAACTCATGTGACAGAATAAACAAACATTTTATTGATAAATGATTAATAATCAGATTTTTTTTTTCTTCTTAAAACGGCCTAAGGAATCAGACTTTAAAGTTTTGTACCGTAGTTAGGAAACTCCCTATGTATCACAAGGGGGTGAAGTAATCGCATAGTCGATTTCAGAGTTGTAGAATAATGATGCAGAGCCGGCGCAAGATGCAGTGCTGCAGGGGCGGCGCAAGGTGCATCTCAACACTACCCAATTAACATCAAAAAGAACCGACACCACTGAGAATAGAGAATCTTTGCTCTCATTCAAAATTAAAAATAACGATATTTAACATGAACTCTATACTCTATTACAAAAATAAAACTAATATTGACCCTTTTACACTATATAACAATACACATTTATTTGCTTAAGGACCGATCTTTTCACCTTTGATTAAAGTTACATGTAAGGATATATGACAGATTAGCGAATAATAGCCTATAGTTTAATCAGCAAGTAGTTACTTTCAACTTTACTCAAACGTGAAAAAAATGGTCTTAAGTATTATTTAATTACCTACACTAATGAGAATATTTTTGTTTCTTTTAGGTTTGGCTATGCTGTGCGGCCTCATTATGTATATAGCCGTATTTAAATCGGAAGTGGGCAGCAAATTGCGACCAAGATCCCAACTCCAACCACCGTCCTTCGACTACTTCTACGGCTTTTCGTTCATCATTTACGTCACAGGCGTAGTTTGTACCAAATTCACAGGAGTGTTTTGCGTGTTTTCCTTCATCAACAAAACTCAATACGACTGGAAGAGGAAATGGATTATCGAAACGCCTCCGGTAGAAAATTATTCGCATTCGCATCAATATAAAGAACGTAGAAGAATAAATTCGTGTACTATGCATCCGGATTCTTATATAGATTCGAATAGGAGTTACATCTACCCTCTTACTAATCACAATCATATGAGTGCTGTTGGTTATTCATCTAGTTACTCAAATACTTTACCGTGTAATTTACACCCATCCCAATCTAATTCTTTAAAGGATATGTCTTACTTTCCGGATATGTTCTCCCCTTCAAGCATATCATACAGATTTCCGCATCATTTAAGTACAAATAACATTGACAAATTCACTACTTTCCAAAGAGAAGCGAGTACTTTTCCTAGAGATCCAACTACGAATACGGTCAGCACGACGGCTGATGTAGTTTGTGAATATAACGAGGATTATTCGCCGATGCACGAGCAGGAATTTGCTAGATTCGATTTGGATCAACCGTTTAACGTTCGAACTCCGAGCGTTGCGAGTTTATGCGAAAAGGAGAGACGAAGTTATCAAAGTGATACGTTGAGACGAACTACACCGGTGTGAAAGTTTTTTATGGATTGTATTCTGTTAGACTTGTGAATTGTTACCGGTGGTGTCAAGAATTTTTATTATATTTGTTCGTATTGAATTTTATGTACAAAATATATGACGTTTACTCTGAAATAATAAATGATTTGTATTATTCGATTCTTTTTCCTCAATAAGTATAATTTCCAGTCAATAATTTTGATTATTTTTAGTTCCAAAATATGCACACCTCGTCGTTATTTGTAACGGTCGTTGCGTCCTCGAATGAATGTTTTAAATGCATGTAGCTACTTATATTTGTATAAATAATTTATCTTTATTATCGGAATAACGAAGACGTGTTGGAAGGGTTTGCTAGATACATTTCATGCGAAATAATAGAGAGCTATAGTTGCAAACCTTTAAACTTAAATTGTGAAATATTAGCCAAATGTTACTTAACACATGTGTGCTCTAAACCATCGACAAGTGAGTTTATAGCATTATACAGGTTAGGAAAAAGGTATACGAGCCATAGGGTTTTGACATTTTGTGTACACCAATATCTACATAACTAATTATCATTTCTCCTGCGTTCTACATCAAGCAACTAAATTTTAGTAATGTTACCTTTAATTAATTAAAGACAATATTTTAGTAGATTTCTCCGGATTGTAGAACTAAGAATTATTCACAAGTGACAAATAATCTATAATTCTTCAAATAACTAGTATGTAGTTAATTTCTAAGTCATTATGGCTTTGAAAATAAAATAAATATACAAAATGATAAAAATAAAAGTAAAATATGTATTTTCCATACACATTTTACTCATAACAAAAATACTGATAAATTAAAATTTTACACTTTTCCTCAATTCTTTCCATTACGGTCCATTTTAGAGAAATCATGTATAGAATAAAAATTATAGGAAATGATATATTGCAAATAACTTTTATTTTTCAAGTTCTTCTAGAGTAAATAACAGAATATATCCCATAAAGTAGAAAAATGATTCCCTATTAAGTATCAAACTAAAACTGAAAATGATTGGTTGTATTTGCAAATTGATCCTCTTTTACAGTTTCCATTTGCATAGAAGTAACAAGTGACCGTCTTCTGTGTAATCTGGACACTGGGCGAATGGCTGCATTATTTGAACCCTGGTATCTTGGAAGATTGTCACCATGTTTCTAATAATCCTTCAATTCAACTAGTTGCACTCTATTTTTGGCATGGCTAATTTATGTACATTGAACTTCAGTCACATACTTTGATTACTATACGGTGCAAGAGAGACGTCCGACACGCCCAAAATAGGGCGCGGCCATTTTGATGCAATTACTACTAGGTTAAGCAACACATTTTTCCAAAATGTTAAACTGGTAGCCTACATCTTGACATTTTAAAGAAGGTAACAAATGTAGAAGAAACGTTTATTTATTTAAAATAATATACAAGAAACTTCTTTCAAGTAAAGTTATAATAATTGCGAGTGCATCTTGAAATAGAGATGAGTGGTTTTAAATTATTTCTAAACCTATGTATGATTTTACCTTAATATTATGATATTTTTTGCCAGTCCCATGTCCATGAACAAACATTTTATTTTTGTAATGTAATAAAAATCTTTGAGGCTAAACAATGTAATATTAAATTTTGCATTCTTTCAGCTGTAAATATGGTGCGAAACTAAAAAATAATAAGGAACATTTTCATTGTTTCTTTTATATTTCTTAAAGGAATAAAACCGACAAGAATATTTAAATATTTTTTTTTTATAAATATTATTGTTTAAATAAAACATATTGTTTGGGGATAATAACATTTCCAATACCTGCTACCAATTAATTTGTTCCGTTTTCTTTAAAAATTTAATATCATAATTAAAACTCAGCCACCGGCCTGATATAGTAAACTTCATTCATCCTTTTGATTTATTTCATCTGTAAATAATTAATAAACGTCTGATTGAGCTCCGTCCTGTCACAGCTATCGTTCCGCAACCGTTATTTTTTTGTTTAGGGTTATGATGACCGATAAAGGGGGTGGGCTTTGAAATATTTTTATCTTACAACAATTGTTAAGGAATACATGTATTAATCGACCTTTCCTCTTTCTTTTTCAGCTTCCGAATAATTTTACGTAACAATAACGATTAAAGCCCGTTATTGCTACCTTCTTTTGTTCATAGTCTAATATCGTCACCTCCACTAGAAGCTGCCCCAGTTGTGGAGCAAACCACATTAATAAAACTGACGCTCAAGTGCTTTCGAGCCCTAGGGTGTCACTTTGTAAGGGTTATATTTTCTTAGAAGCAAGAAAACGTCTTACAAGCAAGCAAAAAAGCAAAAGATAGTTGGTTTTTATCTTATAATTTATCTGAGACAGACACGTTGAATTTGTATAACAGTTATATGTAGTCGTTAAATTTTTAACTAAAATAGATGTATTGTTCATCTACAAATGAGTCTTCTTTCAGTTGTTTCACACTAAGAAATTGCTGAATATTTTCTATTCAAGAAAATACCCCTATGGGTATTACTGCCACCACCTCCACCAATATTCTCGTTTTCAAAGGTTTTTAATTGTATTATCAATAGATTGTCAGTGTAGATTTTCAAAACTGTTGAATATTTCCCTACTTTCTGCTTCTATAGCAATCGATGGTCTAGCTATGCTTTTCTTAGTCCGTCGACTTAATATTGTAAAAAGGATGTCGACATATGGCGGCTCTAAAGCCTTCTTTATTTCCACCATTAACAATTATGTATCGAATGTCATATTTTCTGTTTTTTTACTTGCAGTTGCCATCGTTCCATCTTGCTTTTTCTGTCACTTCCCTTGCTTTATATCCACGTCTCATCTATAAATACAGCCTTAAAGTTACCAAGCTCTATCTCCTTGTTAAAATTTTTCAAAAACGAAATTTTTTTAACTCAATCGATATTCGTTCTTACTTCTTTTAAGGCGAAAGCCAATTTTTCGAATCTATATATTAATTGACCATGCAGAACATTTCATATCAAGCATTTCTTCCGAAAATCGTTTTTGTAACTATTTCATTGTTACATGTTGCGCATCTCCGTATATCTTATATATAACTTGCCCCAACTTACCTAATATTAAAGAGTTGACATTTGTTTTACTTTGGCTTACTTTTTTAAACGTTATTTTCACATACTCTGTGACAACTATCGGAAAGAGGGCAACGCAGTGTGTTGATGTCCCATTAGAAATGCATTGCTTATGCTTGACAATACTGCATTCTCAGTGTATTCGGAGTCCTATGGTCCTACGTCATGCAGCTTAATCCGAAAAAAAAGTTGCTCTTAAAATATGCAATCCGCGTTCAAAAATTTGCATTCATGTTGAAAATATTGAACTTTAAATTTTGCAGTTATTTTAAATAGTAAGCCTCGATGCCCCACTTAATCGAATGCTTTTGAGATATCAAGAAATATAATGAATAAATATAGGGTTGCTATTTGAAAAATTAATGTTAAGGGTGGTTTCTAGCGGCCAATGATTTCAAGTCACCTTGTAAAAGATTTATTTATCCCACAAATATACACAATGCATTTTTTTATTTTATCTTTTTAAATAATTTATAAAGGGACGTTATCTCACATACGTATCATCCCACTACCCCTCCCCATTTTTTGAGTACAGTAGAGCGTTGATAATCCGGATTAATTGTGACCGACTCCTCTCCGGATTATCAAAATGTCAGAATTTTCGAAAAAGGACCAAAAAAATGTCGTTCAAAACAAAAAGAGAATATGCTTAAATAATTCCATTTTGAGGTTAAATAATTGAGCAGATAAATAAAACCATTAATTAATATGAACTTTGACGTCCGGATTATCGATGCTCTACTGTATATCCATAACAAAAAAAGTTACTTTTTGATATATTTTGATTTAAATTTTTTATAGTATATTTTATTCACTACGAAAAATCAAGGTGCTAGTATCTATGGATGAAAAGTATGTGGAATTATACCCCAATACTTAAATTTTACCGGAAATAAAGCTATCCGAAGTTTTCGTGCGTACTCCCGGTATAAATAAATCTTGGTTCAATTTTTTGCCAAAAAAAAGGCTGGAAAAGTGGGAAATTTCGACAATTTACAGTTCATTATACCCGAACAGAAAACCAAATAATTTCAGCTCCTTTATTCCAAAAACAAGCCCCGATTTTCCTGGAGAGATGCATCTCCTGCGCACTTGCGCCACGGTCTTTCCAAGGGGGTTTGGCTCTTATTATTGTCAGTCATTCCCGTGCAGCCGACGTAGCGTCTGGCATGCCGACTGCCGAACGAAAAAAACACTATGGCCTCGGCAAACACTTCCATCCGTTGCTTGGACGGTCTATTACTCCCCTGCTGGCGTCCTCTGGATAACGTACAATTTTTAGATCGCGCCGGACGTGGATTCGTTTATTTCTTAGCCCTCGCATACCTTTTCATCGGCGTTTCAATCATTTCAGATCGCTTTATGGCTGCAATCGAAGTGATTACGTCTCAAGAACGTGAAGTCTCAGTTAGAAAACCGAATGGGGATACTCAAATTGTTGTGGTAAGGATGTGGAATGAAACTGTCGCTAATTTGACTCTGATGGCTTTGGGATCCAGTGCTCCAGAAATTCTGCTTTCTGTTATCGAAATTTACGCCAAAAATTTCGAAGCTGGAGAACTTGGACCTGGTACTATCGTGGGTTCAGCTGCTTATAACCTCTTAGTAATAATCGCTATATGTGTATCAATGATTCCCGAGGGAGAAGTTAGAAGAATTAAACATCTTGGTGTATTTTTCGTAACTGCCACTTGGTCTATATTCGCTTACGTTTGGTTGTATCTAATTCTATGTGTATTCTCACCAGGAAAGGTTGAAATATGGGAAGGCTTACTAACATTCTCTTTCTTCCCATTAACAGTACTAACAGCTTACGCAGCTGATAGAAAGATGTACAAATATATCAGCAAAGATTACAGAATGAACAGGCGTGGAGTAATAGTTCAAGCAGAAAGAAACAATTTAGAAATGGGTAATTCTGAACTACTAGCCCTGGACGATGTTCATGAAGATATCAAACAAGAATATATCAACACATTAAAAGAATTACGACATCAAAACCCCCACGCCGATCTAGGCGTACTAGAAAAAATGACTCACGAAATTCTTTTAAACAGAGGTCCAAAATCTAGAGCTTTCTATCGAATTCAAGCTACAAGGAAATTCATTGGTAGCGGTGATCTATTAAGAAGGATATCAGAAAGAGCGCAAAGTGACTTGAGTGAAGTTAAAGCTGAATTGCAAAGAGAATCCGGTGCAGCCGAGTACAATCAAACGGCTTGCCGGGCTTACTTCGAGCCTTCCAAGTATACGGTGCTAGAAAGTTGCGGTAGATTCGAAGTAAGGATTGTTAGAGTTGGGAATATCGACTGTCCGTTAACCGTTGAATATACTACTGAAGATGGTACCGCACAAGCCGGTAGTGATTATGTATCTGCTAAAGGAAGTGTGCATTTTGGGGCTGGAGAAAAAGAAAAAAGGTTTGTTTTGTACTTTTTTTTTGTTAATTAAATATGTAAGGGGATAATTTTTGCTTAAATGAAGGGCCTAAAGTACTTAAAATTCGTTCTGATTACATTACGATATTCTGTCAAATAAAAACGTTACTAGGAGATAAAAGACAGTACAAGAAAGGTCAAAATATCGTCAAAATATATTTACAGTTTTTACTTTCCTGTCTGTACACAGATAAGGAAAGTATAGAATTCATGATTTAAAATTTAAGCTTTAATCCATCTTTGGGCATAGTCGAAGCATCTGGGGGTACTTTATATGATGTCGTTTTTATTAGTTTGAGGGATATCTCTGTTATTTACGATTGGAGAAGAAAATTTTTCAAATAAAAGTTGCTTGCAATATTATTCTATATAATTTTCATCCTTTATATAATTTGCCTAAAATGGTCCATATTCGATATATTTGAAAAAATATGCAAATTTCGAATTTTAAATTTACTCCATTCTGCGGTGGGCTGATTAAATTTTGGGAAGCATGTGGAGATAATATACTTTATAGTGCGTCGTTTTTTACTTTAAGATCGAAATATCTGTTATTTACGATTGAAGAAGAACATTCTTCAAATAAAAGTTGTTTGCCATATCATTCTTTACATTTTTTGTTATATATATGATTTTTCTAAAATGGACCGGAATAGAAAAATTTAAGGAAGGGCAATTTTTTTGAAATGAATATAAATAAAAAAATGTGTTGAACATATCAGATTTTTACTTATAACAAAACAAATGCAACCATGAAAGAACTTTTTGCATATTATATAGGGTGTCATAAATATACCAAAAAAACGTTTGGGGGTGATAAGAGACATCAAAATGCATTTTTCTTTTCTTAATAAACATATTTCCGAAAACGCTTCGCTTAATGTATAAATCTAAAGAAAAAAATATGATATATTACATCAAACAAGACTTTACTTCAATTAGTAGTTAACAGTATAAATCAAATTATATCCATTGACGTAAAATAGATCAGAAAAAATTATTTCATGTTTCACCTAATTTAAAAAAATTAAAAGTTTAAATAAGCATTGTAGAACTATTTAAAATTCATCAATGCTTTTATTGATGCTCCGAATGTTCATTTGCATTATTAGTAAATATTTTGCTAGTTATCTTTTAATATTATTTTAAATTTATTAACTGTGTCAATACTAAAAGTCGTGAGCTGGTTCCGTATCGAATTCTCGCATGTATTGATCCATTGATTAAAATTAATGTTCGAAACAAATTTTGATTCAATTATTTGTTACAAATTGAAGATATTAAAAATCGTATATAGATCAAAAGAAAAGAAAACGTATGTAAAGAATATACGATAAAACACACTTGTAGGTATTTTTCTTTTAATAATTTTTATTTAAAGAAAAATATACTTAATTTTTCAACTATTATTTGATAATTGGGGTAAATCAATTTATTATATTTACAGATTATTACGATAAGTATCATTAATATGTCTGCGAAATAGGTAGGTATTTATTCCATTGGGAAACTACCTGGGGGGCTATTTTCAAAGTATGGGAGCACTCATTTCTTTCAAGATTCTCATCAGAAATGTCATAATATGTCAATGTGGAAACGCTGTTTTTAAAGGCCTCGAGGATTAAAATTATCTCTAAATAAACCGAGAAAAAAGTCAGTGAATTCACACTGGCCCTAAGAGCCCTAAAAATACTGTTTTATGTTGACGTATGACATTTCTACACTCTATTTGTAGGGACGCGGTGAGGAGACGAAAGGTGAGAAGTAAGAGAGGGGATAAAGAGAAGAATTTTACACAGATAGAACTTATATAAATGTATAAGCCGCTGTACGCTTATAATAAACAATGTAAAAATTCATGCCGGTGTAAGCCCTGTTGCCACTTCCAACCTAACGTGAGTAGGTTTTGGAATTTATTTATTTATAATTTATTTCAGACGTACTAATTAATTTATATAATACTTAGACACTAACTAACAATTCTAATTTATTTATTACACTTTAACTTTTCATTACAAAACACTAAACTAAACTGTGCGCAGATGAGTCGGCTATTTATACCAAGCCAATTCTGTGCTCGTAGTTTCTAGACGCTCCCGAAAATTCCATCTCTAAAACTCAACGGCAGTTTCTCGAAGCGTCAACGGCATACCTAGAAGATTCCATCATTTCGAGCATGATACTTTCAAGGTCACGCTGCACAGGGTTGACTCCGCGTCACATTAATATAACTAATGATTCAAAATTTTTAGGTTCAGTTGCAATAAAATAGGTTGAATTATAATAGCTTTCTTAATATATGTAAATAATTTTTAAAACAAAACAAGAATAATGAAATAGGGATATGACAACGGCGGATATTATACCCTCCTGTGTCCCTCAGAATATCTTATTCGGGACCGCATGATATTTTTTAGTAGTTACATCTCCCGTTTTCTCTGGTTAATTCTTTTTTGAGCACCGTGTTGATGTCAAACTTTATTTGCGAAGAATTATCATTACTGCCTTAATGATAAATATAAATGATCTCCTGTGGAAGGAAGTAGAAATAAAAGCAGATATCTTTCTCGTACAGACCGCAGAAGTTTTGTTCACACTTCGTGGTTTTATTATACACGCCATTGTGGGGACGAACTTTCCGGATAACACAATATAAGCTGCCTTTTGTTGAAATTGATCTATTCTTTGTTAAATTAATCATAAAGTTTGTTTTTCAGAACGAACTTTATTGACGTATTTATTAATTGAGGTATATTTAATGTTCAGTAAATATTTTGTAAATATACGAGTGTAATAATTTCACTTGGTGGAACAAAAAACTGTTAGTAATTCTCTTTTTACCGACAACACGGTTTATATAAAGTTAAGATTTATTTTTTTTTTCGTACTGCTTGTAATTGTAGTTTTTTAATTATAACTATTATTAAAATCACAAATTTATCGTTAAATTAATTATATACAAAAACGACATAAACAAGTAAACAAACTTTTGTTTTTTATCAGGTAGGTGTTAATTGTTATATTTATTGCATCTGTTTGTGTTTTACACAATACTGTTTAAAAAAAAGCGACCGAATGTCAAAATTTTAAAGAAATTAAACTTATATTAAATTTTTGTTATATACAGGGTGAAACCTGTTTTTAACTGTATAGACAGCCTTTTCAAAAAAAAATTCAGTTAAAAAAACTGGAGTTCTTATCTAATAACAAGTCCCCGGCGACAACATTATTATTTAAAACGTGTTCTTCCAAATGCACTTAATTTGCATAATCGTAAAAAATGAAAAAGCACACAAACTTAGACAGAATAATTTGTTTAATTTTTCGTACACAAGTTCAGGTCTGGTTTTAAATTATTTAATTCTTTATTTTTCTTATTTTTGAGTTTTTTTAAGTTATTTAAAAAATATGTTTAATTTAAAGATTTCTATACAAAGTATCAATTTAGGATTCACCCTGTTTATAGTGTTTATGCGTGGTAATATACAGTGTGGGTCTAAAGTCAGTCCCTCCATTTATTTTTTGAACCGTAAAAGTTAGAAAATTGAAATTTTGGGCAACAACTAAGGAAAAAAAAAAAAAAAAAAAAAAAACTAAGGAATATATACTACCTTTTTAATAATATTAGATGACGTATTCATTAAAAATGGCGTACGGGAGCCGTTTTGAAAGATAATTTTAAATGGGGATCATATGACAAGTGATGCATAATTTGAAATCTTATTACAAACCATTTCCAATGACATCAATAAAAATAAAATTTTTAAGGTTCATTTTTAAGATTCATTTGAGGGGGTGGGTGGCTCAGTCTTTGCCTGTGGATCCAAGGGTCCCAGGTTCGAATCAAACCATTGGCCGGGATTTTTTTATTTAATATAATTATTTAAAATTAATTCTGATGCCTTGGTAGGATTCCCCACTCGACCATTCACTGTTGGGTTCTAATTAACAGTGCTGTTCCTAAAGTGGCGCTGGGAAAAAGTAACAAAGCCTACACAGAACACGAGGCTAATAACCTTAGTAGTTGATGCCGATGACAAAAAAAAAGATTCATTTGCTTTAAATTTTTCATTGCTATCAACTTTTACCTACAAATTTTTAACCTTGTTGTGCTATTCTCGTTTAAAATCAAAAATTTTTTATGAGTTTATATCTTAATTTCAAATTTCTAACTTTTACGATTCAAAACATTAATAGGGGGGAGAGACTTTAGACCCAACACTGTATAAAATTTCCATTAACTTTGGAGCCAACCCTGTTTATTACTTCTTGGTGTGGGTTTTTATATGGACTTCGCGATAAACTATATTGATTGTGCTTACATGTATGATTTACATTTCATATCAGTTTGCGTTTTATCCAAAAATTTCTCTAAGACAACATTTTTTATTGGAAACAAAAGTAACCTTTTAATATATTGTCCTTCTACAACAAATCAATTACTATCTACAAAAAGTTTATATAAACTATAAATAACCTACCTAATTTGAAAATAGAATTTGTGTCATTTCATGGTAAAAATGTAAGCAGAGCACCTAGGGAATATTGAGTTTAAAATTATGCCATATTTGTAGGCTATTTTTATATCATATTTAAAAATGTTATTTTTGTAAAATATGGTGTACGCTTTGCTTATTTTAAATGAAGTCCATAGAGCATCTCGATTTTGTTAATGAAAACTTGGTATTCTATATTATACACTTGGTAATGACTGTTCTTCTTGTTCAAATAATTCTGAAAGATCGTAATTTTGTTCAATTTAAAGAGTTTTTTCGGCACTCAAACTTTGTGATTTAAATTCACGTGTAAACATGTAACAAACAATAAAAAAATTTTTGTGTAGGCACTATTTGTTAATAATGTAAATGTTTAGAGGATGCACTAAATACATACATTTTTCACACACATCTTACTCCGAAAATACTGAATAATAAAAATTTTGCACTTTTTATCGAATTTTTCTATAAAACAAAAATTAAAGAGAATGCAGGAACACTTTTTTATTAAAAAAAAAAATCATAAAAATTCGAATTTTGCACTTTTTGTCAAATTTCTCGAATACTGACAATTTTGGAAAAATATGTATACGACAAAAATTATAGAGAATAACATAACAAGTAACTTTTATTAGAAGAATTTTCTTCTCTAGACGTAACCAACAGCTATATTACATACAGTAGGAAAAGTACCCCCTTTAAGTTAAGTGAAACCATGCTGGTGAATATCCACAGGGGATGCCCACAGGGTGGAGTCCTTTCTCATCTACCGTGGAACCTAGTGGCAGATGAACTGCTGAAAACACTGAACAATCAAGGGTTGTACGCTCAAGGATATGCCGAGGGAAACACCAAACCATACTGTTCAAACTCTTGCAAAGAGCTCTTAGGCTGACGGAAATGTGGTGCGTTAGGGAAAACCTCTTGGTAAACCCTGACAAGGCACAACTCATAACCTTTACTCGGAAAACAGAGTTGGAGGTCTTAGAAACTCCGACTTTGTTTGGAGAAAGGCTAAAAAAACAAGCCAAGTAAAATATCTGGGTCTAATCCATAGAAATAATATTTCTATGGTCTAATCCTAGATAGCAAACTTACTTGGAACCAATACTTACAAAAAGTGGCCAATAAATGTAAAATGTCTCTCATAGTAGGGAAACGGGCATTTGATAAAACATGGGATTAAAACCAAAAATGGTCCACTGGCTATATTTGACAATAACAAAACCCATGATAACTTATGGAGCGGTTGTTGGGTGGCCAAAAGTAAAGCAGAAAACAGCCCTCAATACCCTCTCAGGAGTTCAGAGACTGGCATGCCTTTGTATTACAGGAGCACTGAGAAGTACACCAACAGCCTCTATGGAAATCATTCTAAACCTCCCACCCCTTGACCTAGTCATAAAGGGGGAGGCCAGAATGAGTGCACATAGACTGGAAATTTCCAACAACTAGAACCCACTGGGACATCATACCAGAATAACACATGAAGTAAATGATTCTATATTAAACATGGGATCAGATCACATGACACGCCTCCTAACCTTCAACAGACTCTTCCAGGTCAACTGCAACTGGAACGAGGTGAGGAAAATTTGGTGCTGTATACAGACAAGAAAGTAAGAATACTTTATAAAATATAATACACTGGAATACATGAATGCAAAATTAATCGGAAAGTTTAATAATAAACCAAATTTATTACACTTCAAAAATTTAACAAAGAAAAAATAAAAAATACCAAACATTAAAAAATCTGCAAACAAAATGTTTCAGAAGTTGGTCAAAAAAAGTGGGTGGTCAACATTTTTACTAAAAATTTTCTAATTTCAGGGGGTCTAGCTTCACATATAGCTTGACTAATAGATCTGATTTTTAAATCAATTTTTATTTTTCTAGAAATTATTTTGCTTTTCACTATTGAATTAAATAAATATTTTTTATAGCATTTAAAATGCAAGTACTTTTTTTACAGAATTCGATTGGAAGTCATCGACGACGATGTCTTCGAACCCGACGAACACTTTTACATTCGGTTATGCTCCTCTCAACCGACGGGCAGTTTAGGAACTCCGGTTTTAGCCACAGTGATCATCCTAGACGATGATCACGGTGGCTTTTTCAAATTCGAAGCCCAAAACCACGAGATCGTCGAAAGTATAGGACAGTACGATTTAAAAGTGATCAGGTGTTCGGGAGCAAGAGGTAAGGTCATCATCCCCTATTGGACTGAAGACGGTACTGCCAAACACGGAAAAGAATATCAAAAACAAGAGGGCCAATTAATATTCGATAACAATGAGTCTGAGTAAGTTTTAATAATTAATTTTTTTTTAGAAAATGTGGATGTTTTATTTGTTTATACATAATTCCTAACGTTTAAAATACAGAAAAGCTAACCGAAACTAAAATATTTTAAGTTTTCCAAATAGTAATGATTCTTTAGTAGATTAGAAGTGATTTAAATTAATAATTTTCCTATTTAACTAAGTCACATTCATTTAGTTCATTATTGTAGGATTCAAAAAGAGCCCGAGAGGCTTCTTAAATCGATACACTCTTGATAAATTGCATTTTATTTCCAGCTATTTGCTTTAACAGAAAAATTGGGTCGTTTTATTGATTCATCATTCTGAATTCTTGAAAGAAAAAAAAAGTGAATTTCCTCCGTTTTATAATGTCACAATCTTAATTAATATTTTTCTGTTGGCGTATAAATGAAATTAATTTTTTTGATTAATAAAATAAAAATTTTATGCGAAATTTTATTCTATAATTTTCTAAAAGAGATAGAAAATTATGGAGTCAAGGATATTCTAAATAAAGTTAACCTTGTTAAAAGCTTGATGAACGATATTAAATTTGAATATAATTTATCAATTTATGTGAAAAAAAATCGTAATCATGCTGGCGGGCATTGCAACATTCGCTAAAAATTAATTCGGAAGTGAACCGTCGAGCCAATTAAAGCCCAATTAGAAATGATTTTGAAATGTTGCGCTGTCCAATGTTGGAATTGGCATGTAGCAGTGAAAATAGTACGAGGAGAAACGACAGGCATCGAGATAAATATTTTTTTCCTAATGCCAAAATAGGAGGATGCAATTTTAATTTAAAATAAAGATTGTATCGTCAGTTAAATATGTTTAAATATATTAACATTGCAGAGATTCTCCATCTAAAAATATTTATACTATTTAGATTAAACGTTACTAAGTGTCAAACAGTTTTCTTAGGGTCGATTACACCATTGTGTTAAACGAAGTTTAAAATGACATTTTTACATTAATCTCCGTTTAACACAACGGTGGAATCGGCCCTTAAGGAACTAAAACTAATAATTCATTTGTATGTCGACATCAATATTCAAAAAGTCTCTTCTCGAAAAGATGAGAGAGGGAATCATTCTGCTCTATGGATTAGGCCGCGAACATCATTGTATGGTAGACAACTATTATATTTATAGACGAGGTTCGTTCCCTAGCTACTAGATGATACTAGGTGCATCATTATTGAATATCACTATCCATAAATAATACCTGTCAAAAGTGGCAACATGTCTAAATTGCCCAAGGAAAATGCATTTTAAACATTTAATGGGCATGCCCCAGTAAAGGGACACCTGAACAAATTATGTGTGTATAATGCAAAAGTTGATCCAAGAATCTATGTAACGCAGGAAAAACGTGTATTATAAGGGACTAAGATGACAGAGTGGGTACTATTAGGCCCGTGTTGTCAGAGATTAAGTCATACGAACCGTCCCAAAAAAAATGTGTATCTTTTATAACAACCGCGATAGCAATACATGCAGCATCACTATGGGACACGTTGTACTAATGTTATGTTTTTTTCCAGAAAAAGTGTCCCATTGACGATAATAGAAGAAGACAGTTATGAAAAAGACGTCTTGTTTTACGTACAATTAGGAGAACCTCAAACGACAGGTGGTAAGCATAACTTTTGATTAATGCGTGATACGTTCTTATCTGTTGTTGACAATTTTTCATGTTTGCTTCTTCCCGCTCTTCTCACTACTTGTCTGTTCTGCTCTCAACGCATGATGAGTAAGTAAAATACTTTCATTACGTTAAGTGTCGCTTATTCAATTATAATCAGTTGCAAGAAATCTGAATTATAATTTTATAGTCTTCAATGGCGCGTTTAAAACTATGAGCACTCTGTATTAATGTTTTAGTCTTAGATTAAAGAGACCGAAGATGTAACATTGCACACTGCGCATGTTGTATATTCGTTTTCAGCGGTAAATATTTATTAACGTTTTGACATAAAGCGCCATGATTCTCTGGGCTGAATACTTCAGATCCGCATTAAGGGGTTTCAATAAATATTAAGCATCAGAAATCAGTTTTCATATTACTTACATAAATTTACAAAAGGGTAAAATTTTGAACATTTAATTTAAATAAATAGTAAATAGGCATTATTGCTAACGAAATTTTGTATTTAAAAAGTAGTTTTATAAGAATGTTTTCTAAAGGTAGTTTTTAGCTCTTTTTGGTAAATAAATAAGAGGTAAAGAATCATAGTTGCTAGCTAAATTTTATTTTTATAAGGTATTTTTATAAGAATATTAGATGAAATACAGGATGACCTACTTAAAATTTCAAGGTTCATCTTATTTGCGGTCAAATCGAAAGTGACATTGAATTTTCAGTCTTAAAACAAAGTAATCTAGTATAAGCCCAAAAAAAATACTTAAGTTACAGGAGTTAGGTCCGATTCCACCGTTGTGTTAAAAGGAGATTAAAATGACAGTGTTAATGTAAAAATGTCATTTTAAACTTCGTTTAAAACAACGGTGGAATCGACCCTTAGTCACGTTAATAAAATGTTACATTACAAACCACTAAACAACTCGAACATAATTTTCGTTTACTAAAAAAAATCCAAAATTTAGCAATATTTATTTATTATACAATCGAATGCGATTTCAAAGATAACTGGATCAAAAAATCCGAATCTCTAAATTTTGGAGCTAAATGCTCAGATAAAAGCAAGCGACCGATAGAGGTTACAAAAATAATCGATTTATCGATAATTCTGATATTTTTTAATGAAAATCGATTTATCAGCTGTTTTTAATAAATTATTTTCGTTTTTTTTAAGATAATGTATTAATCGATTTTAAAGGAAATACAAAAAAAGTAGATTTATTCAAAATAATCGATTTATCGTTTAATCGGTTTTTTAATTATTTGATTATTTTCGATTTTTCGATTATATGAAAATAATCGATTGAATATAATCGGTTATTTTACATAATCGATATTTTTGTTATTTTTTTAAAATTATCGATTTATTGGATAATCAGCTTTTTAATAATCAATTATTTTCGATAATCGAATAATCAATTTCAAAGAAAATATGAAAAAAGGATTATTAGAAAATAATAGATAATTCGTTTTATTTTTTGGAAAATCGATTTATCATAGAATCGGCTTCTTAATTAATTGGTTATTTTCGATTAGGCGATTATTTTGGAATTATTGATTATTTTTGATATTTCAAAGATAATCGAATTATCGATTTTAAAGAAAATACCATAAAAATAGATTATTGATAATAATCGATTGATCGAAAATAATCGATTATTTAAAATAATCGATCATTCTGTTTTTTTTTTTGAAAATCGATTTGTCAGTTAATCGACTTTTTAATTAATCGATTATTTTTGAAATACAATAAAATAGATTATTGGTAATAATCGATTTATCATAGAATCGGCTTCTTAATTAATTGATTATTTTCGATTAGGCGATTATTTTGGAATTATCGATTATTTTCGGTATTTCAAAGATAATCAAATTAACGATTTTAAAGAAAATACAATAAAAATAGATTATTGATAATAATCGATTGATCGAAAATAATCAATTATTTATAATAATCGATCATTCTGTTTTTTTTTTTAATCGATTGATCAGTTAATCGACTTTTTAATTAATCGATTATTTTCGATTTTTCAAAGATTATCGAATAATCTGTTTCCATGGACGAAAAAAAATGGTTTATTTGAAAATAATCGATTATTTAAAATAAACGATAATTCTATTTATATTATATTTTGTAAACACTGATTTATCGGTTAATTGGCTTTTTAGTTAATCGATTATTTTTGATTTTTCAAAGATAATCAAGTAGTCGATTTTAAAGGAAATGACAAAAAATATATTGTTTGAAAATAATCGATTGATCGAAAATAATCGATTATTTTCAATGATCGATAATTTATTTCGATAATCACTCATCCCTAGCGACCAAATGACTTTTAATAGATTTAAATTTTAAAATGTTATCTGCTTTCAGACATATGCATTTCTAGAGTTTTATGTGACTCATCCTTTATAATAATTAATATTCCTAAAGAAAGAAGCCTTAATATACTTTTTTCTGAGGTTACAATACAAAACATTATTTTCTAATTTTGACTAATTTTTAATAATATGTAATAGCCGTAGAAAAAATATAATGTTCAACTCATAAGGGTAGATTTGCAGTATTAGCCTGCGCACGTGCTATTTTTATAATACTCGTAGACAATGAGTAACATTTTTTGCTCTATTAACAATATATTCTATTTCAACATTTTACTGTAATCTCTTGCAGAAAAGTCCGTAGTAAATAAACGCTAACGAAATATTCTATAAAAGGTCTTCTCTTTACATAAAATGTCGTGGCATCTGTTTGATATTAAAAAATCACGTTAATTTTATTTCATAATACAAAATTCGATTAAACACCTTTTAAATAAACCTAATAGTTCATTAAGATGCTAATAAACAAAGTCCGGTCCCTGTCACAGAGTTCGGGTCGCCGCGTGTCGCCGCCCAGTTCCCCCACTCCGTTAACCCTTCTTTAGAAATTGGCAACATTTGCGCAGGTTTAAAACCGGTGTATGTTATATCTCTGGTCTCTTTTATCTAAGGTTTTAGTGTTACTGGTGACTCATTCTGTATAATATCGTCACAATCCAGAGGTTTTTGGATTATTTGTTATTTATAAACAAATGCTAGTTAGGGTAGCCGTATTCTATCACTGTTCACAGAAATCCTACTGACTGTGCCACTTTTGAATTGCCGAAAAAATATCATTCACATTTCATGCAATTTATAAATTACTCATTTGTCGTCAAAATGTTTACGAACTTTTCCCAACAGATGAATTAGCCACCCTAGCAGAAGAGGCCGAAAAGAAACATCCCGACGAGAGGACCGATAGAGAAAAAATTGCGCTTTTAGGAAAGCCGCGATTGGGTGATATAATTCGAGCTCAAGTTAGGATCAAGGAGAGTAAGGAATTTAAGGTAAGAAAACTTTTATTTTATTATATATGCCGTTTTATCATAACTAAAACCAAAATGTGTTTAAAATGTCACTGATAAAAACCGATAAAAATCGATAGAAATCGATAGAAATCGATAGAAATCGATAGAAATCGATAGAAATCGATATAAATCGATAGAAATCGATAGAAATCGATATAAATCGATAGAAATCGATAGGAATCGATAGAAATTGATAGAAATCGATATAAGTCTATATGAATATATAGAAATCGGTATAACACGATAGAAATCGATAGAAATTTGGAGAAATCGATAGAAATCGATGGGAATCGATAGACATCGATAGGAATCGATAGAAATATATAGAAATCGGTATAAAACGATAGAAATCTGGAGATATTTATAGAAATCTACATTTTTTTAGTGTAAAAAGAATTTGTAATTTTTACAGCTCTATACAGTGTAACTTTTAAAATGTTATTTTATTTTAGCCCTATTTCTATGTAGTTTTAAAGTTTGTGACCGAGTTTGTCACAATGCTGAAACAAACTGGATTATTATGTAATCTCATAAATGGCTATTTCATAAGTTTTAAATAAGCTCTAATGTAGTTCTACACCAGAAAAAAAAACCGTAATTTTAGTCCACGAATAGGAAAGAAATCGACGTCAGCATACACTGTGGGCGAGCCGCACAGCTGAGTATCGCGTGATAAAAATCGACCAAGGGATTTTTTTTCGGATTTAATCATATGCATAAGGGAGGGAAATCACGCAAAACGATTTCGAACATGAAAAGCTTGGATTTTTGGCAATGTAATGAACGAAATAGAGAGTGAAAATCTGATTCTACATAAGGTCAACTCAGAGATTAGAAATTCAAAAAAATATCCGGATCAATTTAATGTTTGAAACACGAAAATCACACCCACTAATTCATTCGGTTATTTGAGAAACTACACGTCAGTGTGATTATTTATAAAATTGTAGTGGAAACATGTCTAAGACTTAATTTTGATATTATCTGAGTTTAGGAAGTATTGGGGGAGACAATTTAAATAAACTATTACGTAAATATTTATATTAAATATTTTACACATAATTAATATTTAAAAAAAAAACTTTAGAGGCGAGTCATTATAGACAAGTCTCAGGTCATTTACTAAATGACGCGCGGTAAATTCAAATCTCTAAGAAATATCGACAATTTGTCATTATAAACACCATGCCATCATGGATATATTTCCCTTATAGTTAATTTTCTTAAAAACAACTGGATATTTAAAAAGATTTTCTTGTAGAATACGGTAGATAAACTAGTGCAACGTGCCAACGCGTCCATTTTGATAGGAACCTCTTCCTGGAAGGAACAATTCATCGAAGCACTGACTGTGAGTTCGAGCGACGAAAATGTAGATGAAAAACAACCGTCCAAGTTAGATTACGTGATGCACTTCCTGACTGTTTTCTGGAAAATTATTTTCGCATTTGTTCCTCCTACAGGTACGTAAATATATGTATATATACGGAGTGGCCCAAAAGCCTGGAAACGGCCAATTATCTCATAAATTGCTAGTCCTAATTCTACAAAATTTAGGGTACACCTATTTTGGAATACGGAGATTCCAGATTTGATATTTGCAATGTTGCCAGATTTGCCGTTTCTCTTATATTATTAGTCACTTTGGTTTTTCAAATTGATCACCCTGTATATATTCAGTCATTATTGGAATCTTCTATTCAATACGAGTTCAACCATAAGTAACACTTATGATTTTATGTAGCCTGGAAGGTCTTAAATAAATAAAACAATCATGAAGAAATGTGGTAGACGCATTCTACCATCGATTAGGGTACTGTCAACTCACAAATGGAGCACATTTTAAATACTTGATAAAGTAACCATTATGTTAAAAATGTTATAATCTTTCAATTGTTACATTTTAATGTAGTTGAAAATAGTTTGCATTAAAAAAATTATTGAGACAATTAGGCGTTGCCAGCAAACAAATACTTGACTATGACTAGACAGAATCTGCGTCTGGTCACAGGTATTCTGACTGGTCATTGCCAAGTACGGAAGCATCTCCATATCATGGGGCTGTCAGAATCCGCACTCTGCAGAGGGTGCGAACAAGAAGATAAGACCATCGAGAATATCCTTTACGATTGCCCGACGCTCTCATTTATTAGAAGATTTGTGTTCGGCGAGTATCGGTTAACACCGGCCGATATAAGAGAAGCACCTCTTGGCGGCGTTGTCAACTACATTAAATCTGTAGGCTGGCTCACGAGCTAGGAGGTGCCTATCATCTTAGGAGGATACACAATGGGCCTAATGAGGCCTAAGTGCCGTGGGGTAACCCACACGTTACAGATACAGAGAGATTGTCTCTCTTTGATTTTTCTCTTTTATTTCTCGTTGATTTTTTTTTATTTCTCTTTTATTTCTCTCTTTGTCTCTCATTATATCACTCTCTCTTTTTTGTCTTTTGTTAATTTACTAATAATGTTTAATGTTTTTTTTTTAGATATGTTGAAAGGCTATCTGTGCTTTGTGGTGTCCATTTTTTGTATAGGAGTTGTAACTGCAGTGATAGGAGACGTAGCTTCACATTTCGGGGCTACACTCGGAATCAAAGACGCAGTAACAGCGATTGTTTTTGTGGCTTTAGGAACAAGTATACCAGGTAAAACAATAAAAAACAAAATAATACATTAATAAAACAATGTTTACTAAATCAGTACATTTAATCAATACGTGTATCTATTTAAAACAGTTTATTATTTGTAATTTATTGATATACATTAAATAGTAATTAATTTATGTATATTTAAATACTTATTTTTTTATATCTGCACTATTTATTTTTCACATTATCTTCAACTGGTCTTCATCTGGCAAAATTCGTCTATTTATATAAAAATGCTGCGCACCTACTGGTTCTCGTAGTTTTCAGATGCTTTTGAATGCCATTGTATTAATGTAGTCGCTATATATCTAGAGATGGCTGTTGACAACTCGAAAAACTTGCGAAGACAACGGAGGTATAGGATCGTACTGGTTGGTAACGGTTCGCACGACGGTTTCATAAAAAAAACTGATTTATAGACTGTGAATATATTTAAAAAGCTTTTTTGTTTCAGATACGTTTGCTAGTAAAGTGGCTGCCATCCAAGATAAATACGCAGACGCTAGTATTGGAAATGTTACGGGAAGTAATGCCGTCAACGTATTTTTAGGCATCGGTGTAGCCTGGTCAATAGCTGCCATTTATCATCATGTCAATGGAAATGTCTTCCACGTTGATCCTGGCAAGTAAGTTTTAAGTTTTGTGGAATCCGTTCGAACTAATAGCTTTATATGAAATGATTCACAAAAAAATGTTTCTAAAGTATGCCTAAGAAAATTGGTTATATGACTTATTTGTTGCATTAGTTTACACTCGACACTGTATTTGAACTGTCATACTTGTTGTGCTACTGTCAAATATTTGAAGCTACACTGAACAAATCGAATGTTATATACGAGTAGGACAACAGAATCACTGGGATTATGAAAAAATGCTAAAATTTCCTTTAAATATACCAGGTCTTGAGCTGATGAAACTACTCTTCAGCTGTAGATAGCGCAACATTATTTTGTTTTTTTAGATCCCAAGAGACAGCATTACCTTTAAAAAATGCAAAAGGATCAGAAACACTTTTTCTATCTTTGGTGTCTTCGCTCCAGTGTGCATCGAAGAAAGTTTTTAATTTCCAAATTTCGTTTCTTTCTTCCTTAATGTAAACAATTCTGAATGCTTTGGTGTTTTGTAAATTTTTTTGGCGGATGTCCACGATTTTTTTGTTGCCTTATCCACCACTCTGCTAAAATAAGACATGGTATACATTATATCTGGTCTACTAGTCGTAGCTAGATACATCAAGCTACCTATAAATTCTCTATAAGGCACATCCTCAATGATTTATTGCTCATCCTCATGGCTAAAACCAACTTCCATCGGTGTCAGTTGGCTTGCAATCCAATATCACAAAGTTTTCCAAAATTTTGTCTATAAAATGAAATATATCTGTTATTTGCGCTTGAAGAAAAAAATTCTCCACAATTTTTGTTCTATACATGATTTTCCTATAATGGACCGTAATGGAAAATTTTTAGAAAAAGTGAAAAATTTTAATTTTTCAGTATGTTTATTGGCAATAAATACACAAAAAAATGTTTCGAGTAGATTTATCTGTATGTAGACAGGAAAGTAAAAAGAACCAAACGTTTCTAGTATATGTAATGTATTTGTGGCGTATCGAAAGTTGAGAATCTCCATAGAAAAACTAAAAGAGAATCCTACTACAGAACTATTAAATGGCAATCACCCTAATACTGACCTACGCGTACAACTAATTATTACCTAAGCTATAGGCAACACAATATACGCATAGACGTAATATTAGTTGCCTCGCTACAGTACATTCATAGAATATTGATACTTATGCCTTATAGTTTATTTTTCATAAAATTTCTTTAAAATTGCTACATAATGTTAGTAATTTTTTACCCAATTACAATATTATAAATAATCTAGTTAAAATTAGGTAAAAAAACTGTATGTAAAACGTTACAAAACGCCTTATTTTGTGTAATTCGTTCATGTTACAAGTCCTCGCTCTGCTCGTCCCGAAAATATTAATTCGTTGCATTAATAACTAGTTAATTATAAACCTATTACAACTCTTGTTACGTAATATATTTTGTCACTAAGACTGTTACACATATTTCTTTTTTGTTTCAGTCTTGCCTTTTCCGTTACGATTTTCTGTACGGAAGCTGTTCTCGTTATCATCGTTTTAGTACTAAGACGGTCGAAATTCATTGGCGGAGAACTAGGAGGACCCGTTTGCATGAAATATTTAACGTCGGCCGTTTTTTTTTCCATGTGGTTACTGTACCTCGTTATGTCGTCATTGGAAGTTTATGGAGTTATTCATGGTTTTTAGATGCGATGTACCGAAATATTGTTATGTATAAGTGTAAAACATGTTTTTTGTTTATGTTTAGCCTGTTCGTTGAAAAATATAATATTTTTAGAAAAGAAAATAGTTTTGTTAATGACGTGTTACATTTTAAATTAATATTAATTGAGTGTGAAGAATGCAAATAATATTTATCTTATCGATTATTGTTTATAGTTAAACACAATCTAAACCTTATCGCCGCTCTTATCTGTAAATTATTGCAAGTGTGTAGTAGCTGTAAACTCGGTTTAATATATTTTAAATTAAAATGTAAGTTCTTTATAGAAAAATGTTGACTTGTTGCTTGAATAGAAAAAAAAGCGCGTCAAAAAGAAATTCTTTTGATGCGCATAATCAGACCGATCTACAAAATAATGAAAACGGTAAAAAAAAACTATCAATAAAATCGTATAAATAACCGTAAAACATATTTTTTTATATATATTTCAGCCTCCACGTCAATGAATGGAGAGAAATCGACTTCTCAAGCTGAAAATGTGGAAAATGATCATCGAAAAGTATCCAGGAGTATCTCAGTAAATAGTTTTTATAGTGTTAATTCATCAAGATCTGAAGGCGATAAGGATTATTATAGTGTTTGTAGTGCAGAATCATTTAAAAGTGTTTAGAAGACTTTCCTATTCAGGGTTTATTAAATAATATTCAGAAAAGTATTCAAATTATGTGTGTATCATATTTTTATTTTGAATAATAAATTAAAATTTAAAAAAAATGATTCAGAGCATTGAACCAATGATTATACGCTAGTAAAGAGGATGGTCTAGTTTCTCAAATCTGTGTGTAAAGTAGTGCGCTATTGTCAAAGGTTGATTTGTAACGATAACATCTTAATAATATGATTGTTTATTTTAAAATACTTTATTTATTTAAAAAGGTTTATTCATAATACGTATCAATTCTATTTTAAACTTCTAATTTATTTTACAATATTTATATTCAACCTTCTGTATATAAACTTCAAGTGAACTGCTAAACAATATCGCGCTATTTGTATAACGCCAGCCCTGCTGGAGAAGTTTCTTGGTGATTTAGAAGCTCTCGAAATCCAATCTCCAAGCATCAGAGAAACTACCGTGAAATTTATTAAGTATATTTTATTTTTTAAATATTTTCCAATTCCTTTTGTCTAACTTTAATTCTTCTAAACATCTAAAAAAAAAAGAAATAAGAATTTACATTTTTATCAATAACTCGAAAACGGAATACCTACGAGGTGTTCTATATCATTGTGCATATTTTCAACTAAATCGAATTTCCGAAATCCTTCGAAAAATATTTTTGTTCTTTGATTTTCCTGTAGGTCGTAAAATTGAATTTAATATTTGTGCAACCTAGTTTTACAACTTCGTTTTAACATAAAAATCAGAGTTTTTGTTAAATATCTCGGCAACCGTTTAAAATAGGAAAAGTTTGCGGCGTTGAATTTCTCTCTGAAAACCCTATGAAATGGTACTATACAAATCACGGATGAATTGTTCGTAGGGACAGAGAATGGAATTATAGATCGATGGGGGAATTTTAACAGAAAAATTACGGTTTTTGTTAAATATCTCGACAACCGTTTAAGATAATAAAATGCGGTTTACAACGTTGAATTTCTAAAAGCCACACAAAATGGTATCATATAAATCACAGATAAATTGTTCGTAGACAAAGAATAGAATTATAGATCAAATTTGGGGAATTTTTACTGGAAAATTACTGTTTTTGTTAAATATCTCAGTAACCGTTTGAGATAGGAAGATGCGGTTTACAACGTTGAATTTCTCTCTAAAAGCCCTACAAAATGATATCATATAAACGCCGGAGAAATTGTTCGTAGGGACAGAGAATATAAATAGATGTATGGGGGAATTTTAACAGGAAAATTACGAGTTTTGTTAAATATCTTGACAAACGTTTAAGATAGGAAAATGCGGTTTACGGCGTTGAATTTCTCTCCAAACGCTCTACAAAATGGTATCATACAACTCACGGATGAATTGTTCGTAGGGACAGAGAATAGAATTATAGATTGAATTTGAAAGAATTTTAGTAGAAAACTTTCGGTTTTTGTTTAATATCTCTGTAACCGTTTAAGATAGAAAAAAGCGGTTTACGGCGTTGAATTTCTCTCTCCAAGTCCTACAAAATGGTATCACATAAATCCCGGAGGAATTGTTCGTAGGGACAGAGAATAGAATTATAGATCGAATTTGAGGGAATTTTAAGAGAAAAATTACGTTTTTGTTAAATATCTCGACAACCATTTAAGATAGGAAAATACGGTTTATGGCGTTGAATTACTCTCAAAAAGCCGTATAAAATGGTATCATATAAATCACGGATGAATTGTTCGTAGGGACAGAGAATAGAATTATAGATTTAATTTGAAAGAATTTTAACAGAAAACTTTCGGTTTTTGTTTAATATCTCTGCAACCGTTTAAGATAGGAAGATGTGGGTTACGACGTTGAATTTCTCTCTAAAAGCCCTACAAAATGGTATCATATAAACCCCGGAGGAATTGTTCGTAGGGATAGAGAATATAAATGGATGGGGGAATTTTAACAGAAAAATTACGAGTTTTGTTAAATATCTCAACAAACGTTTAAGATAGGAAAATGCGGTTTACGGTGTTAAATTTCTCTCCAAAAGCCCTACAAAATGGTATCATATAAATCACGGATGAATTGTTCGTAGGGACAGAGAATAGAATTATAGATTGAATTTGAAAGAATTTTAACAGAAAACTTTCGGTTTTTGTTTAATATCTCTGCAACAGTTTAAGATAGGAAAAAGCGGTTTACGACGTTGAATTTCTCTCTCAAAGTCCTACAAAATGGTGTTATATAAATCCCGGAGGAATTGTTCGTAAGGACAGAATAGAATTATAAATGGAATTTGAGGGAATTTTAACAGAACAATTACGTTTTTGTTAAATATCTCGACAACCATTTAAGATAGGAAAATGCGGTTTATGGCGTTGAATTACTCTCCAAAAGCCCTACAAAATGGTATCATATAAATCACGGATGAATTGTTCGTAGGGACATAGAATAGAATTATAGACTGAATTTGAAAGAATTTTAACAGAAAACTTTCGGTTTTTGTTTAATATCTCTGCAACCGTTTAAGATAGGAAAAAGCGGTTTACGGCGTTGAATTTCTCTCTAAAAGTCATACAAACTGGTATCATATAAATCCCGGAGGAATTGTTCGTAGGGACAGAGAATATAAATAGATGTATAGGGGAATTTAAACAGGAAAATTACGAGTTTTGTTAAATATCTCGACAACCGTTTAAGATAGGAAAATGCGGTTTACGGCGTTGAATTTCTCTCTAAAAGCCCTACCAAATGGTATCATACAAATCACGGATGAATTGTTCGTAGGGACAGAGAATAGAATTATAAATTTAATTTGAAAGAATTTTAACAGAAAACTTTCTGTTTTTGTTTAATATCTCTGCAACCGTTTAAGATAAGAAAATGCGGTTTACGGCGTTGAAATACTCTCCAAAAGCCCTACAAAATGGTACTATACAAATCGCGGATGAATTGGTTGTAGGGACAGAGAATAGAATTAGAAAACTCGAGGTCGAAAAAAATCATGACTCCTATACTTTCCTTATATCTGTATACAGATAGGAAAGTAAAAAACAAAACAAAATCTGGCCCAGCCAGGTCTCAAATGACAAAGTTGATAAGTTTGACACTGTAACCATCTGAGCTAATAGGCCTTGCGTAAATTGAATGATCTAATCGGTTATGTGTTTAACCAGAATAAAAAGCAAACATATCTAGTTATTTTAAAATTATTTTAATAATAATTGTTAAAGTTAAATATTTAGGATCTAATTTAAAACAATTTCAATAATTAAACTATCATATCGATTTTAGTATTAATATGGACATTACATAGATCAAAATAGAAATGGTGTGTTTGACATTTTGTGACAACTACTGCGGAAAGTAGCATATTCGTACACGGGTGGAAAGTAAATTCTTATTCATACGCATGTGATATAGGGCTCTTTCCATAGCACTATATAGTGTGATATGTGTCACTTTCCTAAGTGGCCGTAGGAAAAATAATTTAATTACAACAATATCCTTCTGCTACCTGACTAATACCGCTAATACGTATCTTGTATGACACATTTTCTTGGTGCTTCGGACAAAAATAGAAATCTACTATTACTTTTTGAAAACTCATCGATAGATAGCGCCTCTGACACATTTTTATAGATATCTATTATTAACTAGTTCTTGTTTTGGCGATGCATTCATAGATGGCGCTTTCGGCGAATAGTCACTTTCCGCCATTTGGTGTACATTGTAAACAAAACATGGATTTGTTCTAATGCAACTAATTTTTTTCGTTTTCCTCAATAACTATACCTACATCCGAGTTAATTTGTAAATTTCAGGAATTTCATTTTTTAAATCTACGAGACATACTAAGCTTATTTTCTACTAAATGGAATGCCAAAATCCTTCCGGGTAATAGACCTATCAAACAAAAACAAGAATTTATGTTTTCATCAACAACTCGAAAACAGATTGATACCTATAATCAAATAACTGATTTCAGTTCCGAAAATTGTATGAGATATTCTCTATTAATGTGTATATTATTTTGAATTAAATCAAAATTACAAATTTCTTCCAAACATCGAAAAAAATTGTCATGACCACATACTATGCTTACATGAAATGCACGTCAGTTTTAATACTGTGTTATTAGAATAAATAATCAGCAAAATAACTTGTGCACAGACAGAAACTCAAATATTTAATTTAATGTTTATTTCACAAAACATCAGGCAACAATGATAATAAAATGCAAAATGGAGGTTATACTGTGGGCCTTATTTTTTCAAACCTCTCAGAAACAACAGCAGAATATATCCAATCTATTAAATTATTTAGTAGGTACTTATTTTGTTCTAATTTGTAATACCAATAAAAAATTTGTACCATATAAGGTTTTCAAAAAACAATACCAGTACATGGATTTCTATAGCTTAATATTAAGCTATTAGAAGTCAGGGCCCCACATTAAAAAACTATAAAATAAAAGTATAATTCAGTTCTTTTCAAAGTTCTATCTTTGTTTTATTATTTTTTTGTTTAGTTTAATATCAAGCTAAAAGCGCCATGTATTTTTCTGAAAACAGCACAAAATTTTTATTGGTGTTACAAATTCAGTACTTTTCAATTCTTTTATTTTTTTTAGCTTAATATTAAGCTAGTGGTGCCTCGTTTTTTTTATGAAAAATGCACATGGTTCAAAATAATGTAATGAATCTGAAATCGATTCTGCCAGCTTAAGTTTTTTTAGACTTTTTTTTGTTCATTTTAACTTTTTTTACTTTCTTTAACATACAATAATTTAAAAATTAATAAAAGGGAATATAAGCAAATAAAAAAGCATCGGATATTATGTATAATTTATTAAAAAAAAATCCCAAGTTTAATACCTAGTATGTGTACAAATCACTTAACAAATTTAATAGCGTCCATCAGGTTCATTAACCAAATCATTAATTAATTCTTTTGCTCTAGCTACACAAGAGTCACTCCCAAACATTTTTACTACAGTATCATCTCCTTCGGTTTCTTTAGTGACTTGTATCTTTGCGCCAGAATCACTTTGAAGCTCATTGATTTTTGACCCTCCGCGTCCAATAACTTTGCCAACTTTCGTTGACGGCACGTGCATTATTTCGCATTTGCCGTCTCTCCAATTTTGGCCTGAGTTTCTATCTCCATCATCTCTCCTTCCGCCACCGCCGCCATAGCCTCCACCGCCGCCATAGCCACCGCCGCCGCCATAGCCGCCACCACCGCCTCCATAGCCACCGCCGCCGCCATAGCCACCATCACCTCGTCTATCTTCTCTATAGCTGTTTCCGCCGCCGCCTCCACTTCGTCTATCTTCTCTATAGCTATTTCCACCCCACTCGTCACCCATTATTGTGTTTTAAAGAACTTTTTTTAAAAAATTTACTCACAAATACAAACGTGTTCGAGTATGAACGGCACAGAAATGAACGAATTTTCTTTAGGTTAGTTGATAACCGCTAACCGCCCAATAATTGACAGTTATCAGTTGTACCAACTACTGTTTTATAAAACGCTGTGTCCGGTTTGCTGCCATCATTCCCGTAGGTGCAATCAAAATACTAATTAAATACACAATGGCCGCATGTAATTTAAATTAATTACTATTAATCTAATTGTATATTATATTCACCTATTCAAATTTTGCGTTGCTTTTAAATTTTTACAGTCATAAAAGAAGAAATTTAACGTCCTGAGATCATGTGGTTTGTGAATAGGGCGGGCAAGTATTTCCGGTTTTCACTGACCGTCATAAAAAAGGTAAAAGGTCAATAGAATCTAAAAACCTGCACCTTCGTTTGATAAATTTTAAACATTACTCGTTGGCAATTGAATAAACTCTCTTTTGTACCTTCTTATAATCATATCACCGAAAACCGGAAACACTTGTACGCCATATTCCCAAACCACCATAAATGTATTTATATTTTAATGGAGTGCGATATGCTTCACAAAGCAGTCAAAGCACCTATATCTGCTGTTTACCATTTATTACATTATTTGGGCTTGTTAAGTTAAATTCAAGCGAGTGTTTAGCACTGAACTATATAGTTCAGTGGTGTTTAGGCGCAAATATTAATTTCGTCTGGTTGGCAGCACGGATTTCTAATTGGCGGTTTTATGGATTGGCGTCGGCCGGGCCGACATGACATATGACAGTTCAAACTAACAACCAATAGGTCTTTTCCTTTGCATCGAAAGTGTAGCACTGAGCTACACCACTTCTGAAAATATCGTTCCATTTATACAAATTGTATGGATGGAACGGTATTTTCAGAAGTGGCGTAGCTCAGTGCTACACTTCCGATGCAAAGGAAAAGACCTATTATTAGGTTCTTTCGTTCGTCCCACTGGTGTAAGAATGAACTACACCAACACACACCATACCTTTCGTTTGGCCCTATGTAAAATCCACTCTACACCATGGAGGAAGGATTATCTCTACACCTTCCTGTCGGCAAGTGGTGTCCATGGTGGATATTTTCTTCACCAGCTATTTAGTAAGAGTGAATTACACTCGCTCGACATGTGTATCAAGAATAAACCAGGAAGTAAACTAGGTAAATAATGATGGTGTAACCGGTGTAATTTACACTGGTGGACACTGCACCAACAGCGAACGAAAGAACCTATATTTTGTTTAAAAATAAGCGGTAGTTATCCTAAAAATGCTATCAAAAATCGTTTGTTTTTCTACGAAAAAATCGGCAACAATCTCTAACTTTTTAACTTAAATAGTAAATAAATAATTACTATTAGCTTTATATAATTACATTATTCTCTAAATTTCACTATATTTAGTAAAAACTATAAATTATTACAAGCTTAAAACTGTATTCTGAAAAAAAAACCCTTCAAACCCTGGCAGTTTTAATACTAGTAGACAATACAAAAATTTGAAAGTAATAAAAGAATAAAAATAAAATAGACATTGAATTATCTATAATTTATTAAAAAATACCAAATATGGACACAACTTTAATTTAATATTGTCTGTACTCTGTAGTCAACTCAGTTATTAATTCTTTTGCTTTAGTTATACAAGATTCATCTCCAAAAAGCTTTACTAGAGTGTCTTCTCCTTCAATATCCTTAGTGACTTGTATCCTTGCCCCTGATTCACTTTGTAGTTCATTGATTTTTGATCCTCCGCGTCCAATAACTCTGCCAACTTTCATTGACGGAACGTACATTACTTCGAATTTGTCGTCTCTCCAATTTTGGCCGCCTGAATTCGAGTTTCTATATCCATCGTCTCTTCTTCCTTCTCTGTATCCACTACCACCGCCTCCGCTGCCATAGCCGCCGCCACCACCTCCATCTCGTCTATTTCCTCTCGAGTACGTTTGGCTTGAAGAATCCCACTCGTCACCCATTATTTTGTTTTAACGAACTTTTATTATATTCACTCAAAAAATATAAACGATAAACGTACGTATACAACTACAAATATGAATGCAAAATGGATAATGTCATAGAAAAATTAAAAGGAAAATGGATTTTTTCGCTTGACAAGCCTAATATATGACATATGACAGCTACTGTTCCCGCTATCATTGGTACCAACTACCAACCATTAGACAAAAAAATTACAGTCTAGTTCATGTGTGCCAATACCATGATATAAAATAAGCGCATGTCCGTTCTCCCTTCGCTGTTACCTAATGGAAGTGTATAATTTAAATTTGTACATTGTATTTATATACTATTCAAATTATGCGCTATCATTTTAGATTTTTACATCCATAAAAGGAGAAATGTTTAACGCTCTTGGATGAGTGTGGAATCTGTAGACGAGTTGCAAAAACAAAGACCGTATTCACACAGAAATCTAGTATTATCTATTTCTTGTTTTATAAATTTGTACATAGGTGGCACTACCTGTTTAAAATATGACTCCACACTTTTTATCTATATTTTGGATAGAAAATGCCTTTTAGAACTGATATTTTTAGCTTTTCAATGGTTTGTGAGCTTGTCGCTGCTTTTCTCACTTGACAAACACTTCAGGAATACTTATTTTAAACGTTGCGTTTGAGTTTACTATAATACGCCCTAAGGCAAAAAGCGGTATCTGTTTGCAGAAAACATTCTTTAAAAAAGTTGTTTTCGCGTTCCCTCCAGTTGAAAAATGTATTTTTAATTTGTTTTGTAGTTCTTTTTTATATATTTTATAGCACAACTATGTCTTTCAACAAATAAAAGTGAAATTGGATATTTTTCTTAATCTGAGGCGGAATTTTCCAGGCTATCAGACACCTATGTTAAAAAAGAAATATAGTTTTCTTCAGATACCACTTTTGGCTTCGAGGGAAGTACTATATATTCAATCATTTGAAAATTATTAAAAAGGAGGATATGAAAGTAAATAAAAAAAGACAGATATTGAATTATATTTATCAAAAAATACCAAATGTGTACAAATCACTTAACAAATTTAATAGCGTCTGTCGGGTTCTGTAACCAAATCATTTATTAATTCTTTTGCTCTAGCTACACAAGAATCACTTCCAAACAGTTTTACTATGGTATCATCGCCTTCGACATCTTTAGTGACTTGTATCCTTGCCCCTGATTCACCTTGGAGTTCATTGATTTTTGAACCGCCGCGTCCAATAATTTTTCCAACTTTCATTGACGGCACGTACATAGTTTCGAATTTGTCATCTCTCCAATTTTGGCCGCCTGAATTTGAGTTTCTATCGTCTCTCCTTCCGCCTCCGCCGCCATAGCCACCACCGCCATATCCACCACCGCCGCCATCACCTCGCCGATCTTCTCTGTAGTTATTTCCACCACCACCACCTCGTCTATCTTCTCTATAACTATTTCCACCCCACTCGTCACCCATTATTTCGTTTTAATGAACTTTTATTAAATTTATTCGAAAAATATAAACGTGTCCGAAAATGAACGGAAACTATTTTGTGAACTTGCTTGGTTTATAAAAACTTGCGAAATGACAGCATTGAGCGTCAGCTACCGGTACCACTACTACCAACTATCGTAATCTAAAACAAGGTGTGCCACCATAATTTCCGTAGATGCAATCGGATGGAAGCGTGTAATTTAAATTCATTAAATTATTAATCTAATAATAATAATTGTACACGTATTCATATATTTACATATCGCAGTAACCATTACAGTTATAAAGGCGGAATGTTAAACGACTTTGCATCAACGTGGTTTATGAATATGTCGGACACGTATTTCCGGTTTCCAGAGACGTAGTCATAACAGGATAAGGGGTGTATTCTGTAACAAATCCGTTTAAAATTTAGAGGCCTTTGGGGTCTATTTTGTAACAATTCCTTTATATTTAACGGCCTTTAAAAATATTTTCGTATTCGTTAATTTACCTTTGTCATTATTTAAACAGATTTCTTTAAGATAGTCCTCTAATGTATTTTAAAGATCCGTTTAAATAATGACAGAATTAAAGAAGAAAATATTTCTAAAGGCCGTTAAAATATAAAGGAATTGTTACAGAATAGACCCCTACGGCTCAGGACGCAAACGTCGCCTTGGGTGAATAATGGCTACCATAAATTGCTCGTTTAATAATATACTATTTAGAGTACAGGTTAAAATTTCCCAAGCAACTCTCAATAAAATAATTTCTTCTATGTAATCATAAATAACAAAAATATACCTTAAATTACCCCTGATCCTCTGACTAGCCTAAAATCTAATTAGCTCATTGTAGGATGGATTAAAGTTTAAAATTTGGTTTTCCTTTATACGTTTTTGAGTTATCTTGGATACACACATACATCACAAAAATGGTTAGAACGGATTCAAGCGACCCCAAAATGTAAAGATACGTTGAAAATAATCATGATCCTATACTTTCCTTACTGGATCCAGGAATGAAGAAATAAATTTCAGGAAATAGACATACCTACTGACAACTACAAGACAAAATGACAATAATAAACAGAAATTTGTAATCATTCCGGATGTTTCGCCTAATCGCTGGGCTGAGATGGCTTTGTCACCAGTGAAACTCATATTTATATGGGTTCTTTGTTTAAGGTGCTAACAATACAAAAAAAAAAACCAGTATGCATAGGAATATTTGGTGATAAGCAGGACATAGATATTCTTTATATAGTTTACAAATTCTATCTACATTTAACTAAACTATTTTCTTAGTATTTTTTGCTGTACAGACAACATCTTCTTACGAAAATGGCTGTTCGTTAAATTGAAAGAAATTCCTAGTTTTATATATTTTCTTTTCCATCCTTTTATAACAGAACGTCACTAGAGACAGGAAACACTTATTTGCCATTTTTACAAATTACCCTAGATTCCAATGAATGCCAGTTCATTATGTGGCCAGTTCATTGCTAGATTCTAAGGAACCACTTGTCACAAGTTTTTTTTAGCTCCTTCTATTAAAATTCTTTGTTAAATTAAGTTAAATATGAGTTTACTATAAATACAATAATTTGAAAATTAATAAAAGAGAATGAAAGCAAATAAAAAAAAGACAGATATTGAATAATCTATAATTTATCAAAAAATACCAAATGTGTACAAATTACTTAACCCTCATAGAATTTGGGCAACTCATTACCTAAAATAACCCTACGTTCTATACCTTTTTCAGTTATAATTCCTATTCTGACAACACCTCCAGATGAACCATCTCTAGACATTGCTAGAGCCAAAGCTATAAACAAAAAAAAAATATTTTCAGTTCAAATTTTAAACAAAAAGAATATTATTTGACTTACTATTTGAAACAAACTTAACGCAGTCTTCCTTTGACATTCCAGGTTTAAAGTTAGCATCTACATAACCATAAACATAGCTGGAACCAGAACCTCCAATAGAAACTTCTTGTCTAACGCACATTCCACCAATGGGTATGGAATAGACTTGACCACCTTTTTTCTTGTCCCAACCTGCTACGAGTATTCCAGCCATTAACGAATCTCTGTAGTTGTAGCAAAGTTCCTTGAAGATTGCTGCTCCTACTTCTACAAGAGGTTCCTCACCCAATTCCATACTAAAAAAATATAAATTGTATTGATTTTTCATTAAATTTTAGTTATTCTTACCCATGGAAATTTAAGTGATATGCTACAATATCAGCAATAGCTTGGGTGTCAGCAGCAGATCCAGAACGACAACAGTAAATATGATCAGTTATTTTCGTTAATTTATCTGCTACTCTATTCGCAATATACGCCCTGAGGAAAGAAAGGTTTTAAAAATGCTTACATTAATTGCGACACTTCATATTTACCCTGTAGTTGTTCGAGAATCAGCTCCTATAACAACACCGCCATCAAATTCTGCTGCCATTATAGAAGTCTAAAATACAATATTAATAAAATGCATGAAATGTGGTAATAAACATTTTAACTTACTCCAGTACTGTGGGCGGCATCCCTCCAGTCGTCTGGACCATTTTGTGCAGCAAAATTAGTAAAACCTGAAGACATTTTTTTAAATAATTAATGCCGACTCAAACTCAAATTCTTACTAAAAAACACAAGTAATCATTGAATTTGACAGCTCCGAATGACATTTGATACTGGCGTATTTTTGACAGAAAGTACGTTTTTTTTTCTGTTCCAATACAGAGTGTTGTCTCCTTTTATTTAATGGGATCCGTGTGGTAGCTTCCTGTCTTCTCTTTTCGTTAATGTATCAATAATTGCCGCGTTTGAGAATCCACATCGGATGCATCTGAGATGTTGTGAATTTTTTATCACGTGATCTGAATGTAGATGTAATAAACAAACGCTCTAGACTTTATTTGGTCACGTGATAAAATGTCAATGACAAGTTAGAAGTTTATACTTATTAAATTTGACTTTTGAGACTACAAATCAACCTAAATTTGAAATATAAACAAAAATTAAACAATCTAATCGCTTTTATATTCATAACAAAGGATAAATTGACAAACAAGACTTCACAGAACACTTACTTTCAGGCATAGAACGAACATCTCATTCACATCTCATTTCAAATCGAGATGTAAAAAATGTAATCTGAACAGGTACATCTGGGATAAACAAACGCAGATGTAGATGTAGTAGATGTGTCCGATGTGGATAAAAAAACGCTCGAGATGTAAAAAATGCATCCGATGTGGATTCTCAAACGCGGCAAATGGTATCTATTAATTAAAAGTTACTACAATTGATGTAATATCAAGCCATAATTTTCAATAATTATTATTTTTTTTAAATAAAAGTTTGACAGACTTTAATCGACTTTTCATCGCTTGCATTACGACGGTGAATAAAAGAACACGCCTTTTCATGAATGACAATTGACGTATTTGACAGATACTCAAAAATCTATTTTTTTAGGTTATAATTATTAAAAATCAAATAATTAATTAATAGCGTATATTTATAAAAACAAGACTAAATACAGGATCCTATAGGATCTAGTCTAAAAAAAGAATGCGTTCGTTTAGTAAGGCTGGTCTACCTTTCCCACCACCTTCAAAAGTTATCAGATTCGTAAGGGAAGGTTGTACGAATAGGCCTTTTTATCACATTGTTGTTGCCGAGGTAATATGCGATTTCCGTTAAAATATTTTATACAAATTGCTAATTTCTCAGGCAAGAAGCGATCAACATGATCCAGCTATAGAACAACTTGGAACGCACGATCCTATTCCAAATGAATACAATGAAAAACTGACCTCGTTAAATTTCGAAAGAATTAGGTATTGGTTAACGCAAGGAGCTAGTGCATCTAGGCCAGTACAAGAATTATTAGGTAAGATTCAAATTAAATCAAAATAGCTTATTGACAAAGTAAATCATATACTTATATGGTATATAGTCCATGTCTAAACGTTTTAGTCTGAAAAATTTCAAAAATTGTTGCATAAGGTTAATATTTGGAATTCGTAAATATATTTTTAAAAAATTTAAAGAAACCAAATGGTTTTATTTTGAGGCAGATAATTTGAAAGAAAATATAGCTGGGTCATTTAAAGTTGGGATTTTAATGTTTGTAATAATTCAAAATTCCTAAAACCCTCTCTTAACCAATGTCTTTAATTTTCTGGATCTTTTATACCTACTTTAAAATTGCTTCAACTTTATTTTCATCAATTTGCACCTCTTTTTCATTTATTTTATACCCTAAACTTTGAGTGCTTTATATTTCTTCAGCAAAATTGTATTGGTTTTTAGGACTTGCTGGTTTTTTTCCAATCCACCCTAGAAGTTATATGACTGCATGGAGAAATAGACAAAAAGCAACAGAAGCTGCTGCTGAATCTGCAGCCAATGTTGCTAAAGATGCTAATGTAAAAAGTTGAATGAAGTAATTTTTCAAGTAATGTTTAGTGTGAATATTATATTGTTATTTTTAAATATTAAATATAGTGTAGTTAATAATTGCTCTATCATTTAAAAGCGTAATTTTATGTAAAATTGTTGCCAAAACATTATTCTTCCTATCGGAGTCTACCTACGGTCAGAAATAATCCGGTACCAAATTTTAAATAAAACAAATTATTTTTATTCAAAATATAAATATATATATTCATAAAATTCCACCAAACAAAAATTAAACAAGCATTATATTAATTTTAATCTCATAATCATTATTACTTTCAACATTACACATTCTATCACTTTTTATTCAAACCAAAATGCATAATTTTCCTGAAAAGACCCGGTCCATTCCAGTACCCATTCAGCATTAAATGCCAGTACAACGAAGGCATGAAATTTTTCTTTAGATAATATATGGAGTACATTTCTTTTGCTTGATTGAATGGAAACGTTTCCAATGGAACAAAATCATAATCGAATTCGGCCAAAATGGCTTTATTGCCTCCTGTTACTAGAGGGCATGAACCATATCCATCATATGCAATTTGAGGAGCAGGAGCACCTTTCATCACGGCACTCAAATGTTGGTAAACCACGTTTGTCTGTGCAGCTATAAAGAAACAATTTTTTTACTAAAATATCAATTTAAATTGACTGATTTTTATACCTGCTGCTGCGGCTGTTTTTGCATTTGTTGTAGACCCACAGTCGCCAATAGCGAATACATTTTTATACCTGACATGTTGCAAATTATGTTTATCAACGTCAACAAAACCCAAAGCGTTGGTAAGTTGTTTATTTTTGCTTAAACTTTCAGGAGACGCCATTGGTGGAGTCACGTGAAGCATAGAGAACTAAAATATAAACAGTTTCATAGTAGCAGCTTTTATAAACTAATTTACACTACAATTTTAATGGATAAGTTCAAATATGTCAACTTTTCGTTATAGCGCCCTATAAAATTCAAAATGATATAAAATAACAGAAATTAGAAACAAATAACTTCTGTAGAACCCTATATTAAAAAAAAGTAGTTAGAATAATTTTCCATCTCACTTAAACCACAGCACATAGAGGTTGCATAACTTTAAAAAACTCATGCCTGCTATTTAAACTTAATAGTAAGAAAAAAATATTTACTTGTACAGTTTTTTTCTCTTCAGGATTGTCGAGATTCTCAAATACAGCTTCATTCTTTTCTGCATCAACTTTTACTAAGCTGGTTCTTACATTAACATTAATGTCTCGTTCTTGGCAAATTTTCCAAAGTACGTCGGCGTAAGCTTTAACGCCGAAAATTACAGGTAAGGTAGTGTTGTAAGTTACTTGTACGTTATTTCGTCGATTATGCTAAAAATGTTTCGTTTACACAACTAATTTATTTAATTTATTGATAATTATTCACCTTTCTTAAATAATGCTCTGTAAGGTAACAAATTTTTTGTGGCGCCCCTGGACACTTCAGAGTGGTATTCGGGAAAGTAAAGACAGCATGTCCGGACGATAATTTTTTTAATACTTCGTATGTGTGACTGGCGTATTTTGGTGAATATACGGAACATACGTTAGTTGGTGTTTCTAAGGCTTCTAATAAACCTGGAATCTGGAAATATGTAGTAATAAACTTAAAATAATTATAACACGATTCATTGGCATTTCATTTAAATATACTGGAATTATTCTCAAAAGGAGAATTTGTGAAAGAATGCCTAACAAAATTTAGTCAAAAGACGAATAGATGCAATGGCCGAAAACATTAAAATTGCTCCTAGAGAAATGTGTTGCATTTTGCACATTTAAAAGTTACCAAACTAATATTAAAAATGTCAAAACGTTTATATTACAAGTTATAAAAGTAATTTTAGAAGACAAATTGAGTTTGCTGATTTTCTTATAGCTCCCATCATCAGATTTTGACCAAATGTACATGGGACCAACCCCAAGGTACCCCCTTTCTATCAAAAAAAGAATTATATAAACCTGACAAAGTGGTAAAAAATTATCGCTGAATATACATAAAAAAAGACTGGTGATTTTCTCATGGATTCCATTATCAAATTTTTACCATATTTATATGGGACCACCCCAGAGGTATCCCCTTTCTAACAAAAAAAAAAAAGAATCATAAATCGGACAACTTGGTAATTATCTCTGAACATACACAAAGTATTCCGACGAATTGAGAACCTCATACTTTTTTGGAGGTCCATTAAAAATAAATATTGATTTTAAAAATTATATTTTATAATATGATCAGTAAAACTGAGCATTTCTGCATAATTTCCTTTAAAAGGCACCTTGAACAACCTGCAATTCATTTATCTCAATATACGTATTTACATATTATTCTCAAAAGTAGTAATTCCCAATAAAACATTTGTTTCCTGTTATATACTAGTATAAAAAATTGGAAATCATCACTTATCAAAGTAATCAATAAAAAAGATTAGATTCATAAGTAGCTACTTATGTAATATATATTTTTTATTTAAAGAAATTATATAACATTTTATGGATAATCTGTTTTTTGGAATGTTTTACTTTGAAAAGTAATTTTTATAAATTATTGATAAGTAACACAAAAAATACCAATGAACCTTTTAATGCATTTAAATTATAGTTATTATAGTTAAAATAAAAATCTCAATCTCTATAAAACATGGTTAAATATATATTAGCCTTTCTTACACGTCTCCCTTAAAATAACCATATAAAATGCTGGGACTTCGCAAATGATCAACCTCATGTATTTAAAGAAACGAATATTAAAGTATTATTATTGTAATGGTGAGTAATCCACAAGAAAAGTTTATAAAGTAGTCCTTGGAGAGAATATTTTAGAGTGATATTATCCTTGATCCAGAGAATACCGCATTAGTTTCCAGCACTTCTACAAAGCCACGCCCAATGAAAAATATTGTGATTAAAATTTTAAATTGAATGCCTAAATAAATTTGCAGAAAATAACCTTTATCCTAAAAATTGAAAATATAACTTATTGTTTCGCTTATTTAAAATTGTGTACGGAGCATGGAGCAGTAGCTACAACCAAAAATGAGAAAAGTCAAGAATCAAGAAGTGAGGTTAGGATTCTGACATTCGGACCTTTAACAAAATAAATAATATAAATATTTGTCAAACGTTAAAAATTTTTCCAGTTATATCCAGTGTTTTAAATATACAGCAACATTTACACCAGGTTCAAAGTGAAATCTATTAAAAAAAATCATCTACTAACCTTGTCGTACCTCAGCTCTAAACCGACGGCCACCAATAAATAATCATACTCGATGGTATGCCCTTTTTCAGTGTAAACTCTATTTTTTTCTGGATCATATTCCGCAGCTTTATCTTTGACCCAAGTGCAGTTTTTCGGCAGAACATCTTTTTCTTTTCTTCTCGAATCTTCTAGATTTTTAATGCCTGCCCCGACAAGGGTGAAAAGTGGTTGATAATAATGATATTCGCTGGGTTCCAAAACGATTAGGTCATTTTTATTTAGAACTTTGGAAAATTTTGCTGCTGTTGCACATCCTCCAGCGCCACCGCCCACTACCAGCAGTTTACAACTTTTAAAAATAATTAAGATAAGTTAAACGAAAAATATATCGAATCTATTATTTACCTGAATTTGTCATTTTTAATAGTTGTAACAGAAAAATGACGCTTTCCTTGACCCAAAATTTTCTGCACGTTCCTAAACATCATGAGTTTGTAATAACTTGCAATCAATACCACAGATCATCAATGATTAATTTCGTTTCCAAATATTTATCTATGTAAATCACTACAAAGTGATTCTAGTAATCCTTTATTTATTCATAATTTTATCATTATACAGATAATGAAATGGCATTACCTCTGTTTCTACCTAGATATATAGAAGCAATCAATAATCAATAAAAAACGTACAAATTTATACAAATATTTTATATAATTAATTTATTTTCATTCAACTACTTTAGAATTGTCATCATTGTCAAAATTAAATTAATCCAGCATCCAGCAGATCCAGCCAATGAGATTACGCCCCTTGTTAAAGAGATCAAAATTAATCAGCGTTGCCAGATCGATCTAAAATATATATCGTACATCAGTCAAAATTATCGAGTTTTATCCTAGGTACCCATGTTTTTACCTTTTCTAATTAAAAGAATGAAAAACCACTATTCAAATTTAAAACTGATACAGGACAGGGTTAGGTCAAAGACGTTAATAAAAATAACATATCTATCTTATATGTATCTAAATTAGGGTGTGGCCTATGGTGACTATATTTCCCAGACAACACATTAAATCCCAGAGATATCCACAGAATATCTTTTGTGGATATCCAATATATCCACAGGATATCTGAAATATTCCGTGGATTTAATATGGATATCCAAATGTCCGTCTATATCCAGAATATAGAAGATATCCTATGGATTATCCAGCAAAATATCTAATGGGTATATATATCTTCCAGACAATACAAGAAATCCCAGAGATATCCACAGAATATATTTTGTGGATATCCAATATATCCAGTGGATCTAATATGGATATCCAAATGTCCTTCTATAATCTATATCCCAGGATATAGAAGATATTCGGATATTCAGCAAAATATTTTATGGGTACCTTTAGTAGAGGCACAGTTTATAGCTAAAGAATCAGTTAGCTCACTCGGACCAATTGGATGTTCCAAAATAACATCCACTCCAGGGATGCGCAGAAGACTGCTGTTTGAATATAGGCGGTAGTCATATATTGTATTAGTCATTTCAAACAAATGAACTGCCAGTGGGAAGATTTGATTTATCTAAGGGTTGCGACATACAATGTATTCTGTTTACAATACGTAAAATCAATGTCAAACACAATAAAAATAATAATAAAAATAAAAAATCGCTTATACATTTTTTCATAAATTAGCAGACTTGGTGACTATTATTTCGAATAAAAAAAGCGTTCAAGATTCAAGACTATGTCGCTACCCCCTTAGATATACCAGACCTTCTCACTGGCAGCTATTGTTTGACAGGTCGTTGGAATGTCTAATTGGTTATTGGCGATTCAAATTCATTTTCGCGCGTCTGTCATTTGTCACCTATAAGTAGGATGTTTGTTTATTTACATTTACATTAACGGCCGTTAAAATATAAAGGAATTATTACACAATAGACTCCAATAGATGTAACCAGGATTGGAGCTGGGAATCCCTGCCCAGAAATGTTCTCAGTGAAGTAAAATAGTTTTTTAAAAAATAGTTGAAGAGGAATTAAATTATTAAATGAAAAACGTTTAATAATTATTGTGAAATTGATATACATTGGATAGAACAATTAAATTATCACATAAATCGATAATTATTGTCCATCTTGGCAACATCGTACTGTATTATTACAAATTAGATAGCAGGAAACACTTGTCCGCCATATGCAGGAACTACTTTAGTCGCAAGGTCGGTTGACACTTTTATATGTGTTTTACATTTTAATGTGACATGACAAGTGACATTTCAATAATGTATATTTTTGATGTTTTGATAGTAGATTCTAAAGGATATAAAATATCTACGTGTGCATAACATAATTTAAAACTTATTTTTCATACTAAAATTACTATAAAATAAAACTTACTCATGGAAGGCTATTTATTGGTACGTAACAATTAATATCCTCTTTATTAATATATTAAAAAGATCTATTGGAATTTCTGTAACCTTTAAAAGATCTGAAATAGTTTAAAATTAGGGCTCCAGAGTTGTTGCTCGCAATTATGTCGATTTAAACATTTCAGGAACCTACTTTATACACCATAAAAGGTATCGCGATTTTGGATAACGATGGAAATAGAATCCTGGCTAAATACTATGACAAAAATGTATTTCCTACAGCCAAAGAACAAAAAACGTTTGAGAAGAATCTATTTAACAAAACCCACAGAGCTAATGCAGAAATAATAATGTTAGATGGGTTAACTTGTGTATATAGGAGTAATGTCGATCTGTTTTTCTATGTTATGGGTAGCTCACATGAAAATGAGGTAGGTTATAGTTATTGATATTTAAAACAGTCCTCAAATTGAGAAAAATTATCATTATTGTTATTATAAGTTGCTAAAATCTTTCCTAATTTCATATACAAAGGTTTATCTTAATAATTTTTATTAACAAGTTATAAAAGTAATTTAAAAAAAAATGACTCCGAAAGTAATGATTTTTTCATAGAACGCTACATTGGATTTTGACCAAATTTATATGAGATCAGCCCTAAGATATCCCCTTTCTAATAAAAAAATCATAAAAATCTGACATTATTTGCAAGTGAATTTTTTTAAATGAAAAAATGTTTTATTTGTAGCTAATACTGATGAGTGTATTGAATTGTTTGTATGATTCCGTCAGTCAGATCTTAAGAAAAAATATGGAGAAGAGGGTAGTTTTAGAATCGTTAGATATAGTTATGTTAGCAATGGATGAAATATGCGATGGAGGGTAAGAATTAATATTTAAATTGTTTCATTTCATGCTTTCTTGTTAACTATTTTTATATCCCTATTTTCCCCTTATTATTCATAATATTAATACTAATTTTTAAATATTTGTAATTTTAATTTTTCTATTGATATTTTTCTAAAATTTTGCATACAAATTTGTGATGAAGGGTAAGACATTTTAAATCGTTTACCATTATTTATAATATAATAGCTAAAGGCAACAGTGAGATAAACTCAAAAAAATCGATGTCAAATGTAAGCTAAAACTGACTTTAGCTGAAATGTTTAAAATGCTATAAAAAGATGAAACTTGGTGTTAAATTCAGCTAAGATTGGTTTTAGTTTACCTTTGACAGATTTAACTTGACATTGATTTTTTGGGGTTTATTTCACTGTTGCTTTCAGGTATCCATATCTGTAATTTTAAATCTGGTTGATATTTATCTAAAATTTTACAAATTGTTTTAATTTAAAGGATTATCATTGATGCAGACTCTAATTCAGTGGTATCCAGAGTTGCATTGAGAAATGATGACATTCCAATTGGAGAGCAAACTGTAGCTCAGGTAACTAATGCCATACATTCTTTGTTTTGGTAGCAATATAAATATATTTTTTATACAAATTGTATATTTTGTATTAAGTTTTTTAAAAAGACAAAAATGTATTAATTAGTTTAGTTAAATTAGAACCGAAATAATTGTGAATTATATTTTTTATAATGATAATGAAGAATTAATTTATTTATAGGTGTTTCAATCCGCCAAAGAACAGCTGAAATGGTCTTTATTAAAGTAAGATGAAGGTTCAATCAATAAATTTTATGATTAAAAATGTTAAAGATTTATTTCACCTTGTTTTTTATTATTTTGATCTTACTTTTTTGTTGTGTGTGCTTCAAAAATAAGTACCAAAAATTGTTGAATATTTATTTATATTAAAAAAAGGGATTAAAAAATGTTTTTGAAAATGTAATATTTTAATTATATGCAGTTTACAAAATACCAGTGTCTTTGACGATTTTTTGAAGGATGCTCTCGTGAACAGAATCGAAAACTTTTCTGATATTTTTCGTATCTGTTGCTATGGTATTGTGGATATATACATCCCTCGGTTTTAGCTGTTCGGTGATATTTTTACCTGGTCTCATTCCCATATTTTCTACGAATACAGGCATTCTTGCAATTCCCTACAAAAAGTGGTAATAATTATTCAAGGTACTTACTTTTTATTATCAAGTTGCCTTTTTAGTATCATAATTAACTACTAAGGGAAAAAATATATAATATAGAGAAAAAATCAGGCACTTTAGGGAATAATATAAAATAATTATAAAAAAATAAGGTAAAATGACCAATAGATGACAGTCTTAAGGGAAAAAAATGGGGAAAAAACCATATTTTATACATTCTGACACCAAATTTGCTTATAAATGTTTAGATTGAATCTTGCTTAAGAGAAGTAACAATTTAAACTTGAGTTAAAATTAAAAAATATTGTGAAAAAATATATAACAAAAATATATAACATACGCACCCATAGATGACACTCATAAATGAATATGTGCCAATAGATGACAGCAACTTTACCAAAAGTTGACATATATACCTATTGTATTTATATTTTATTTGGTAAAAAATACAAAGTATTCTTAAAATAATTAACACTAATAGCTGTGAAAAGAAAACAGTCTATGAAATTAGACTAGTGCTGAAATCTTAAATTTCTTTGACTGTTAATGACGTTTTAAAGAGGTAACTTATTCTCTCTACTCTACTCAAAATTTCTGGTTAAGGCACTTTGCCAATCACTTGGTCAATGGTAACCGAGGAAATATCATTTTCATTTGGTTAAACTGTTTTTATCTTTGTACGTTAATTTGAGTCCCATCACCTGCACAAAATCGATCTTTTCTTGTACAACACAAATGAACAAACTTTGTTTGGTTTCGTTTTCCTCCAACAAATTCGCAGAGTATGAAGTCGCCTTCAACAATAGCTTCAAAAGAAACTGGCTTAATTGAAATATCATTGACTTCCTCTTCAAAATCTTCATCCCACTGTGAAGACTCGCTACTACTTACTGAAAGTGACTCTGCTGTTGAAGATTCACTATCTTCTATTTTGGATTTTTTGATTTCCTTTCTTTTGTTCTTTTCCTGATCTTCAACTTTTCTTTGTTTCTTCCAACTTGCTTCTCTTTATTTCTAATTCCTGTTGTTTTTTCTTGATCTGTCTTCTTTTCTTTTGGTTTGTTCTTACAGCTTCTTCTGTTTTACTTCCTCTTTTTTTTATAATATGTGAAAGCCTGAGCTGATGTTAATACTGAAGGTATCTTTCCCTTTTAACTTTTTTGTTAGATATGGGTTTTTCTTCTGGCCAAAAAAGTATTCTCTTGAATGGAGATGGAATAGTGGAATCAGAGTTTTTGGCACTTGCAGGTTTTTGGTTCTCAACACTCGCAAGTTGGAGGTGTCAAATGAGGGATGACCTTCGTTACTTCAGTTTCTGATGACTCTAGTTTTTCTTCTTCTAGCGTTAAATCATCTAGGTACTCAGTTTCTGGAATGTTCTCTGGTTTGTCTCTTTCGTGATTATCTTCAGAGGGTGGTAACTAAAAAGTTATTAGACATTTAGAATTATGGCATTTTAAAACCAACATGTTACTTACGTTTTCTGTCATTTCTTCCCGAGTTCCTTGATCAGAATCAGATTGCACTCCAGATTATCCCGGAACGTCCCCATTTAAATTTTCTGCTTCTTCCTCATCTTCATTTCTATCATGTGGCAAAGCCTAAAAAGTAATTAGGATTATGAAAATAATATCCATATAAGTATTTTCTAAAATGTTACCTGTTTTTTAACCAGAGTAGTATTTTTCTTCCAAATCTTGTAAAGGGATGTATCATCCTTTGGCTCTTTCCATTCTCCAGTATTTTGTTTAAATTCCAGTAATTTTTCGTGTTCTCTTTCATTTTCCAGGAAAACTAAAAATGTTTTAATGTCATCGAAATTTGGATTTGTTGTAAATTTAGGATTTGGTGCATTGAATAATGGAATTGTCACAGCATCAGGATTCCAAGGGACTAGCCCACATTTTCTAAAACCATTTGATATTATTAAAGGCTCGATATTTTGAATGGTGTTGTGAAGAAGCGGAGGAAAGTCTTTCTTGTTCAGGGGGAAAAATGCTTTTTGGTGCTATTCTTTTTCTTATTGGCAACTTCCCACTTCATATACATTAAAGTAGTTCTGGGTATCATATATTTTTTAGCTACTGATTTAACAAATTGTCCTGCCCTAACCTCATTTAAAGCATCAAGCATTGCTTCTGAAGTGTATTTCAGAATTCTTTTGTTTTGTCCTGGCATCTAAAAAAAGGTTAAGAGGCATACAAATACAATCTTACACCCTCGCTAATACCTGACACTCAGAAAATCCATTGGATGGCACCCTATGTCATTTATGGGTTCCTACTGTTTAATTGTGTTACAAAAAATACCTATTTGCACAGTAAACGTTCCCAACATATAACAATGATATAACATATATCTAATCTAAAAAACTTGCTAAATCCAATGCATGACCCAAGTGTCAGCCTTCGGTTTAAAGCAACTTGCCAGATCAATGGCTGACACCGACGCTGAGGAGTTTTCTGCATAGCAACTACTTTAAAATCATTAACAAAACAAAATACTATCATATATCTCACATCTACTTTAGAAAAATGTTCTAGAAATATTATAAAGATTTAACTTAAAATATTTTGCCACTTACCTTCTTAGTAAATTGATTAAGAAATCACTAAAAACCACGTGTTTTTTTAACATTCAAGAGAACTGATGCTCTGCACTCTTCCACAATCAGTTGGTAACTGAATATTCCCCACCATGCCGTCACATAATGAAACAATTTTGCCACGTTTCACAAAATACTAAAATGCGTTTGCAGTTCTTATAAATCATAAGTGAATTTGGGGTGTCATCTATTGGTATGAACAACTTGGGGTGTCCGTCACCCATTGGTCAGTTTACCTTATGTAAGTAAAAAATAAAAATACATATAAGTAAAAATATAAATATAGTTTAGTATATTGACCTTTTTATGCACAGTACAATACACTTTTAATCATACAAAGAAAGAAATATAACGAATAAAAAAATACCAAAATATAAGTAAAAATATGAAGAAAAATAGGGATATATGTAATACATATACACAGGTAAGATGTTGAATATTTTTTAAGTAAAAAAGAAAAATAAATTAATTTAATTGCCAAAATGATCAAAACGGATTCAGGCAATCCCAAAACGTAAAGATATGTCGAAAATTCGAGGTAAAAAAATTATGATTCCTATACTTTTACTTATCGAATACAGGAAAGTAAAAGCAGCAAATTTAATACAAAATTAAGGGCTTACTTTTTTAAATCAAGGTTTCTCGGCCCTAAATGTTATTATTTAGTATTTCCTTAAAATTTGACAAAAAACGAATAAAAAATAAAAGTTCAAAACATTCGAATAAATCAAAATTTGATTTTGTACTTACTAAAATCTTGTTTTTCATAAACAATCTAACTTTTTCATACTCTGTATTGCATTCTTCTCTTCCCGAAGGTGTAAAATTCGAATATTCCGGAAAGTATTTCTCTATTTTTCTTCCTTGTTCGATCTTCCTTTGAAGTATGTCTTGCTTATTCAGAAAAACAATCATTGCGGCATCTTTAACATACCTACCAATAAATTAATTGTTAAGGATGTTTCGTTTCATAAAAATTATCACAAATACTTACACATTTGAATAGATATCTTGAAACAAATTAAAAGACTCCTGAAGTCTATTAACGCTTTCGTCTTCTCTTAATTTCAAATCAAAATCGCTGGACGCTATTAAAAATAGAATAGCCTGAATGCCGGCGAACACTTTTATCCATTTTTTTCTTTCGCCACGTTGCCCGCCTACATCGAACATCCAGAATTCAGCCATGCCGCCTCCGTATTTTTTCGGAATCGGTATTTCGAAGTCTATTTTGCTAATCGAGATTGTTTTGATTCGACAGAATAGAATGTCTTGATTCGTTGGAATGAAACCCGATGTTTGGATGACATCGATTTGGTTTAAGAAACTGAAAATATTAATAATATTATCTTTTTTATCAAACAAGACAATATTGTCGTTTGTTAATAAATTTTTCTTAAACCGCACCTGGCATTTTATAGAAACAGTCAAAAACGATGCGTCACTCATCTTCACGCTTAATACAAACCACATAACATTAATAAATGCTCTCACGTGAGCGCTGGATCGCAGATGGTTGGTTGAACCTAACTGACGCGGGAAGCCACTTTCCTTCGGCTTCGCGTCTCCTGCAGAATCATTTTTCTCACTTCACCGTCAATAACACCTTAAAAAACCAGCGTGTATCGACATATTGAACATTTGCTGATTCTTAAATTATTTAATACTATTAGGCTGTAGCTTGTAGCAAATACACATTTGAAGCTATTCAAAAGTATTTAATTCCAACTTCGGTACAAATAGGGATAAATGAAATAAGAAATGTAAAAGATGGTGGTGTAGTTATTAAATGTAATTCTAAAAATGAACTTGAAAAGGTTAAATCTGATGTCGAAAAGAAATTATCTAAGAGTTATAATTACGGTTGCCAGATTTCCGAAAGTGAAAAGTGTGACAACCGTGACGACAGAGCAGTAGGTTCAAATACCAAGCATTTGTATATAATCGAGTCCATTTTTTGTAAAATTTCTAAAAATAGGTCCTCAGCTTATATTTTTCGTAAAAACGAAAGTCCTTTACCCGCAGATTTGTCTAAAAGCGTGGCATTTACATAAAAAGAGTGGCATTTTCGTAATGTGGCGTTACGCGTACAAGCAAAAAGCGTGGAAAATATGCCAAAAGCCTGACGTCTGGCAACCCTAGTTATAATATTGTGTCACCAGATTTAAAAAATCCCTCCATAAAAGTTATAGATATAGAAAATGAAATGTCTCTTGAAGATTTAATAAATTGTATTAAAAAGCAGAATGGTTTCTCAAATGATGGGATTCTAATATATCTATTAAAGTTTAAAAAAAAATTAAATCTAAATTCATGGCTATAATTGTTTGTGATCCACAGTCATATAAAAATATACTAAAAGAAGGTTTCCTGTGTGTTAATTGGGCAGTTTTGTTACAGTGCAGAGGTGAAATTTTCTCATTATAATAAAATCATTGGAATTATATGTATGCATCGTTCAACAGATGGCAATATTAATACTTTTTTAGAGTCCTAGATCGCGTTTTAGATTATGTATTTAATTCCGATTGTTATGTAATTTTATCCCAGACAGCACACCAAATCCTTTGGATATCTACTGAACATCCCAATATCCACTGAATGTCCAGTCCATGGTGGATATCTATTTTATATCCATAAAATGTAATTTATAGACATGCAAATGTCCATAAATAATAGTAATTATATAGCAAATTATTAAAAAATTACGCCATTGTGCTCGCCATTGTGGCTAATAGTACCGTTCAGATATTTAAAATTAATTTTTTTAAGGTGTATTCAATATCCCATGGACATCCTCATATATCAAAGTCTTAGCGCGGACGCAAACCATCGTGGATAACTACTAGATGTAATTTTTGATTTTGCTTCCTAAGTATAGATGGCGATACCACTTTCGTATCTACTCATGCTCAACCCGCCATAATTGAGTTGATCGAACATTTTTTCGCATTAAGACTCTATTAGAGATTGGAGTCGAGAATTTCCATTTATTGCTGAAGAGTCCTAATAAGGATGACTTTTTCCTTAGTGGGCAAACTCAAAGACAGATTGTTGGAAATATTTTTTATCTCTATTTTCTTTCGACGTTATCATTCATTTGGTTACTTATGAATGTCTACTAAAGATACCTATAAAATATTTTGCTGAATATCTGAATTCTATATCCTGGGATATAGACGGACATTTGGTTGGATATCCATATTTGGATATTGGATATCCACAAAATATATTCTGTGGATATCTCTGGGATTTCTTGTATTGTCTGGAAGATACTAATTAGATATTTTGCTGAATATCCATAGGATATCTTCTATATTCTGGATATAGACGGACATTTGGATATCCATATTAGATCCACGGAATATTTCTGATATCTTGTGGATATATTGGATATCCACAAAAGATATTCTGTGGATATCTTTGGGATTTGGTGTGTTGTCTGGGATGTGACGATCTTTATATAAATTTTTTAAGTAGTGATATACCGGGTGTTCAAATTAAAGTGTTACAGTTAAATACCGCCGAAAATATGTATTTTAGAAAAAAAAGTTTCAGGCAAAAGTTTTATAGTTTTTTGGGGAAACATTTTGGCTAAATTCATTTTTTTATAGCTGACCATATTGAGGTGGACTTTGTTTTTTTAAATGGGAATCCCATTTTTTCTTACATATTCTTAAAGTACATAAAAAAATAAGAAACTTTTGAGGGAAATATTTTTTTTATTGGACTTTTACTTTTTGAGTAACAGCTACTTGAAAATGTTGCTTACCGAAAAAAAAGTTGGCCATATTATGGTTAGCTATAAAAAATGATTTTAGCCAAAAGTTTTTCCCCACAAAACTATAAAGCTTTCGTCTGAAACGTTTTTTTTTTTTTTTATAAAAAAGTGGTATATAGCTGTAACGCTTTAATTTGAACACCCGGTATATCGAAGCACCAACTTTTTGATTTATTTTATTCTTACAACCTTTTAAGCCATATAAAATAGCCTACCAGAGTAAATAATGTAATAATAACTGTATTTGTAGCAATGTTGGTGATGATTTTTGTTTAGACTCAACAGCTGTTCTGAAGAATGGTCTATCTGATCATTCTGGTCAATTAGCTGTCTTTAAGTTAAATAGTAAAGTTGAATCTATAAAAACATCAGTGAAACGTATATTTAATAATGAAAATTACAATTTATTTTTACATTATGAATGAATCTTGGAATGGTATATATCAAACCGTAAATATTGAAGATGATTTAGAGCGTTTTCTGAAACTCTCCTTTATTATATGGATATCTGTTTTCCACTAGTCACTGTTAAACATAAAGCAAAATGCAAATCTAACTGGATTACAAATGCTACACGTATTTCTTCAGAAAAATTAAAACTTCTATATCGCCTTAAAGTAGCCTCAAATTCACCTGATCATAAAAATTATTACCGTAGATATAAAAAGATTTATAGAAAAGTCTGTGCAGCTGCCAAAATATTAGAAAATGACCGACTATACTACTTTGCATCTAACATCAAAAGCGGTTTGGTCAATTATTAATGATGACTTAAATAATAAGTCGCGAAATTCTGCTAAAATCTCAGATATTTTTATTAATAACGAGAAAATTTATCATCCCTGTCACATACCAAATTCATTTAATGACTTCTTGTAAATGATTTTACCCGGTTATTACAGAATGATGTTAATTATCAGTCTCCTTCTGAGCAATGTAAAATCAGAAATATTTTACCATCTATTTTCATTGGTCCGATTACCGAAACAGAAATTTTCATTACTATAATAGATTTGAAAAAATCCAATTCTTGTGGAATTGATCAAATTAGTTCCAATATTCTTAAATAGGTATGTTGCTTATTATATTATTGGACCACTAACGTTCCTAATTAACAGATCTTACCAAGAAGGTGTTTTTCCGAAGATATTTAAGACAGCCAAAGTTATACCACTATTTAAAAAAGGTGATGTATCACTTATGGATAAGTATAGACCTATATCTATATTATCCAGTATTTTAAAAATATTAGAAAAATTTATGTTTAGGAAAATGGTAGACTACGGCGTAAAATATAATGTATTTCATGATAGTCAGCATGGGTTCAGGGAAGGTCAATCTACTCAAACTGCCGTTATCAGCTTCCTTAATTACTTCTATGATAATTTAAATAAAAACAAAAGAAGTATATGTATTTTTATGGACTTAAGCAAAGCCTTTGATCTAGTAGATCATGCTATACTTTATGTTAAACTTGGTAAGTATGGTTTTAGAGAAAGAGTCGGTGAGTGGTTAAGCTCATATATATCTGAGAGAAATTAGCTAACAGTTGTTAACTCTCGTCTATCAAAAACACGTTTAATTGTGGAGTTCCTCAGGGCTCTGTCGTTGTGCCACTTTTATTTTTATTTTTTTATTAACGACTTATCATGATGGTAATATTGTATTATTTGCAAATGATACTTCCTATCTATATTGCAATAATGATATCTCGCAATTAACTGTTGAATTTCAATTTAGAATAGACAAGTTGGTTCGATGGTTCGAGGATAATAAACTCATTATAAATAAAGAAAAAACCGTGTTTATTTATTTTACTCCCAGGGTTAATGATATTTATGAGAGCCATTTAATGAGATAATAGGTGGTACATCAATCCATCAAGTTCAGTCTACAAAATTCTTAGGCGTTCACATTAACAATTCATTAAGTTGGGTAATTCATATTGATATACTGTGTAAAAAACTTTCATCTGTATGCTTTGCACTTTTATGCTTAGGAATATTACTAATAAATCTGTTTTGTTAGCATATTATTACGCACATTGTTATTCACTTATCAGATTTGGTTTAATTTTTTGGGGATCATCTACTCGTGTACTGAAGGTTTTTAGACCTCATACAATGTTAATAAGTATTTACAAGTATAAAAAATATATCAAAACCCAACTAACTCGTAAAGAAATCAAGTATCTTAGGTATTTTGAAAAACTACTACTATAACAACTAAAACCAATAATTGAAAATAAAAAACCTGATAGGAAAATGTTACTTACTGTTCTGCACTATCAATAAGTTGATACTCATTGGATCTATTAAACGTTTCTTTGACACCTTCATCTGCCCAAGCTTTTTTTACGTGATTAAAGTATTCCTAAAAATTATATTTAATTTAAAACATATAGTGTAGAAGCAAACTGAAGAAATATATTAAAATACTGTTTTCAAGTACAGACGGCGCTGTAATCGTTTATATTTTACATAATATTTTCTTACCGGAGTAAATTCATTTGGTCCTTCTTGGCCTATTTTCACGATGAAATCGATCGAATTTATAGTTTCCTCGTTTTTGACTTTGACAGGAGGATTAATTTTATTCATATTAGTGATGATGTCATAGATAGATTCATGAATATTTTGTTTGATGTATGGGATTTTTTCTTTTCTTTCACTAAAAATTATGCATATGTGAGAAATTTTTAAAATTGTCAACACTGAAACATCATTTTTGGTTTTCTTTTGTTAATATCTAAAAAGTGCGTGTCTTATTTCTAACCAAAAAACTTCTTCCTAGGCATTTCTATAGTTTTAATGAATTCATTAAAAGTAAACATTAACTTTAAAAAATTTAATGATTGCATGTATGACAAAAAATTTATTAAAAAAGTAATCCCTCTTTACGAGGCCTATGAATTTATTTTTGGAATACCCTGTATTATATGTACCGATACTACTTATACATACCTAATTTGAATGTTTTAAATCTAATATTTTTATTTAGTTGATTATTTGTATTTTTTACGAAAATTATCAAAAGTACTTTAGGTGCTTATATCAACTAGGAAATATTCTTTCGACAGTGTTTTATTGTTCACAATTTGTACATACTTATCTGAGTAACCATTAATATGTAAAATTTTCATCTGTTTGATGATCGTAGTTTTTCCAGACTCGCCAGTTCCCAAAAGTAAAAGTTTTTTCACTTCTAAAAACTTTTTCGTATAGAGAAGATGGTCTTTGTCTTCTTTACCATCTTTACCACATACCATCTTTTATTTTCTTGAACTTTTACTGTCACCTTTCGATTAAATGTTATTGAATATGTTAATCTAATTGAAATTATTATCAGATATCTATGTAAAATCGCGATAAGTGATTCTAACGAAATGAACTACTGAATATTGTGTATCTTATCAAATCATTCAAACCAAATCGTTAAAATCTTGTTGTAAAGACTTTGATTTTTATTTTTAATTCCATATATAGTGATTATAAGTGTAGTAAGTATTACATATACAGAAGCCACTTCTAAATAGTATCAATAATAAAACTATAGAAAATAATAAACATTTATTTGAGTTACCAATTTATTAATAAGAAATGGATTTTTTTGCAATATAACTCATAATTCGAGTAAGAAATTTTATGATATAAAAAAATATAAATATTCCAAATAATAGTAGGTACCTAATTTGTTTAACGCGAATGTAGAAATTGATATGCGTAGGTGTTGCGTACTGTACTTTTTCAATGCCACAATTATTTTAGAGCATACAAAATGTAGGTATATGTATTTAAATATTAAGTAATTGGTAAAATAAATTCATTTTATAAAAATAAACTTTATTAGATACAAAATTGTTTTATTTTAAGTTAGTTTATAAAAAATTACGAATAATTCAAAAAATGTACTGGACGATATTTTTTTGTCGAAAATTAATCGTAATACAATAAAGAAAAGATGCTATATTATGCCGCGTTTGAGAATCCACATCGGATGCATTTTTTACATCTCGAGCGTTTTTTTATCCACATCGGACACATCTGTCCCATTACATTTACATATACTGAATCACGTGATCAAAGATTGACTACATCTCAGATTTCAGATGCATGATGCATCCGATGTGGATTCTCAAACGCGGCATTAAACGCAGCATGACGATATTTAAAAATGTCTACACCTTTGCATTACATTTTACGTCATAAACTCCAGCTATAGTGAGAATAAATAAATTTTTTTAAATGGCTTCATTTAAATTATCATTTTCATTTCATCAATCTTCATTCTATGTCGATACATTTCATGATGGATGACAAAGAGCGGCTAATGAGAAATAAGTAAAATAGAACGAAACCGCATGATATACAATTGAAGCATAGTGTCTTAAGTTGTCTCTGGTTGGTGGCAACTAGGTATAATTTTTTTGTGTAAGTAGTTTCCAGTAGTTATAAGAAGTGAATTAACAAACTCATCAAAAGAATCAACATAACACAATGTTTGCATCAGTTTCACTTTTATACTTTACTCGTCTAGACGTTCTTTATTTATTCTGTCATGTCAACACTCCATAACCTGACAACCCATGTTGACAACCGGCATAACCACAACAAAACAAATTTTGTAAACAAACAAGAATGAAATGAAGTTACTTATTTGACAACAAAGTACCTATTTACTATTTACAATAAATACAATGAATTTAGGTTTAATAGATAATTCAAACGTTATTAAAAATTTATTTAAATTGAAACCTTTAAGAAACGATGGGTAAGTCATTTTTAAATAATAAAAACCAATTGATTTGCTAATTGCTTAATTAAATTTTAGATTATTATTCAGAATACATCATACAACATGTAATACAAAAATACGATTCATACATGGATGTTTTCATCATTCCACCAACATTCTATCAATAGCAAATAGCCAGGGAATCATTTTTATCATCGATTATTCTTTGTGCAGATTTTGGGGCCTTCCAAAATTAGATTCGTGTACGTTTATTGCTTTTTCTCCGCATAATCACAAGCATTTATTAACAGGATTAAAAACGGGAAACATACTTATTTGTGATATTGATTCTGGGAATGTGCAACACAAATTAAAAGGGCATAAACTTGCCGTTACTGGTGTGTCATTTGATAAGCAGCGATACTGTTTATCAACTTCCAGACTCGAAGCTTTTATTTGGGATTTAGAGACGGCTACTAAAGTGCAAGTCCTTAATTTAGAAACTGATTGTTCATTGAAGTATGTATGTATTATTTTTTCAATACTAATTCAATAAATTTGTTCTTAAGTGGCTCAGTGCCAGAGTTGCCTAACTAACAAAATTTCAAAACAAACTTTTTTCATTTATTATTATTATTGCCAATTTCTTAAAGTTATTCGTTTTCGGTGCTACCATATCTATAGATTAGGCAGTTTTGTATAGAAAATTTAGGTAAAGTGCTCTAGTCTTCTTATATTATTATTTTATAGTCATTTCTGTGCCGACCAAAGTTGCCTATTCTTTAAAGTTATTTGTTTTTGGTCACAGTATATATACCTGAAGATTTGACACTTATGTTTAGTAGCCACATTTTTAATAAATTGTTGGTTATTCATTTCTGGTACTAAGTTACTAAATTCAATATATTTGTTCTAAATACTAATTCAATATATTTGTTATGAATTCTAATTCAACAGGTTCTAAATACTAATTCAATATATTTGTTCTAAATACTAGTTCAATAAATTTGTTATGCATTCTAATTCGACAGGTTCTAAATACTAATTTAACAGGTTCTAATTACTAATTCAATATATTTGTTCTAAATACTAGTTCACTAGATTTGTTCTACATATTAGTTCAATAGATTTCTTCTACATACTAATTTCAATAGATTTGTTCTACATACTATATAATTCAATAGATTTGTTTTACATATTAATTCACTAGATTTGTTCTAAATACTAACTCAATAGATTTGTTCCACATATTAATTCAATAGATTTGTTTTCAATACTAATTTAATAGATTTGTTCTCCATACTTATTTAATAGATTTATTCTAAATACCAATTCAATAGATTTGTTCTAAATATTAATACAATAGATTTGTTCTAAATGCCAATTCAATAGATTATTTAATATATATTCAATTACTTTGTTATCAATACTATATAATTTAATAGATTTGTTCTAAATACTAATTTAATAGATTTGTTCTACATACTAATTCAATATATTTGTTCTAAATAATCAATAGATTTATTCTAAATACCAATTCAATAGATTTGTTCTAAATGCCAATTCAATAGATTTATTTAATATATATTAATTCATTAGCTTTGTTATAAATACTATATAATCTAATAGATTTGTTCTACATACTAATTTAATATATTTGTTCTAAATAATAATTCAATAGATTTATTCTACATACAAATTCAATAGGTTTGTTCTAAATACTAATTCAATAGATTTGTTCCAAATACTAATTCAATAGGTTTGTTATAAATACTAATTTAATAATTTGTTCCAAATACTAATTCAATAGATTTGTTCCAAATACTAATTCAATAGGTTTGTTATAAATACTAATTTAATAATTTGTTCCAAATAGTAATTCAATAGATTTGTTCTAAATATTAATGTACTAGATTTGTTCTAAATACCAATTTAATAGATTTGTTCTAAATACTAATTCAATAGATTTGTTCTAAATACTAATTCAATAGATTTGTTCTAAATACTAATTCAATAGATTTTTTATAAATACTAATTCAATAATTTCTTCCAAATAGTAATTAAATAGATTTTCTCTAAATACTAATTCAGTAGGTTTGTTCTAAATACCAATTCAATAGATTTGTTCTAAATACTAATTCAATAGATTTGTTCTAAATATTAATTCAGTAGATTTGTTTTAAATACTAATTGAATAGATTTGTTTTAAATATTAATTCAATAGATTTGTTCTACATATGAAATTTAATATATTTTTTGTTTTAAATACTAATCCAATAGATTTGTTAATACCTAGATAAAATAAAGTATCTAAAACTAATTTGGCACATTTTTTAGGTAGCTTTCGTACCATTTTCCGGAAAAGTTGTAGCATGTTTTCAGGACGATTTAATACAGATATGGTCTCCTCTTAAATTTAAGACAGTTAAACAATTCTCACCTAGTAATTGGAAAAATTACTCAGTAAGATCAATAACGTTTACAAGGTAATTGAATCATTCACTTAAGTTGATAATAGTAATTTTCATTTTTTTGCCAGATTTGGGGAAATTTGTAGAGAAGATCTAATGACATGATTTAATGGTACGCCTGATAATTATCCAGAAACTTGACAAAAAAAACACATCTTCTTCAGTGATTGATAAATCCTCTAGAGAAATAATAGGATAAAAAGTCATAAAATTAAAAAGATGCAATCTATCGATCGCTGGAGACCTGGGATTGCTGAATAATTTCTAAATAATTATCAGCCGTATTACCATTAAATAATGCGGCGCGGTGTTGTCAGATCTACTTTACAAATTTCCCCAAGTCTGGGGAAACATCGATGAAAGAGTCTTAATATCTACTTGCTTATTTCATTTATTTTATTAATGAGAGTAAAAAAATTGTTTATATTTAGAAATGGTGAATTCATGGTAGTGTCAGGTCATGTGCCAACTTTGGGAATATTTCAGTTAGACACATCGAAGGTTTTAAAAATAATCAACCTTTCTGAATATTTGAAAACTGTAAAACAGATAGAATTCGTTTCTCAAGTCTTTGACGGTGGTTGCAATAAGATTCTCGGCATACTTTCAGGTGAGGTTTAAAAAATAACAATCAGAATACGCTCTATTTTGAAATACTTGCAGGACAGGGAGTTGTTTATTTTTTCGATGTCGAACAAAACGAAATAATCAGTGAATTGTGTTGCGATATGGAAATCAACAAAATTACTTGCTCACCGGATGGAACACACATTATTTGCATCTTATGTTCGGGAGAAGTGGAAGTATTTGATATAAAGCAATACGTAATGCCTCCCAAAGAAATTCACATTCATAAAATACGAAATAGATTGAAAATCAATCGCAAAAGGTGTTTAAATGAAGTTAAATATGTTAAACAAGAAGTAAGTATTTTGATTCTTGTTATGATTTTATATTTGCATGTTTATATTTATTAATTCAAGTATAGGGAGCGTAATATGTAGTTTAGAATTTTTAAAAGCTAAAATTTATTTACTCATGTAATTATCACGAAAGATTTCTATATTGATCTTTGTCCAAGTAATAGAATGTCTGTAAATAGCCAGATTTTTTATTTTTAAGGCTCTTGATACTTCTTTTCAAGTTCTTACATTTCTGTTTGGTGAGTTAATGTTAGCCAAAGAGGAAATGTTTTAATTAGTGGTTGTTGGTTGCAAATTATCTCGAGTTTTATCAGTATAATTATAATATAAAACGTTTATTTCTTGGAGTTACCTTTACTAGTATTTCTTACAGTAATAATTTATGTATTTAAGGCAAACTGTATAGTCTGCACTCAATTTAAACAGTAGAGTGTGCGTAGGGCGCCAATTTATATTTTAAATATCTTTTTAGATGAAAAACATGCTGGAAATTAAGAGATTGAAATTTATCCTAAAAGAGCACTTGGAATATCCTGAATCTTTCAGGACAAAAATCTGGGAACATCTATTACAACTTCCCAACAACATTCATAAATATAATAATGTAATAAACCATGTAACGGTGGTAGCTTTTGAGGATTTATATGATAAATATCCATTGGAAGACAAAACATTTTTGAAAGTTCTAAAAAGATCTTTGAACAATTTGGTGACTTGGTGTCCGTTTTTTGCCTACGTTGAATACATGCCGATTTTCGCTTTTCCGTTTGTGAAGGTTTTTCACAATAAACCGGTGGCTTGTTTTGAAGCCATTTGTACTGTGATATGTAAGTGATTATTTTAAAGTATGTTAAATGTTTCTATACCTATCAATTTTTTATTAACAGTTAAGATATGACCGGGTGATTATTACCGTACTCAATCCAAATATAAATTTTATACCTAAATATTGATAGTAGAGAAATACGGTTTTTCCAGGTTGTCTATCAAAATTTGGTTCACAAGTACATTTAACTATTTTTCTTAAATTTTGTTCATTTGTTTTGATAGTTCTTCGGAATTAGGTTTCTAAGGCGACATTTTTGGTTCAGCATAGAGACCTAGATAACAATATTTCACTATACGAGAGGTGAAATTTGTGAAAAGAGTCTCTGTGCTGTACTGAAAATTTTTGTTTTTAGTGTAAATCTAATTCTTGTGAACTATTGAAGATAAAATATAATTCATATCAAAGAGAGATGTATAGAACTTAAAATGTAAATTATAGAATTTATTACTGATTTGTACACGAAACAGATACTTTTTTTTATAATTTTAGTGAATTGGTGTCAACATTGGTTCGAATACTTCCCTCTAGCACCGGTAAACATATTAGCAATCGCTGAAAATATGTTATTAGAACATGATCCAGAATTGCTCTATCATTTTACTCTTCACAAAGTTACATCTAATATCTACATTTGGTCCGTATTAGAAACCATTTTTTCTGAAATATTAACTTCTTCAGAATGGTTGACACTGTGGGATCATATTTTAACAAACGAAGTGTCTTTTTTACTCTCAGCAGTAGTTGCGTATAATTTGGTACAAAGGCATACATTAATGATTTTAAAAAACTTAGAAGATATCGAGATTTTTTATAAAAATCAAAATCCTGTAGATATCAAAAAGTTGATCAAAACTAGCTACTGCGTATTAAAAAATACAAGCGAGAAGTTCCATCCTAGACAATATTTAAATAAATTTCGTCCTTTAAATAAGGGTAATTATACCTTGTTTTTTGAATACCCAAAAAAGTTAATTGACATTAAGGAAGAACAGACGAATAAATTGGATAACTATATGATCAATTTGCTAGCAAATGAGTGCAATTTAACGAAAATTAAAGAAAAATCTGCTCTTGAAGGTGTTACGCTAGAAATTCAGGAAGAAGAGAAACGGAGACTGAGAGGTAAGCGAATTGAACTGATGTATTCTTTTAAGGGCTCACTTTTTAATCTAATTTATTTGTTTGCATTGTACCCTGTATATTTCTATCCGTAATATGTCTTTATTATATACTCAAGAAGGTTAAAACTAAGAATTTTCTCAATGGTATCTTCGTCTGTTTCTCTTAATGTTCAAACTTATTGCACTACTTCAACATTTCACATCACTAATGATTTAATCTATTTGTACTTGTTTACAATCGGGTTCAGTCATAGTATTAGATAACGCTTCATATACACGTCGTTTAGAAAAACTTTCAACGATGGCGTAAAAAAAGCTGAAATATTCCATTGGTTGAAAAAGAAAAATATATTTTGGAGTGTAGTTAAGGGTCCATAGAGTAATGGTATATAGATTCTAGGCTTTAAAATATTACGATCTGACTCAACTTGATTGACTGAAATATTAAATAATAAATAAGTAATATACAACATGACAACCTTGGATCTTAACATTAGTTTTAAATTTCAACAGAAAAAAGAACGTTTTGACCATTAGCTATATTTTACCTTTAAGCTTTGAAATTTTATACCTTTGTTTCTATTATCAAGTGTTATTAATTCTAAATACCTTTTACCGCTCCTATTTCTTAAGAATCATCTTTAGTGCTTAGACTGATTACACAGGCCCGCGAAAATTTTGTGATCTAGCCATTTTTTTTTTTTACCTATTTACAACTTCTATATAGCTAAAATAACCCCCTTTTTATTCCATCACGTAAACTTTTTTTGTAAACTAGTATCAAGGGTATTATCCCTGAACATCAAAAACAAATTAATTTGAATTCCTTATTTTTGTTCAAAGCGTTGAGAAGCGTTAAAATCTCGTTTTAATTTGCGCATTTGTAGGGGGATTTACCGGTACTTACCAGAATATTGTTGGGGATTCCCCGAGACTCGATTTATTCAAGAAAGAGGCGATATATTTAGTATCCCCGTGGTATTGAGACAGGAGTTGTCTATCGAATTCTATCGGTGTTTCGTTTTGCACTTTCTATTAAAAAAATGTCTAGTAGGTGTTGTGAAAATAGGCCTGGTGACTTTTGTTATATATGTGGACACTTTATAGTGAAGAAGTTTAAAAGAAACATTACTATTTCGTAAAAAATGCATATTTTGCATATTTTAAAGTCAGACTTGGAGATCAAGATAAACCTTGGGCGCCACATGTTATCTGCAAGATTTGCGAAGAAGCCTTGAGGCATTGGTTTAAAGGAACAAGAAAAGCCCTACCGTTTGGAATACCAATGGTCTGGAGAGAACCTAAAAATCACATTGACGACAGCTATTTTTATCTTTGTGATATTAAAGGTCACAACACAAAATCTCTAAAGTATATTAACTATCCTAATCTTTCGTCTGCAATAAGACCAGTTCCACATGACGTTGATATACCTGTACCTGTTCCACCTAAAGTATTACAGTCTATCGAATCAGAATCTTCAACAGATTCAGAAATTGACATTTTTGAGCCATCTGCCTCAGGAACCCGTGAACGCAGCTATTTTCTCAAGTAGAACTGAATGACTTAGTCAGGGATTTGGGACTTCCAAAAGACCTCTATGAGGTTTTAGGATCAAGGCTTAAAGAAAAAAATTACTTGCTCCAGGTACTACATTTTATTGGTATAGAAATCGTGAGGCTGAATTTGTCAATTACTTTGCCGCAGCTGGTTTACTTGTATGTTGTCAAAATGTATCTGATTTGGTTATTCACCTAGGTGCTCCTGAATACAATCCTGCCGAGTGGAGACTTTTTATAGAATCTTCAAAGAGAAGTCTTAAAGCTGTTCTACTTCATAATGGCAATTTATATGAATCTGTTCCTGTTGGTCATTCTACTCAGCTAAAAGAAAATTACGAAAATCTTGAGGTACTGCTTTTAAGAATAAACAACAGACAACATAACTGGATTCTATGTGGTGACCTTAAAATTTTAAGGTTGCTTTTAGGTCAAGAATCCGGATATATGAAATACCCATGTTTTCTATGTGAGTGGGACAGTAGAGCAAGAGATGACCACTGGACCAAAAAAAAAACTGGCCACCAAGAAAAAATTTAACGCCTGGCTCCAAAAACGTAATTCGGGAAAGCCTAGTTGATCCCGAGAAAATTTTATTACCCCCTCTACATATTAAATTGGGGCTGATGAAACAATTTGTCAAAGCTCTAGACAAAAATGGTGGATGCTTTAAGTACTTGTGTGAAACATTTCCGGGTCTTTCTGAAGCTAAATTAAAAGAATGCATCTTTGTTGGGCCACAAATAAGAAGGTTGATGAAAACTAATGAAATTGAGATGGTTATGCAGGAAGACGAAAAAGAAGCATGGGCAGCTTTTAAACAAATTATAAATAAGTTTCTAGGAAACTACAAAGACCCTGAATTTGAAAGTATTGTTGAAAACATATTGAACAAATTTAGAAAGTTAGGCTGTAACATGAGCTTAAAAATTCATTTTCTATATGCTCATCTTGACTATTTTCTGGATAATCTTGGCGAGGCCAGTGAAGAGCAAGGGGAGCGCTTTCACCAAGACATTAAAGAGATGGAACGACGATATCAAGGGCGCTGGGATATCAAATGATAGCCGACTACTGTTGGATGCTTAAAAGGGACCGTCCTACCGCAGAATATGCACGAAAAACAACAAAAAGAAGCTTTTTCTGAAAGAGAGAAAGATTTTTCAAGAAAACAAAGGATTAATGTATGTTATTTTTTAAATACTTCCCCGGTTTTATTGTTTGTTTTCTTGGTTTATTATTTTCTTTTTATCCTTAGTATCTATAAATATATTTTTACTTTTTGCATTCTTGTAGTATTTTGTTTAAAAATCTTACGTGATAGAAAAAAAACTAAAAGCAGATTTGAAATCAGCGTCACTGAAATACCCAATTTCAGTTGGAACAGTTCAATTCACATTTTACAGAGTATTTAAACGCAGGCCTGTGTTATTAGTGGTTTATTTTTGTGTTTAATTTATTTGGAAGTGGATTTTTTTGTTTGCATTGCACATAACTTTATTTCAGCCAGCAATTTGTCTTTATTATATACCTAAGACACTTAAAACTACGCATTGCACTATCCTCTATTTTAACATTTTACATCACTAATTCAAATAATTTTGTCCTATTTTTTCGAACTGAATTCAGTCATTGTATTAGATAACGCTTCATATCATACTTGTTGCTTAGAAACATTCGATTGGTTCGATTTAGTATAATTAACTCTAAATATCTTCTTCATCTTCTTCTACAACTTTTATTTCTTAAGAATTATCGTTAGGGTTTAAAGTAATTATTGATTTGCTTTTTGTTTTAATTTTATTTAGAAGTGGAAAAACTGTGTTTGAATCAGATAACAGCTAGGCGAGATTTAGTGATAAAAGAAGAAAAACGATTAAAAAGAATGCAGGAAAACGTTAATAAAAATTACATGGATGAACAAGTTCTAAAAGATGACATATTAGCAAACAGTATTAGTTTGTATCAAACTGGATCTAAAGGAGATAGTAATGAAAATCGGAAAGGGGTATTTAGTTTGTGATTTTTCTTGTTTTGCAGTTATTTTTATTTATCATGTTCCTATAAATACTTTTTCATTTTGTAACATTTTAGGGTTATGAAGAAAAATTACATATGGCGATGAATTGTGATCTTTTGAGTAGATTTATAAGGAAATTAGCAGTTGAATTGAAGTCTAATGGAGAAGAATGTAATGTAACTAGTCACAGTAGCGATAATATTGAGGTACAATAATAATAATTGCAAAACTAATAGAAATTACTTATTTTATTAATTTCAGAGTCAAGATAAATCAATGAACATCGATTTGTTGAATAAGTTTATAAAAAAACTAAATATTGAAATAAAGGAGAATAGTGATAAATGTCAGTGTGTCGAAAAAACGAAAAGTACAGCTAATAAGGTATTTAATCGTTAAAAACTGATTTATTGTGCATATCAATACTCTAGTTACATTTTAATTCTGCTCTCCTAAGCCAAAAAGCAACATCTTGTTTGTTTTTTAAAGCATAAGAAAAATATCTGTCAGAAAATTAAAAAAATATATAAATATCTCGACTTACAGCCAATTTCTACGTACGACAAGTGACATCCTACTTAAACTAGTTAAATTACTTCAAACAACATTACTATGCAGCATTCTTCCTGTAAGCAAATGGTTTTAAAATTGAAAGCTAAATTCAAAATTATTGCGTGAAGCTAACAATTTGCAACATGGTATCTTGTACTGTTGTTCTTGAATTACTTTTGCTGGCACAACCCCAAAGCAATTTGTTAAATGGAGAGAGCTTGGAGTTTCTTCCTTTTTCAGTAAGTTTTTTGTATTTCTCGTTTATTTTTTAATATGTACTCTCCTGCGCTAGGCTCTACTGCGCGTTTGTTTCATGTAAATCGGACCAATAGCAATGCAGATATAGACTTAGATCCTTTTGACATTGCCATTGCATGCGATTTTTCTCTTCAACTTTAAATCTATACCGCGTCTCCTTCACAACGCCGTTTTTTCCGTTTGAATCTGACCAATAACAACAGAGATAATAACTGGTCTTTTTTTTATCTTTAACGTTAATCTGTAATCGTTCACGTAAACGATGGTCGCTCACTGGGCATCCCTGCGTCTTCGAATTTCCAGAGAGTTTTTTAACGTCTCTTCCTCGTCTTCGTGTTTCCAGAGGCTTCTTCAACGTCCTAAGGTGTATTCGCTCCGTGTGAAGCCATGGAAAGGGAAGCAAAAGCGATACTAGCGCTAGCTGCGGATAATTCGTGCATTTTAGGGGGATATTTTGTAATTTTGGCATATCAAATACACGTATACATTTTACTTTTGTTCAAAAAAGTAGGTAAAAACAACACAATAAGCAACCGGAGTTGCTGTGTTGAAAATTGTACAAATACTAGCAAAAAAAAACAGTGAAACTTATATAACAAATTTCACTAACAAAGTGGAAATTAAATCAAAGAAATAAATGGATAGGTGTACAATAAGAAGAAAAATTACCTTTATTTTTGTGATAATAACAGTAATGCTGGAAATAGTAGACATCAGAAACTAGAAAGTTTTTAAATAAACAATAAATTATCATTTTACGATGTTCTTTAATGTCCCTTTATTTTTAAATGTTCATTCAGCAAGGACTAGATTTCAAGATTTCTGCCGTTGATTATAATATTTGGCTGGTATGCAATTTTGTGACTTACTGATCGGAAACCAGTTTTAATCATTCATTCTATGTTTTCTTTAGAACAAAAATGAAAATATAAGTAGCGATCATTTTTATACATTTTAACTTCACGCTATTATAAATGGTTTCTTCAATGACAACTTATTAGACTTAGGCAACTTCTCATACATTTTCCAGTAAATACTGTTGCCTGCCTATATTTTATTATTGATTTTTAATGATTATACATAATTTTCTTCAATTTAAGCGTGAAAAATATATAATAATAATAAATTAATGTTTTATTTGTTTTATAAATCCATATACTTTTATTAAAACTAACATATATACTTTTTATTTATGAATTCTATTAAAAATTGTATTTGTCAGTATAGGTAGAAATACTCCTTTAATACCAAAACAAATTGGCGCTGCTGTCGCGCACGGAGCGAATAGCGCTTAGGTTAGATGGCTTAGCGATGAATAGGCGGGTATGCCTTCGTGCTGTACTTGCCTGCGCTCGTAGGAACTTTGGTTATCCACTTTACAAGCTATTTATTGACAATAATTATTAAAAAAAATGTCTTTTCAAAAGTCAGTTTTTGGATTAGGAGTGTAGAATTGATTGTCGTAAAGATGCAGGCGAAATTGAAATCAAAATAATGTAACTGTAAGGTTTAATAAAAGAAATCATAATTTGTTGGTATTTTAGATAACTAACTTATCGGAAGAAGAAAAACGTAAACGGTCCAGACAATTATTGAACTTATCAGATGTGGTGAAAAGAACTCAAAGTTCTTCGTCGTCTTTTAAAGAGTGCAAACATCGTTCATCTGAGGAATGCGGATGCGAAATTCTTTGTCCAAAAATGGTTAGATTTACTTCGAGTACAACAGGAGGCAGTGTTTGTTCGAGTTAAGAATTTTTTATATTTTTTATAAGATATACATTTTTATTTGAATATATTTTCTTTAAAAAACATTTTTTTTTACTCATTTTAACCTAATAATTATTAACAATTTTCAAAAAAACAACTTATATCGTTACATTTTGATCCTTCCGAAATCTTTTTTCAATTTTTGAGGTCTCGGTTGCCAGAGTTATTAAGCCTAGAGATTATTTTTATATAATATTAAAAAGAAGACATTTTGGTGAATTTTGTTTCATATTGTGTACCAACATTAGAAAGAGAAAAAAAGTGTATTTTTGACGTATTACATACAGCATAACGCAATTAGCACTACCGTTAAGATAACGTTGAAGATTTTACGCTTCACATTATCACAACATCCAAAAAATCTCTATTGTCAATTTCGCACGAATGTGTTTATTAAATGATCCTTAAAAAACATTTATTCAGTCAGTTTTGCTTATAATTTAATTAGAGATATAAGTTTATGATCAGAAATTAGTTCTCTTCCTTTGAGATCCTCCAGTTCCAATACAACTAGGTAAGTTATATCTTCTGCTCCACATTGTTTCGCTAGTTGGGATGAACACGCCAATGTGCCTCCAGTTGCTAATAAATCGTCGATTATTAATAACTTTTGGCCTTTTTTAATGGAACCAATTTGCACTTCTAGAGTATCCTGAAATATAAAATTAAAGTGGTATCGAAATATTTTGATTTGAACTTATTGTTAAAAACACAAAGCATTTTTTAATCAAAATTAAAGATAAAAATAAAAGGTAGGATAACAAAAAAAAATAATGAAATGATCAGCAATTTCAAAAAACTGACCTAAATTTTTGCATACAATTTAAATTTTCTTTATTTTTAAAATTAATAGAGATATTGGGTGTAAATAGTATATGGAATGATCTACAATGAATGTATCTAAAGAAGGCCTTGCAAAAAAATCATACATTCTTCTTTTCAAGTGTCAGTATGATTCGTATCCCTGTCTTTAGAAACATTCTTTGTGGATCATTTTTTGACTTACCTCTCCATATTCTTTAGAATAAGACGCCCTGAAAGTGCATCCTGGCAATTTTCCCTTCTTTCTAATGGGCACGAAAGGAACGTTGAATTCTAAAGATAATAAAGATCCGAAAAGAAATCCTCTGGCATCTAGTGCTGCTATGCATTCTATTGGAGGATCGATTTTTTTTACGGTATCCACCAAAACTTCTTTTAGCAAATGAAAGATTTTTGGTTCTTTTAGTACAGAAAATACGTCCCTAATAAAAGAAAGTGAGTATTTTAAGTGTGTTGCAACAGTTATATTAGTATAATAAATTTGTTGAAAAAGCTGTAGGTAATGGATTTAAAAACGCCAAGCTAATCCTTTACCCCTAATATAGACAACGCGACTGGTAACACAATGTGTACCAACTCCTTGATATGCAACATACATTACACATATGCACAATTTGTGTTGCCTCTCTTTAGAATTAGTACGATCGAATTTCGCTACGAGAATTTACGTTCGTGGCGATAGAGGTAAAAAACGCGAATTTACGTTTATAGCGTGAAGGAAAAACTTGTAATAAAACAATTAGTGAGGTCTTTTGTTGCCGTTTCCGAAAAAATGATCCTTTTTGATATACTTGGTAATTAGTCCATATTTTTTTATAAAATTCTTTTAATTAACTATCACCGAACTACACTAACTACAATAACATTACCGTACTTTGGGGTCTATTCTGTAACAATTCCTTTATATTTAACGGCCTTTAAAAATATTGACGGCCTATAAAAATATGTTCGTATTCGTTAATTTACTTCTATCATTATTTAAACAGATTTCTTTAAGATAGTCCTCTAATGTATTTTAAAGATCCGTTTAAATAGTGACCGAATTAAAGAAGAAAATATTTTTAAAGGCCGTTAAATATAAAGAAATTTTTACAGAATAGACCCCTTTATCTGTAACGCCATAAAGTAGCGAACGCGCCATCGCGTGTTTGAAATTTGAGCTAGTTCAGTGTGATGTCATTTTGGTTCCACTGACATTTAATTCTAACCAAACTTTTAACAAAAACGTCAATAAATTTGACATATACGTTTTTACTGTTTTTATTTTATTTCAAAATATTGTTCACAGGTTATAAAAAATAGTTTAAAAGGTATGTAATTGGTAAATAAACTATTGTATATTTGATACATGCTATCTACTTACTTTAGGAATATATTTATAAAAGTGAAAAAAACGATATAATTTAGGTAAACAAAACGAACAAAACGCACTCAAAAATCTACTGTCACTTTAATTGTCAGTGGAACCATAATTACATCATCACTGAACTAGCGCATTCTGGAGCTAAAATAAAGGTATTTTTGTCATATACACTATGTCTCAAAAGAAATACTCCAGGAGTTTTTGAAAGAGTAAAACAATTAATGAGGAGACGATTGGAATCGTGCGTTTTATCAGAAGGTGGCCATTTTCAACATTTGCTTTGATTTTTTTGTTATAAGTGATTATTTATATGATTGTTATTTGTAGTTAAATAATAATAATAATAATAATAATAATAATAATAATAATAATAATAATAATAATAATAATAATAATAATTAATAATAATAATAATAATAATAATAATAATAATAATAATAATAATAATAATAATAATAATAATAATAATAATAATAATAATAATAATAATAATAATAATAATAAATAATAATAATAATAATAATAATAATAATAATAATAATAATAATAATAATAATAATAATAATAATAATAATAATAATAATAATAATAATAATAATAATAATAATAATAATAATAATAATAATAATAATAATAATAATAATAATAATAATAATAATAATAATAATAATAATAATAATAATAATAATAATAATAATAATAATAATAATAATAATAATAATAATAATAATAATAATAATAAAAAAAAATAAAAATGGCTTTGTAATTATTCATGAAGTCAAGGGATCTTTTTTCTTCCAAATCGAACAATCAAAAAACTAAATATTGAAAAATAACAGCGCCGTAACACGTTTTTCCTTCCATATTTTTCAGCTGTTACTTTGTCTTCACGCCACTGGTTAAATGAAAGCCACTATGTTTACAGTAAAACACGCAACGTTGCTAACTCTCAAAAGCTGCAAAAATTTAATTAAAATATCTCAAGTGGTTTTGGAAATTTTCAAAAAATTGTATTTTTTTTTTAAGAAACTTCCACATCCTGTATTTCCGTAACGAAACATTTTTGAGACATAGTGTATATGACAAAAATACCTTTATTTTAGCTCCAACATACGCTCCTGAAGTTATGTACCGTACTAAGTTATGTATTAACACGTAACTCACTCTATATTACTCTGTTTGAAACGCCAATTAAATAATCTTAATACAAATTAAAATTATTGTACGCGAATTCAAATTTTTGGCGTGTAAGATGGTACCTGCCCCACGTGAATTCGCGTGCGTGGCAATGAAAGAATTAAAACTATTTTCGAATACATACGGGCCTTTATGACTTCATGTTAGATCAGTTACATTTTTTAAACGGATCACCCTACATTTAATTTTAAATTTCCTTCGATTTTTCATTATATTTTACTATCATTCTGTTTTTTATATTTTTAACTTTAATTAAACTACCTCAATCTCAGTTAAATTTGGATTATAATAATTTAAAAATAACCATCTAATTCATAAAGCCAGTTTCTAATTACAATAATACAAATTAAAAAATAATGACCGACCCTATAAACAAATAATATAGAATCTTTAACAATAGCTTAATGTCACGTGATTAAATTAATGTCATCAATTGGCTAAAAGTAGCTATATTGATCAATTTGACAGGATTGTTACTTAAATTGTCATAAAATAACGGCCATTTTCACTAAATTTCTTGCTTTACTAGATCACGCGGTATACAGCTATCATTGAAGAGGTATAATCGCGTGACCATTGTTTAAAAAAAAAAATTAAATAGTGTTTTAAATAAAAAAACTTACCTACCAAAACATTATGCCTTTTTTGGGAAAATCATTATAATTTCTTATGTGCTTCTTCACGATCTGCAACTTTTCTTCGTTAGATGTCATTTTAAAAATATTTCTACTCCTATTTAATAAAGCCCTCTTTTCGGTTTAAAATTTGATGGACGTTTTATATTCATCGACAGCATTTTTATCTTGAACTTTTTGACATTGATAATGATAACCGATTTTGATTATAACTTGACATTATATTTTTATTTCTTTAAAATAATTTTCTCAATATGTACCTAAATCTTTGCCGCATTAATACCCTGTTACTCTGCAGGTATAAAATCACGTTGTAAACCTTTCGAAGATCGTTGTAGGTATAACTACAACTTTAATAGTCTCCTTTTATGAAATAACACCGTTCTTGAACGAATTAAATATCGGATGTCTGGTGACTAACTAGGTACACAAGGTCGAATACTATTGTGTAACACGATAAAATATATCAGTTTGTGTTTATACCGGGCATAATACGAAAGTCGAATCAAAGCGCGTTTAGAACCATTGAGAAAATTTGTGTAACATTGTAAAAATATATAGGGTGGGCCATCGATAACGCTTCGGTTTGTAGAGCTAAAACTATTTGATTGTTTTCACAGCGAGACGTATATCAGAAAAGGCAGGGTTCTCCAAGAAAGTGATACATATCAAAGTTAGTTTCAAATAGAACACACTGAAGTTTATTTGTTGTCACAAATTATAAATAAAAAAAAGATTTTTACCTATTGAGAATCAATAAATTTAATAATAATAATCTACTAAGTAAATAAATATAATTTAAAACCAATTTAATTATAAACGTTAAAAGTAATATTAAAATGCCATTTGTTTGCACAGGTTTTTTGATACGACTTCCAAGAATCGAAAATGAAATAGATTTAAAAAAAAATTATTCAAAATATTTTACAATTATTATTCTTTTAAATACACTCTTCTACAATCTATAAATATCTTAAATCTTTAATATTTTAATACGGTTGGATCAACATTTTTTACAATTTAAAAATATATTTTTTTTTGTCTAATCTACAGGAACTGATTTCTAATTATATGAAAAAATAGTACTCTGATCAATAATTAAAAAATTTGTACATCTACTTTTAATAACAAGTTTTAAATTAAAAGAATAAAACTTCACAGCCTCTATGATCATTATCCTTTCATAAAAAATATTGGCAAGAATGTCGTTGTTAAGATTATAAAATCATTTAAGTAAACCAAACAAAAACGAAAGTACTTCTTTACAACACATGAATATAATAAAAAAATTTCGGCGAAAGTTTTTTATTTTTGAGTTTTTTGAAAAAAATTCTGTAATTTAGTGTCTTCAATACACAGTTAAAAGAAAGTATCAAATCTGGATTCATTTTGTATAGTAAAGAAAATGGGAGAGATGAATAAAATACATAGCACAGAAAATAATGAGATGGACAAGACGAAATAAAGCAATAAAAACGCAAAAAATAGGCAAAGACAAAAAAGATGGCGGAAAACCTGGGTAAAAATGGGACAGACAATTTAAAAAAAACAGAAAAACATTTAAAGAATCATTTAAAAAATATATACGAAAATGTATTGGCCACAAATAGTCCAACATCCAACACTCACCGAATTAGGATTTAGTTTTTCCTAAAATTGGGACATCTCGAGAAAAAAAAATATTTAAATTATATCGAATCATGAAATAATTTCGTTTTAAATATATAATTAAAAACAATTAACTCCTCATTTCTAGGTTAATTCAAAAATATTTTAAAAATGTAATAATCAGGATACTCAAATGATTTTATAAAATACTAAATAATTTGATATAAAACTTATTTTTTATATATGTTTTACAAAATATTCATGTTCTTATTTATTAAAAATATTAATTTAATAAGAACAATTTAAATTTTACTATAATCAGTAATCACATTATTCCACTTTATCATACATTTTAATAAATTTGAAACAATGTCTTTTATTCCATATCGGACAATGTAATCAAATTTGTTAGATAATTTTAGATAAAATTGGTAGACACACAACCATAAAATATTTACAAAACATGAACGACTATCCCAAAACAAATAAATGTATTTTTTTTTAAATAATGTTATAAAAATACTAATATGGACTTTGTATTATATTTTCAGAACTATTATTCTAGATATACAAGGTGTTTCTTAATATTATATCAAAATTGAAGGAGATAATTTTATGATTTAAATTTTATATAAAATAGGGGTTTAAATTGATTTATTTTTGAAATACAAAATGTTAAATGGTTAAAAAATCACTCTAGATTAAATTTGGCAATTTTTTTTGTAATATTAAGACCGAATTCCATCAATTCAAAGCTAAACCATTCATGATTAAGCTTTCCATAACTTCTAAACTTTGTCTATTTTCCATTATTCGTAGGTTTAACTAGGAAGAATAAGTTAGGTAGATCATTCTAAGGACTTAATTGTTAACGGCTGTCAAAATCAAAAGTAACTAACTTTTCACTCTGTTTTATGGTGTTCTGTAGTTTTTTATGTTTTGGATGAGCTACGTGGGACAAGCAAAATTAATGGTGTGGAATAGAAACTCGTAAACAGAAAAACGTTGAATATAATTTCCGTAGTTTATTATTTAAAATAGAAATTCTTTTTTTTGGAATGCGGTACGCTGCAACTCAATTTAAAATTTTTTTCGCAGAAAAGAAAAATAACGAACGAAATGACATTTGGGAAACATTATTTAATGACAAACAACAATAAATTTTAGTGCATTGTTTGTATACAAGCACCTATTACCGTTGCCAATTTTGGTATAGTGATTGTTTCAAAATGTTTCTGAAGACGTTTTTGTTCTTTGAAACCAAATTATAAAATGTATTAGTTAAAAATTCAAATGAATTATTCCCTGTTCATTAAACAACTTCTAAAAATGTATAATAAAAGTAGGTAGAACAATTTGAATGAACACAAATCCGACTCGAAGGACCACAAAAATGTGCATTCGCGCAAAAAGGGACAGTTGATACCCTAATCAGTAAACAGAAAAAAGAAATAAACTAGTTTGTTTTACGAAGTAAAGGCACAAAAAACGTGAGATGAAAGACACTATTGATTCATCTTATGATATTAGTTATATTAACACTTTTATGGTATTTGCTTAACGTAAGAATTTTCCATATAGGGTCTCATGGTGAAAAATGCAGTATATCACCGAACAGTTGATATTGTTTGTTTTAAGTCTTACATTTTTGGTCCTTTGAACTGGATTTGTTATTTCAGAATATTTTACATTTTATTATACATTGTTTGAAGTTGTTTAATGAATAAGAAATAGTTCATTTGAATTTTTAACGGATACATTTTATAATTTTGTTTGTTTCATTGTTTCTAAAAGATAAAAACGTGAATTTTGTCGTCTTTGCAACCAATTAAACAATTATTATAACAAATTAAAAAATTTATCCGTTAAAAATCAAAATAAACTATTCCCTATCCATTAAACAACTTAGGAAAATGTATTATAAAACTTCGTAGAACAATCTGAAAGAACAAAAATACGGTTTGAAGGACCAAAAATGTGAAACATTAAAGATATGAACTGATTGGTAATACACTGCATTGTTCACCAAAAGACCTTATGTGGAAAATGCTTACGTTAAGTGAACGTCATAAAAGTGGTTGTTAAAATAACTAATAACATAAGATAAATCAATCGTACGTTGACATAGAAAGTTTCTTGATTTAGTTTTCATCTTATATTTTTGAGCCTTTACTTCGTTAAACAACTTTTGAAAGACATATCCATCTATTTTTTCTCTATCTACTGGTTAGGTTATCAACGCTTTTTTTTTGTGATCCTTCGAGACGGATTTGTACTCTTTCAAATTTTTCTACGAAGTTTTATTGTAAATTTCTTGAAGTTCTTTAATGAATAAGGAATAGTCCATTTGAATTTTTAACGGATACATTACATAATTTGGTTTGTTTCATTGTTTCCAAAAGAGAAAAACGAGAATTTTGTCGTTTTTGGTAACAATTATTATACCAAATTATAAAAAGAGTAAATCATCTCTTAGCTATAACCGCATTAAGGAGAGTTCTTCCACAAACCCTAGAAGTAATTTGGATAAGTGCTTTGATCTCCTTCATTTTTTTATCGATGTGTTGTCCATCTGACGTTAAAAATTATTATACCAAATTATTAAATGTACCTGTTAAAAAGGCCTGCATAACAATGGTGGGCCGCACGCGGCATTGTTGTTTTTGTGGCCCTTTGTCTGTTGACCAGTTTGGCCCATCTACGCCAAACTATATATTTTTTTAGGAGCTCGACAGAAGGATCTGGTTTATAAGCTCAGGACTCATACACTTACGGTTTTTGAACTGGCCCTTTGACAATCTCAGTTGTGCAGGCCTGTGTTTAAAATTCAAATGCATTATTTTGAAAGAACACAACTCCGGTTCGAAAGACCAAAAATGTGAAACAAATCAATACGAACTGTTTGGTGATTCACTATATTTTTTACTATGTAGAACGTTCTTACGTTAAGAAAATGTCATAAAAGGGATTGTTAGTAATAAGAGGAATAATTGTGCTTTGACTTACAGAGTTTCTTGATTTTTGACCGAATTAGGTGCTACATTATGGGGACTTGTTACTTCATAACGACAATAACAGTTTCACTTTCTTCGCTATATGCAGGGAGATTGCCATTGTCTCTAAAATTGAAGTGAAGTTCGACCTTACACGTATTTATTATTTTTGTTTTAATCTTGAGTTTTTCAGTGTTTTTAATATATATCCATTCCTAAAAAACGAGTATATTTTAATTTTTATTAATTTTGATAGAGATATGCAATAAATGGTCTATTTTTCTCTAAGCCAAAGAAAGTTAAAGAAAAAACTTAAGATACCAAAAAGTTGTATTTTTTAATTGCTTAATTTAAAGAAAGTAATTAAAATTGTAAAAATTCGATGGCATCCAAGACGACACTGGACTTAATAATTTTAATTCAAAAAGTTTGAATTATTCTTAGTATTTTCAATTTTAAACAAAATGAAAATATTGATAAAAACCGATTTTGTTTAAACATTTAAGATCTTGTATCAAATAAATCAATGAATTGCCTCCTTTAATATTAACATGATATTAAGAAACACTATGTATATATCTACTTAAACGCGCTAAACTTGTTCTTTATTTAATTTAATTTTCTTTTCCTTCATAAAAATTATAGGAATGTTTTATTGTCTAAGTCAAACAATAACGATTTTTGAAAAAGATGTCCATTGATTTGAAACAAAATAAACAGGTTAACACATTAACAAAATATATTGGAAAAATCGTCCATATAACATTTATCTACACAGTAGAAACACGTTTTTTTATCTTACAAATTTACTTATATATTTCCATAGGAAATAATACTTAAATATATTCCAAAGAACTAACAAATTTAATCAGGTCAAACTTTTAAAAAAAGTAGCAGAAATTTCTTTTAATTCATATAAACATAATACAACGAAAATAAATTGTTATTATTACCCTTTTGAGACGGGACGAGATTTTTTGGACCCAAAATGGCAGACAGTAGTAGATTTAAATAACTATTTGGACCATAGGAATAAATATTTCATTAAAAAAAAATTGTATCTATATTTCAAAAAAATCTTGCTAGCTTCAATTTTTACTTAAGGAGGAACTTTAAGAAGACTAAAATAATTGTGTATTCAATAAAAAATTATTTTTAAAATTATATAAGAACGATTTTTTAGATTAGTCAATTAGTGAAACTAAGGAAAAATTTCTACCACTTTTCCAAATTTAATAAAATTGCACACGACCTTTAAAAAGTTTCAACTTTTTCCTTTAAATCACAGTTTCATCAAAAATTTCGAGGTCCGTGAATTCCGTTGTAAATTCGCTGAGTTCAACTAGCGAAGACCCGGAGATATTGTCGTCTATCTCCTCTACAATTCGTTTAGGTTCAGCAGGTATAATCTGGAACCAAGGGAATCCATCTTTCTTAAGTAATCTGAAAGGATATAATACATAAAATATGTTGTACCTAACTAAAAAATTAGGTTTTAAAATGAAATTTCAATTTAAAACTTATTCCGCCCCTGCATTTTCTTGGTTTATTATTGATTATCTAATTTTAAATATTTATTATGATCTCGAATTATTTAAAAATTGACCTGAGTAAGTGAAGTAATATGTTAATTAATATTAATTATTCTAAATTTACTAAAGTTATGAATTTGCTGTTTATTATAAAAGTTTTTATATTTGTTTTAAAAAGAAGTTGAAATTTTTTTTTAAATTTGTTATAGAACAAAAAATATTGTATTATTTATTTTTATAACGTTAAAAGTGGAAAGTCCTAGAAGTATACAACTAAATTTTTATAGTGATGTATTTCTGGTCACATATGTACTAGTAACCATGTAAAATTGACCGGCTCTATGTCATACCATCGTCCGTATACCCTTAATGTAGAAGTATGAGATGAAAACCAGGATTATGCCTAACTTTTCCCTAATTTATTGTTGTATATGTAGATAGTATCATAGTTTCTTGATGGAATGACGAAATTGAATCAGATTTTATATTTAAATTTTATTAAAATCGTTTTTTCAACCATATGAAGATGCCAAACTGTATATACAACTAAATAATTTTAATGAGTTGATAAAACTATTTCTAAATTAAGAACAACCTTTGTATGCTCGGATCATTTTTACTTTAAAATTGAGAAAAAATATCTGAAACTTGATACAATACCTCATTTAGTAAAATTATAAAAACCAGTGGAAAAATACAAGAACAAATTACCTTTGGCGGAATAAACTTCCACCGTTCTCCTTATTTCAGGTGGTCGTCGTCACGATCCATTGTTGGGCGGCGTATTGGGCATAATACGGACGGTGGTTGGGCGAGCGACCGGGGAATTTAGGCAGGCGATCGTTGTTGGTCCCGTTGTTCCCGTTGTACCGGGACCATTTCGAAAACGGACGTAGGGAAGTTGTCTGGACTTCGCCTGACGAGTTGCTTGCGCTTTGTCCTGAAAATATAAAATGAATTCGACATATTTTTAATAATAAACATTCATTTATTCTATAAATGTAATAAATGTTAAAAAATGATGTTATAAAATGTTATGTTAAAAAAGTTATGTTACAATTGTGCTGATTAAGAACAAGTTTTTATATATCAGATAAAAATAAAATAATAAAAAAGGGAAAAACTAAATACATAAATAGGAAGTGTCTACTGCACCATTATAAGTGAGATTAAAATTTAAAAATCTGTGACTATTTATTTAACTTGAAATGGATGTAAAGATTGCTCAAAGTGTAAGGATGAGGAAGCTAATCAAATTTTCCCATGTGATTCATGCAAAGAGTACTTATGTGCTCAATGTGCTGACTTAACAGCGTCAAAAATCAAATGTTTACAATTAAAGAATAAACGAAAATTGATTTTTTTGTGCAGTGAATATGAAACAGGTTTTTGGTAAGTTCTAGAACTAACTAAAGAGTTAACGCAAGTAAAAATTAACATTGAAAAACTTATGAAAAATAAGGCATCTGATCAAAATAACGAAAAAGATGTAACTTCAAATTAACAGCGAAGAACTAGTGATTGAAGTGGCGGAAACACAGAAGAAGGCATCAAACATTACAGTTCATCAAATTTCTAGAGGCTTTCGACGGCTAGACAGAGAAAGCACTACTGACAGGCATCCCGACGGATTTACGCAATGGAAGTACACTCTGCGCATCAAGTATTTCACTATTTCATTCAGACGTAAATGTCAGATGTAAATTTCGCTAAAACATTTCTTTTATTTTCGTTTGTGTTTTTTGCTCATTACAGTTTAATAGAACCTAAGTATGGAGTTTAATAGCAAATTAAGAGGCCGCGTGATTAACAGTCAATCTCGCGAAATAATAGCCAATGTTATAGAGTTTATGAGAAGAGAAGGAAACTTTAATTCACCTTCAATACCATTTAAAAATGTAAATGATCGTGTTGCTGCAGCCACAGGAGTATCTAAAAACACTGTCGTCCGCATTTCTGGAGAGAAAAAAAGAATCGATAACCGTGAGATATCGGAATTTTCGTCACAAAGAAAAACCATTAAAAAACCAAAAACAGTTAATGATATAGATGAAGCTGCACAAGAATCAAATTTTATTTTTTTATTATTAGATAGCTATTTTTGTTTCTGAGTTGTGTTCATTTACAGGCTCAATTTTTTTCCGTTTCTCCTTTTTGATTTTATATGGGGTTTCAAGTTGTTTTTGACTTATTTCGACGTAAATCACAACAACACACTTTTTTAATAAAGCAAACAAGTGTTAAGAGGTATATGTACGTGTAAACTACAATTAAAAAAAATTGATATGAAACCCATGAAACCACCAACAAAAATGTAAAGCTAGCTTCCGTACTAGAACATGGTGTCATTCGTCGAGATAATTTATCGTTTTGTTTAATAGATCAAGAAATGTAAATATTCCCGTTATTTTTTATAAAATTATAAGAGAAATACATTTTTTTCTAAATAGTATAGTTTATTATTTTGTAGAAAAACAAAATTTCGAAAATTTTAGTAATGTTTCAGAAACAACCGTTATTAATAATAGGTACCATTTTCCTTAATAAGGTAGAAATAAAATATAAACTATTTCCACGATTTACAAAGGCCTACAAAAAAATTATAGGTATTTTCCGCTATCCTATAAAATTTATATTTTCTGACTCAATTTCAAAAGGTTGAAGGAATTCCAAAACACCTTTTATGGCATAATAATTATTTTCAATTCTACATACTATCTTTAGCTGCTTTTAAAAACGTTCTAAGAAAGTCCAATCAGACCAATTTAATCCCTAAACTATTCCACACTTTTAAAATTTAATTACCTAAAAATATTAAAAACTATTTAAAATAACTTGTTTAGCAGACTGTACAATAGCTATCTTAGTCACACGTAGCGCGTTCTCTGTCTGGGCGTCGAACACCTCTAGAAATTTGATGAACTTATATTAAATCTAAATGAATCGAAACAAAAAATAATTGCAAAAAAAATAAGAGAAGATAAAGACTCAGTAAAAGAACTGCTAAAATATATTTTGATGTTGATATTACAAATATAAGAGTGTTCAGACTGGGTAAAGACCAAAACAAAAATAGACCACTAAAAGTTTGTTTTCCCAGTCCACAAGAAGCTCTTAAGGTGTTAACAATGAAAAAGGAGATAAAAATTCCAACTATTAAAATTTTTCCTGATCAAACATAAGCGCAAAGAGAGTTTTTCTTTAATGTCAAAAGGAAGCTGCAGGCATATTTAGATAACGGTGTAAACAAAACTATAAAATACATAAATAATATTCTAACAATTGTTGATAGCAATGCATCTACCCAAAACAAACAAAAAAACTAGTAAATGGGCCTTAATATATCTTTTAGAAGTGATATAATTTATATGAATGACAGAGTTTTTTGGCACACCGCGATGAAGTTTAAAATGACATTTTTACATTAACAATGTCAGTTTAATCTCCGTTTAACACAACGGTGGAATCGACCCTAAAAGAGATATAAATTAATGTTGTATTTCGTGAAAATAAACTAAACAAACTGTTTAAATTCATAAACGTTACATAATTAATTATTGTCTTACCTCCGGCCGCTGCTCTGTAGTTTTTTGTCGACGCAGTGTAGTGTCTTAACAGCAATCTCGGTAGTTCCCTGTTAAAGGCTAAGTATATCCAAGGATTAACGCAGCTATTCAGACTATATAGGAGCATCAAGATTGTAAAAACTGGACCTGAAAGGAGATTATTAGAAAATATCAGTACGGCCACAAAAAGCTTTGAACATACTTTTTAAATAAGTAATATAATCAAATTTTATACGAATACATATTAATACGTCTCGTAGGGCAGAACGCATATCGCATCCGTGTCCGTATTTGTTGATACCATTTTGTAGAGTTTAAAGCTACCATTTCGCAAGCCAAGACTTCAAAACGCGAGAGAGACCCAAAACGATCTCTACACATGTAATTATAAGAAACACATTTCGGTAGAGGCGACAGACGACATCAGATTTAGTATAGCAATATTTGCTGATTCACTAGTGTCTCGGTCTCCTGTCGTTTGTCGCGCGTTCTTAAATGGTACTTTGACGAGAAAAGTTATTGGGTTCAGACAAATAGAAAGATATAGTTTTTATTAGCACCGCTCTTATTTTGGACACCTGAGCAGGCGCAGATCGTTTACGTTCTAGAATTGTGCTTGTCCTTAATTGTGGATGTTTAAGGGCAACAGATAGTGGCGACTTTATTCTTTTCAGGTGCGCTCTATTCACAGGCTAATGCAGGGACAAAACCCAATAAGCCAACTACATAGCGCCGACCACACAAGGCTATATCAGCAAGTACAAAGGGATAATATTCTAGCTATGCCTACTGATAGAGCCATAACCACATACAAATTTGAAAGAAATTTTCAAATTCAAATACCAGCCCGAGAATCCTGGAAACAGGGACCTCCCGTACAGGCTGAACTCGTCTGGTACACAGACGGTTCAAAAACCAAGGAGGGAGCCGGTGCTGGAATCTATGGACCTAAGTCGAAATCAACGATTTCACTAAGCTTAGGAAAATATGCAACAGTGTTCCAGGCTGAGCTAATAGCCATACAACACTGTGCAAGAGAAATATTAAATCAGCAAGTATCAGGCAAAACTATTGCCATATACTCTGATAGCCAAGCAGCTCTAAAGGCAATTCTCTCACCAGAAATCAAATCACGACTGGTGAAAGACTGTCTAGAAGACCTGACAGAGCTAAGTAGTCAAAATAAGGTGACCTTAGCCTGGGTTCCAGGCCATGAGGGATATCAGGGCAACGAAAAGGCCGACGAATTAGCCCGAGAAGGCCCAGATAAGGCCATGACAGGCCCTGAACCCTTTTGTGGAGTCGCTAAGGCACTGTGCAAGGCATCCATTAAACAATGGATGCAAAAAGAGTCTCAGGAATGGTGGAACAACTATCCAAGACTGAGACAGGCCAAACAGTTCATCAAGGAACCATCGGCCAAGTTTACGAAAGACCTACTGGATCAAAAACGTCAAATCGTTAGGATAACAGTAGGCCTTCTTACTGGACACTGTCGCCTCAAAAGGCACATGAGTGTCATAAATCCAGCAGAAGAAGCAACTTTGTGCAGGTTCTGTGAAGAAGAAGAGGAAACATCATTCCACGTCCTGTGCCAATGTGAAGGCTTGGCTGGAATGAGGTTTCTAACATTGGGCGAAGAAAAGCCAATTGCATGCAACTACATGCGGGAGCCACTGTCAAAGCTACTAAGTCTAATAAAAAAGACCAGGCTAGACGACATACTCTAAAACAAACGGAGTCCCACAATAGATCTGAAAAGGTCGCGATGGACAAGGACAAATTACGTCCAACTCCTAATCTAATCTAATCTAATCTTCAGGTGCGCTCGCCGATATTTAATATCATCGTCATCTAAACCTTCTAAAATGATAATTTCTAATGCTTTTTACATATTATGTACTATTATAGACAACGAAATTTAAAATAAGGTTAGAAATATGTATAAGGACTCTAATGTCGAAACTTCAGGTTTAGTTTAGCGTGGAATTTATTTACCTCTAATTAAGTTGCCACTATTAGTGGCTGGCGTTATAGAAATTTGCAATATCTCTCTAATATCAGGGTTGTTACTGATGTTATTAATGTCACTCTTACCCACGTGTGGGATACGGGTAACGTATGTGTGGTAATTTTAGTAACGCAGTGGAGGTATAGAAGCCAAAATAAACACTTTAGACTAATGTTTTATTGAATTTTATGAGAGTATTAATTTTAACAAATATCGGCACATAACATATGACAGATAATGATTTATGATATATTTAATGGTCAAGTTATTCAACCTCTACAAAAATAAAATATCTGAATTAAGATTTGCCATTGTGCAAATATATGTTGTTACTTGTATCTTTGACAGTATGTAAGAAACGTTTTGGCAAAAATTGATTCTATAGTGCAAATGCTTTTGCTTTTAAAAATCTATTTTGTAAAAATTATCTTATGTATTTTGTTAAAATTATTATGTTCTATAACAATTTCTTCAAAATATATAAGATGATTTCCGCATAATAGTTTTAAAAGCATTTGCAATACGCAGGCAATATTTGCCAAAACTTTGGTACATTATTGTTGAAGACTCGTGTATAATCATAGCATTTTAGAATCATGGTATCTCGATTGAAAATCTGTGAAATTTAACTGTATTTATACTATGTATAAATATTTTCAATCACATCATAAATAGGAGTAAACATAATAATACTTGTGGCAATAACGTTTATGGCACTCATTAATGAATTGGTAGCTGCATGAGCATCAATTTATTATATTTTTATAATTACAAATAGTATAGTCAATGAATACACATTTTTTTTTTAAATTAAATAAAACTAATTACAAAAAATAAGTAAAAAACAAATGATTTATAAAAAAAAAATGTTAAAAATAAAGAAATTAATAATAAAATATTAATTTTTTTTTTATTTTTATTGAATTTACCTCTAGCTAAAATCATTTGCTCATATATTTAAATTCTTAATAAAATAAAAGTAAATGTGTTATACTCTAAAAATATCAAATATTTAACTAAATATTATTAAAATAAGAAAATATAAATGATAAAATTAGAAATACTCCTAAAGAAGAATTGAACTATTATAATTCAAACTCATAAAACTAAAACACCCTCACTAGAAAAGGAAATTTCTAATTTATTATTATTAAATATATAAATTAATTAAATATAAAAAAAAATTTAATAAATTCTAAAGATAAAAATATTAAAAATAAATCCTTATACAATTCAAAATAAACCTAAAATTAAAGGGATATTATTATTTAGTCTTCTCGCACTATTTTATTTTTTTTGAGAAAACAAAATAACTTTTGACAAACCTTGTATCTTATATACTTACGACTGAAAATATTTGATATCTGATGGTTAGTCTACCTACCTATATTATTAATTTCGATTTTTTTGCGAAATGTATATCTAAATAGTCAAAATTAACTGATAATTATTCTACATTTTAAATATTTTCAGTCGTTTTTGCCTTCAAAATTAATTTCTACAAAACAAATTTAAAACACCGAAAATATTTTGGTGTTATTTATAGCACCGTAAACGGTATCAAAATTAAAAATAAGTCCTTATTTTCTTTAAAAATCTGTATCTGTTTGTAACATGTGGACGGTGGGTTACCCCACGGCACTTAGGCCTCATTAGGCCCATTGTGCATCCTCCTGAGATGATAGGCACCTCCTAGCTCGTGAGCCAGCCTACAGATTTAATATAGTTGACAATGTTGCCAAGAGATGCTTCTCTTATATCGGTCGGTGTTAGCCGATACTGGCCGAACACAAATCTTCTAATAAATGAGAGCGTCGAGCAATCGTAAAGGATATGCTCGATGGTCTCATTTTCTTGTTCGCACCCTCTGCAGAGTGCGAATTCTCACAGCCCCATGATATGAAGATGCTTTCGTACTTGGCAATGTCCAGTCAGAATGCCTGTGACTAGGCGCAGATTCTGTCTAGTCATAGTCAAGTATTTGTTTGCTGCAGTGTTGTCAGGATAACTTAAGAGTTCCCTGGCAACTCTGCAGTTTCTTGTTTCATCCCATCTTTCCTTGAATTTCACAAGGGAATGTTCTTTGATTAGGTCCGTCACTACCAATTTTGTCAAGCCAATAGAAGGGCCAGGTCCAAAAAGTATTTGGTTGGCTGCTTTCTTGGCTAGTGAATCAGCAAGACGGTTATCTTTCGATGTAGCGTGACCTTTAATCCATCTTAAGATGACCACATTGTTGATGGATACTTCGGCCAAAGCTTCGTGACATTCTATTACTAACCCTGAATACATTCTGTTCAGGGTGAGTAGTGCTTGTCTGCTATCTGTATAGATGAGCATATTTCTTCCAGTGATATTCTTTCTGGTTATTTCTTTTGCTGCTATGAGAATCCCCGTTAGCTCTGTTTGAACTACACTGGCGCTATTGCTCACAGCCCATTTTATGTTTAGGTTTAAGAATTTGGAGTATATTCCATATCCTGAGCCTTGTTTTGTTTTAGAACCGTCAGTGTAGATATGTATCGTACCTGCCACTTCTTCTATTTGTTCTAAAGATCTGTATATAGGACTAGTTTTGAAAGTTTAATTAAAAATTACCTAAATCAAAGAACTCCTTATTGGGTTATTCCAAATTTAGTTTAATTCAGTTTTGAGTACTTCATGTACTCGACGCTTTTACTCTCCGACGCTTCTACGAACCGACTTATCTACGCCGCGACGTCCTAGTCAATATTTTCACACAAGCAATGCTTCCCGTATTAAACAATAGTATAAAAATGTCACAAAAAAAAACAAACTTTCGTACATCCGATAGTGAGTTAATAACTTAATTGATAATTTATTGTATTATTATAGAAATTTATTATTGAATTCACCATTATAGAAATGTATTATTGATTTATAATGAATATTATTGTATTACTCAGTATTATAAAAATTTGTTATTAAAAAACGTCACATTTGGGGCTGTCAGATGGACACGCTCAAAGTTGCATTGGCCTTTAAATTATACCACCGTAAAATATTAAAAAAGCTGATTTACCGATTTACCTTCACATATATGGTTGATATTACAACAGTGCACTAGAAGATGAAAAAAGTTTTTTCCAAAACATATATAGTATTATTTATATAAAAACTTTGGTTTATTTTCGAAACAATTTTAAATAGAGCTTCTCTTTGACGAAAGAAAATAAAATCGATTACCTGGCCTATTCGAGTATGTAATTTAAATTAGGTATTCAAGGTTTAACCGCAATCAAGGCTTGTAAATACCCAAATCAAATAATTTTCGCTTATTAATTTTAATAAACAAATATTATCAAATTCAATATTTTTTCTTGATAACAAAATATGTTTATGCATGTACCTAGTCGAATAGGAAGATGCATAGTAATTACAAAAGTATTTTTAACAAACCACATTACCATCAGATGATGATAATAGTGTTATAACTATTTTTTTATTGTTTCTATAGTGTCGCATTCGGTTTGATGTTATTAGGTGCGTGACCATGAAGGTCCTGGTTTTTTGTTTTGTCATTTTGGCATCAGCGTTAGTGAATATTGATGGAAAAGTGTATACGAAGTGTGGATTGACGCAGGAATTGTTACGTATTGGATTTAGCAGATCTTTGGTAGGAAATTGTAAGTCACTTTTTTATTATTTTATTAAAAATACAATAAATACTTATTATAAATATATAATAAAACGTTTGCAGGTTTTAAAGTTATAAGAAAATGTTATAATGGTATTGGGATACAGAAACAAAAAACATATACATATCTAAAAATGGTTTAAAAATAGATTTGAACTATCAATACATTTTTAAAATAAGTACTTGCGTCTCACTAGTAGGTAAATCCCCAAGTTATTTTTTTAAATGTCTATAGAAGTCGTTAAAATAGATGTTTTTCTAATATCTTTTTCAAAAAATTCAAAAATAAGAAAAATATGACTGGTATGTAACTCACATTCAATAGGTTTTTAAAATAAAACAGTACATAAATTATTATAAGATTGACAGTGACATATCTTGATGATGGCAGAAAAATTCTTGTTTTACGTCCATAATTTTCATAAATATCATTTATAGAGCATCCTGTATATCGAAAACAGATAAATAACTTAATCACAGCTTATAGTAAAGTGATTAGCATTTCGACGAATACATTATATGAATATTTTTATAGAATATTGGGTTTTATTTTTTTATTGTTGTCTTCAGGGAAAAATATAGCACCTTCTTGGTATATCTACATCATTGATCCAATCAAATCCACCAGGCCCATAGGGTTGCCACATAAAATGCCCACAGGCAACTATTTTGTTTGGAATGCTTAAGACTTGTTAATTAGTCATTCCAAACAAAATAGTTACCTGATGAAGATTATATGCAAGGCAAACCCCAATCAATTCTGTCTTTATTTCATGATAGTAAGGCTATTCTCGCACTCATTTGTTCGCCCACTCACTAATTCGTGTGGGAATATGTGGCCATTTTTTCTTACTCTGAACATCTACAATATAATAATTATATCAAGGACAAATGAGGGAAAAGAAAAATTAATCGACTTACCTTAAGAAACATTACTTATCATTTTCCGAGCTTGTCCGTAGATATAATTATTTCCCATCCCACCCTAATGGATACATGTTAAGTTCCCAGATATCAGGTGATTTTCGTAACTCTCATTTCAAGGGAATGATTAAAAAGGTTTGGTAACGATCAGCAGCCACGAATAGGCCAGTTTTAGTTTACTCTAGAAAAAATACTTGCTGATGTTTCCTTGAGATATACTTCAAGGAAACTAATAAGAAACAATTTAAAATTATAAACAGATGAAACTTCTATATAAAGTTCAAGTATATGGTCAAGATATTTTTCTTATTTAATTTTTTTCTTCTTTTTTTCAGGGGTGTGCTTGATTGAAAGCGAAAGTGGCAGGAACACGGCGAAGCAAACGCAAAAAGCAAACGGAGGAACTGCCTTGGGACTTTTTCAAGTAGGATTTCTCAAATCGTTTTAACGCGCATTTAGAGTGGGTACATTAGTGGAAAACATTTTTTAGACAAGTAACGGTCGAAAAAACATAATTTTATCATAAATTTTAACACAATGCAAACACGGGAAGTCTGTTGTTCTATTAGATTTGTTCATGAAACGTTAAATTCATTTCTTATGTACATTAATATTAGTTTTAGTTGCTTAGGACCACTTAAAATACTAAACGAAGATTAAACTGACATTTTTACATTAACAATGTCATTTATTCTTCGTTTAGTAATTTAAACTTCGTTTAACACTATGGTTGATCGGTTCTTAATCAAAAGGAAATCATTGTCAGTTGTCAATATCATAAAAGTACTGTTCTGTGTAAAATGCCATTTGTCACGTCAATGTTTTGAGAAGGTGGTCTTTTTGCGATAAGATTGATGTTTAATGGGTTAAAAATACATCCAAGTTTATCGGAAAAATAAAGGAAGTAAAAACATAGTCGTTTAATTATAAAATGTTTCAATAAAGATCTGTATTGGGATTCTAATCTTTCAATTCAGCACGTGTTGAGACGACTATCTTCTTTCCACAGAATGCAATTCGTATGTAATATCTCTCTCTATTGAATTCGTTACCTGTTGAATACGCACATAAGAATCCCTGTCCAGAAATCAGTCACTGAAACCATGATTCTGCGCAGTAGATTAATGGGATTGCCAAATTATACACTGCGTTACAGGCAGCGTTTTGTGATTTGTTTCTGATCGTTGTTGGAACAAATTTCGGAAAAACATAAATAAGCTATTTATGTCGTAATGTAAGGAAAATCTTTTTGTTTCGGTAGAACTAGAATCCTTGTTTCTTTAAAACGAGTGTACATCCAAGGTCGATGATTATTTATCAATTATTTTTTTAAGCGCTTTTGTTTAATTTATTTTATCATTTTGTTCAAAATCGTTACACACGTTTTATATAGGAATTGAAAGATACAATCAAAGGATTAAACAGCACTTTTTTTTAGATAAACAGCAAGGAATGGTGTAAATATGGTTCTCCAGGTGGAAAATGTAATATGAAATGCGAAGGTAACCACCATTTTTAATTCGTCTAAAAATGTTTCTTACAAATCTATTCGTACACTCTTTATGTCAAATTAACCATTTCATTTTTCACCCTTTCACGCATCACTATGCTTACCTCCTGGGGGATCCAAGCATGCTCACCCAATCAGACTTGGGTTTCAGGCTGGTTCTCATCTGCACCTTTATTGACGTACTGTGTTAGTATTTAGATGCCCTGAGTCACTGGCCCATTTAAAGCACCGATCACAGTTAAGCATCATTAATTTAGTCACTGTTTGGAACTCGGGGTCTATTTAGATGGTAAAACGGTTGAGATAATTGAATAGAAAGAAGCTATTTATTAATCTCAATCATTCCAGTATCTAGATAGGCCCCGAGGTTTCATTATTATTATTAAACAGCGTTTGAAAGGCGGAATGATTAATATGAATGAATAGGAAGGAGCTACTCATTCAATTCATCTAAATAAGCCTCGAGCTCACAGAGCTCGGGGACCCATTCAAACACTGACCAGTGTCACTATTATTAACTGTAATTGGTGTTTTAAATCAGTTAAACATCGTTTAGATTGGTCCCCGAGCTCTGCGAGCTCGGGGCCTACCTAGATGGTGGGAATGGTTAATAAGAATGAATAGGAAGAAACCATTCATTTCAATCATGTCACCATCTAGATAAGCCCTGAGCTCTGCGAGCTCGAGCACCTATTAAAACACTGACTGGATTCACTATTATTAACTGTAATCGATGTTTTAAATCTGTTAGACAGCATTTGAATAGATTCCCGAGCTTGCAGAAGAAGGAGCTATTCATTAATTTCAACCATTCTACCATCTAGATAAACCCCGAGATGAATGAATAGCTCCTTCCTATTTATTCATATCAACCATTTCACCATGTAGGTACGCCCCGAGTTCTGCGAGCTCTGGGACTCATTCAAGCATTAGCTGGTTTCACTATTATTAACTGTAATCGGTGCTTTAAATCAGTTAGACAGCGCTTGGATGGGTCCCCGAACTGTATGAGCTCAGGGCTTATATAGATAGTGGAATGATTGAAATAAAGTATCTAGATGTTGGGATGCTTCTTCCTATTCATTCATTTCAACTTATTCTCCCATCTAGAGAGGCTTTGAGCTCTGCGAGCTCGGGGATCCACACAAACACTGACTGGTTTCACTATTATTAACTGTGATCGGTGCTTGAAATCAGCCAAGAACCCAATTCAATACATATTTTCATGGTGAAAATGTGGGAAACTAACATTGTTTTTTCTAAATCGGTTAACTTTCATTACACTCATTGGTTTACCATATATATAAGTCTAATTCTGACTTGGCAAATTACTGTATTAATTAGAGGACGCAGAAAAGATACATGTATCTGAAACGTACAATTTAAACAAGCTCAAATATTAAATCAAAAAAATACCTAATTAAACTGGTTTGTAATATAAGTTGATTAACTGAAATTGGTGCTAATATAGAATTTTAACATTTTAAAATGAAATGAAATGAACCCGAAAGGAAGAAATTAAGAAAATTTAAATTAGAAAATCGTGGGAACTATGAAGTTAAACATTTAAATATTTAAGTGCTTCTTTATAGTGTCTATGAATTGGACATATTATATCGCGACTCCGATAAAATAGAGTTATAAACTTAATTACTAAATATTACACTAAAAAGCAAACTGGTTTCAGTGTTAAACCGTGACATCTGCTATCTAGTGGAGTTACAGATATGACTGTTTAATGCCCTGTTTAATTTTGAGCATTTAGATCAATTTAACTCAAAACCCAAGTTATTCAAGTTATAACTATGTGATCGGATGTGCGATATTTTATATACTTGATTTTCAATTTGAAATTTTGCTTCTAATTTTGTATTTTTTAATAAGGTAACTTTAAATGAAACGTTTCAGAAACACATCTGATAAATAAGTAACAGCTTTCTGTAATATTTAATTGAATATTAGAGGGCGCTTGATTGCTAGTTAATTTTATGTTTTTATAGATCTAACTAACGAAGACATACGAGATGATTCGAGCTGCGCCCAGAAAATACTATCGCAATTGGGTTTCAATGGGTGGGATGGATGGAAAAGGAGTTGCTACGGACGTACATACCCATCAACCATCACTAGTGCATGCGCAAAATAATATTCAGTCATAATTTTACTAAATACATGGGTTTTGCTATAAACATTTTGGAACTTTGTACCTATTATTAAAGGGGTATCATAATAACCAATGTTTTTGTTCGGGGATACCTAATATGCTTTTTAAAAAATAGGATGCTAAATAAATAGATATTTAACGGAAAATATACAGGGTGACAAATATTTTAAATTAATTTTGTAAATAAGCGGAAATAAAAATTATTAAATAATATAAAACGATTTCTATTAACTAAAGGTTGACGAAAACAATCGGTTTCAGCTCGAGAGCCATCTTCAGGCCTAAAGATGGCGCTCGAGCCGAAAACAGTTGACTTCGTTAACTTTTAGTTAATAAAAATCGTTTTATATGGTACTGATTTAGAGATTTTTATTTTCGCTTATAAAAATAGCCACATTTAAGCAGTTGAATAAACTGTACAATTTCTTTTATTTTGTAAATGCTCCAAATTTTGTCTATCCCTGTATATATGTTAAAATGTAAGATATACATGACTAAAATGTTGTATTGGGATTGGAATATAGGGTCAATGACAGCAAACAATAAGTAAAGATCTTAATCTGATCAAAATCATAACAGCAACAGGCTGTTAACGAAATAATGAATTATTTAGAGGTAGCTTTCCATTATATTGATTAAGTCGATTCCTAAAATTAAATCTTTACTGTGTAATTCCATTATCTGGAAACAACTGATCTAGTTAATAAAGTCGGGTTTATAATTAGCTGTCTACATGTTATATTAGATTAATCCTAAAGATGAGAAATATTTATGTATCTCAATATTCTTAAATATTAAACAAACAAGGTATACCCTTTTTTTGTTCTTATTTGAATTGGGACATTAATGTTGGCGAATTAAAATTGGAACATTTTTTTAAAATGTAAGATAAGTATTTTAAAATTTAAAACCGATATTCTAACAAAAAATTAAAATTAAAAAGAAAACTAAAATAAAAAAATTAAAAAGAAAAATAACAATCTTAAAAAAAATAGATTTTTGTTTTCACAACATTCTTATAATCTCTTATTTTTCGGTTTGAATGAATTTACTAAACAAATATTTTTCTTCAATAAAAAATATTGATACATTTTTGTTTTTGTATACAAGAGAAACATTAGAAAATTATAAATTCATGCTTCTGGAAATAAAAGCAAATTGGCAATAAATATTATTAAAACGCCATGCTTCTAAACAAAATACTTCGATGACAGATATTTTCCGATTATAATTCATGCGATTACTCTTCAGATTAATATCGCGCTGAAATATCCTCGATTTAAATAATCCAAATTAACTATCACATCTTTTACAGTAAGATTAAAAAATTTATATGCCAACTTTAGTTATATAAGGGGCCCTTGCCACTGTTTGCCCGGTGGCTCACCATGGCTTTCGGCGGCCCTGCATATATAAATGGTTCTGTCTATATGCAGGCTCCGCTTAGGATACATCTGATTAGAATTGATGTTGTTATTCTATTAAACAAGAAAAACGCAAATTAGGACACATTTAAACGATCAGCCAACAAAATAGATATTTGCATAATGTTTTAGAAACATAGAAAATTATTTAGTTGAGAGATAACTTTCACCATGAACTTTTACTGGAGTGCGTTTAGAAACCACGCACGGCGCGTCTGGACCCTATTCTAATGTATGTGGTGAGACGCGCCGTGCGGGGTTTCTAAACGCACTCCAGATTACATGACAGGTGACATGACAGTCGACAAAATCTGTATAATTTTGATCGCGTATTAATACATTGCGTTCGGTCTGCCAAGTTCCTTCAACTCCTTTAACACTTTTAACTCCAAACGACCCTTTTAGCGTTCGGTTTAGTCCGATTAGTGACAGTTTAACACGCTTAAATGTCATTTAAAAGCACCCTAAAATTTGTCCCGCTCCAGCCCCTGACTATCCGAACTTGCCTATTTTATACGCTAGTTCGGTGTGATGTCATTTTGGTTCCACTGACATTTAATTCTAACCAAACTTTTAACAAAAACCTCAATAAATTTGACATATACCTTTTTACTGTTTTTAGTTTATTTCTAAATATTGTTTACAGGTCATAAAAAATAGTTTAAAGGTATGTAATTGGTAACCGATTGTATATTTATAAAAATCGCAGAGCCGACTAGAGGGGGGGGGGGTAGCCGGGACTAATTCCCGGGGCCCGGACTTAAATGGGGGCCCGGTAGCGCTGTAAGGGGGGCCCGATAACAGCATTTTTTTGTTCTGCATGAGAAATTCGACACAAGATGAGAGTGGGAAGTTAAGTTTCGACTGAGGACTTTTTTTTTAGAAGGAGAAGTAATTGAGGTAGGGAGAATAGTTTTTTTATTTTTTTTTAGAAGAAGAGGTAATTGAGGTAGGGAGAATAGGTTTTTGATGTGAGTGAGAACCTTCTTTTTTTTTTTAGAAGAAGAAGTAATTGAAGTAGGGAGAATAGCTTTTTGATGTGAGGACCTTTTTTTTTTAGAAGAAGAAGAAGAAGCAATTCAAGTAGGGAGAATGGTTTTTTGTTTAGGAAAAATTCTATAATTCTATTTCAGTACAAGAAGAACAGCGTTTGGTTTTTTTTATCACGGGGCCCGATCTACAGAATTGTCCTGGGGCCCGGCCTGGCTCTCAGCGGCCCTGTAAAAGTGAAAAAACGATATAATTTACGTAAACAAAACGAACAAAACGCACTCAAAAAATCTACTGTCACTTTAATTGTCAGTGGAACCTTAAGTCAATTTTAAGCGAATAACCAAAAGCATTTGGTATTTACCATTTGAGGTTGGTAATTACTACAACATTCAAGTGACTTCGGTTATTAATTTGGTAATATATTCGTGACGTCATAAATCAGCTGTTTTTTGTCAAAGTTATAACCAAAATTTTACGGTATTTACCTTCTTCCAGAGCTGTTTTTGATTATTGAGGTATTTTTTAGCGAGTGTTTGGTTTAAAATATTTTCGACTTTTTTAAACCGTTTAAAATTTAGCGATGCAACTATGACGTCACGTACGAAATATTTTAAACCAAAGCTAGAATTTTTGAACCAGTCGGAAGCATATGGTTCAATAACGGTTGACACATAAGAGATTCTGATTTTGGCTGTTGTATGTTGTTTTACTCTGTTCCATTCTTTGAAAATTTTGATATATTTGACGTTTTGTTAGTTGTTATTATCATACATATATTATGTGATTCATATTCATACATTATGTTATAATATTAATATTTATCGTTATATGTTGTAAACATTTTAAACAAGATGTGATCTACCTATAGGTTACTCTGGATTATGAAACAATGATGCAATTGAAATGTTGTAAAAGGATTAATTATCAGTTACCTATACGTTTTTTGCAAAAATAATTACGTAGATTGCTTCAGATTCTGAATTTTCCAGTAAATATTTAAAAGCAATTAAACATTCTTTGGCACAAGACGTTCTAATTGATGAATTTTGGAAAATCCCAAAAAAAATTACAGCAAAGGATCGTCAGACAATTGCGTATTTGTTGGAGCTACGGAATAAATATATGCCATGTTTATGGGCAAGAAATATATCAAAAATAAAACTATAAACAACGTTTTAGATTGCAATTTAATAGTAACACTCCAATTTTTAATTAAAATCGCTATCAAACAAACTCATCTTCCTTCATCTGATTTAACAATCATAAAAAAAATTCTACTCATTTTTTAAATCAACTTCGCTTCTCCTTTCTACAACTTATTTCAACCGGTAATCCATCAAAAAATAATACTATCGAAATCAGAATATTTCAAATTTTGTCATATGTATGAAGACTAGTCTTCATAGTCATATGACAGTTAGCAGGTTATATTTTTAAACCACCCTATTTTTGCCATCTATTAATTCATGACGTCACTTTAAATATGGTTTAAAAAATATTTTAAACCAATGTGGTGGCTAAAAAACAGCTTTAGTTATAGGTAACTGACAGTTACAACTGGAGTGAGTGTTTTGTACCGATTAGTACTATGCAAATAAGGTACTAAACCCGATTTTGTGCCCTTTTTAAACATTAAAATCGTGTTCAAAAGTGGTAAAAGATTATTGGATAAGTTAAAAATGCAAAGGGAAAGACTTCAGAGACTATAATTTCTTCTTTGGATCTTATTCTTTCTTGCAGGACAATAAACAATATAGTTTAAATAAAAATCTATATCACTAATTTATAAACACGACAAAAAAGATAGGTTAAATAGAATTGACATTTGAAAATAAACAAACTTACAACCACGGTTATTACCACTTCGTTCAAGCGAATGCCACTTATGACGTCAGTATACTAACCTCTTCCATAAATTCACGCAATAACCAAGAAATTTTGTGGTAAATACCAAGAAAATTTGGTAGTTCTCTTAAAATTGCATCACTGAACTAGCGTATATACCTCAAAACATTTTTAAATAGTTTATAAACCATATACAGTATGATTCAAAAGAAATTAACCATATATTTGGAAATTTCGTTATTCAGTATTAATGAAAAGTTTCACCTGACTTTTTTAGATCTTTTTAGATTTTATCGATGAAGATATTATCGATGATAGTTCCTGCGCAAAGGTGATATGGGAATTTAAAGGATTTAGAGGCTGGGATGGTTGGATAAGAAGTTGTTACCAAAGGACTTATCAAAATCGAGTGGTAAACCTTTGTTTGCCAAGTACTTTTAAAACGATGTATAAAGAAGGATAATATTTTTATAATATGTAGATGAAGTTATTAAAATATTATATTTTCGTAGAAAATAGACAAATTATAATAATGAAATGAGTTCTATATTAATATTCTTCCTCAAGTAGTGAATCTACAAAATTTTTGGGTTTTTTTTACTAAAAAGAATGTTGGCAGACACTTTTTTAATTTTCCAGGTCAAATACTCGTATTATAATATGAAAGTCAGTCGACGTAACTTAATGAAATTTTCATTAAAAGTTTGTTTTTTTATGAATTCTTCAAAGTTCTACTATTTACGAAATGAAAATCGATTTTCAGATCTTTTGTACCCGCTCTTTGTGATATATGCCTAAAGCTTCGCTTCAACAAAAACTAAATGGGAAAAACACTAAAAAAGGGATCGAATTTTTTAATCATTTTATAGATTTGCATTTTCATGAATATAATAAAATTAACTTTAAAAGGACCAGGATTATGGAGAAATAGGCTTAGACGACCATTTTTGGATATAAAGGGGTTGAAATAGCCAATTTTCTGTATTTTAAAACAGTCATGCTTCTGAACAAAACCCTTTAATCACAGATATTTTCCAAGTATAATTCTATAATGATATGCAATTACTTTTCAAATTAATGTCACGCTGTAATACCCTCGATTTAAATAATCAAAATTAGATTTGGTAGTCATTAATAACATTTTTGCTTTAAAGTATCGAATCAGCAAAATAAAATAAACAAAGTATAATAATGAAATGAGTTCCATATTAATATTCTCATTCCTCCTTGACAAAGATTACCTACCCAAGAACTGAATCTACACAATTTTTCGGCTTTTTTACTTAAAAGAATGTTGGCAGACATTTTTTAATTTTCCAGATTAAATACGCTATTTTAATATGGAAAAGAGTAGACGTTAATTAATGAAAATTTAATTAATTTTTTTTCATGAATTCTTCAAAGGATTTAGAGGTTGGGATGGTTGGACCAATTTTGTAAAATAGACAAAGTATAAAAATGAAATGAGTTTTATATTATTATCCTTTTTCCTTTGCAGATAGGAAATTTCCATACAAAAAGTTTTTGTTCGATTAAATATTATCAAAAATTAAGTAAATAAAATAGAAGAAATTTTATATAAAAATATTTTTCTTCTAGAATAATTTAATTCCACATTTACATAAGCTTTACAATTTATGGAAACCTTTTAAAAATATGTAGAAAATACTATTCTAGATATCGCTCGTTCCAAAACCCCTTTAATAATAAAACTTGATTCTGGGAAATTTCATTTGGACACAATGTTTGTCGCTGCGCATTTCCGGGATTTTTAGTAAATTGTTCATGACATACGACTGTTTCCAAACGCGCAGAAAATTGGAGAATAAAGGGTGACTCATTTAAATATTGAACGAAATAATAATAATAATAATAATAATAATAATAATAATAATAATAATAATAATAATAATAATAATAAAAGATCATGTATTAAAGTTTAGATAATTGGCTACTCACCATCTAAAAACGGATTTTCTGGATCGATGGTCGCCCAAAGTTGACCAACAATAAATGGCGTTGAGCAAATTATGTACATCACAATTACAGCGATAGTCTGTTTAACTGTATTTATTTTTGCACGTGATATGAAAGGAGTCCTTTTATTCGAATTTTTTTGGGAACTGCGAGGCCTCAGACTGGATTCCGAACTTTGCCAGATTTCTTTGCAGATGCAGGTGTAAGTGTATACTAGAACTATCAGTGGAACTATAAATATTGAGACGCTGTACCTATAAAAAAAAGAGATATAAATTTTTATTGATTATTAGTAACATTTATTCATCCTGTTAGATATTATAAAAATTATAGGACAAGTTAGGTTTACATAGCTTAATATTTAGAAATTAAAATTTAAAGAACGGTGAAATTTAAACAAATAATAATAATAATAATAATAATAATAGACGTTCAAGAGGGGGTGGGTGGCTCAGTGGTAGAGTCTCTGCCTGTGGATCCAAGGGTCCCAGGTTCGAATCCCACCGTTGGCCGGAATTTTTTCATTTAATTTAATTATTTAAAATTAATTCTGATGCCTTGGTAGGATCCCCACTCGACCATTCACTGTTGGGTTCTAATTAACAGTGCTGTTCCTAAAGTGGCGCTGGGAAACAGTAACAAAGCCTACACATAACACGAGGCGAAATAACCTTACCAGTTGAAGCCGATGACACACCAAAAAAAAAAAAATAATAGACGTGTGAACAATAGTGTTAAGTCTTCATTTATTTAATATATTTATTATTATTATTTATTCATTGTAGTATCGTTTTGATTAGTGCAAATTATACATGCTCGTGTTAAAAATTGTAATTCGGTGCTCCCGGAATATTGAAATACCAGTCCTTAAATGCAATCTACACCCTTCAGAGTACCATCACAGCTTATACAATACAGCTAAAACACTCTCTTGGCGGCAACGGTTTGCGTCGATTTCGTCGCGCATCGCTTAAGCCCCGCCTTCGAAGGGAAAAGACGGTTTTGGTGTTCAGAAGCGTACTTAGGTAAGGTGTTGAGTCGTGCGTATAATTTCGTTGATTGTATAATTTCGTGGAGCCTATAATTTCGTTGATTGTATAATTTCGTGGAGCTTATAATTTCGTTGATTTTGTTTGAGTTAAAGGTACTGTTATTATTTTGGTGACTCTTTAGCTATGAGTAGAATGAGTGAAAAAAAAAAGACATCATTCTGTTTGTGCAGTCAAAAGCTGTTTTAATAAGGGTTATACCTGCAAGAAAACATTCTTTAGTTTTCCCAAGGACCCAAACCGATAAGTTTTACATTATAAGAAATTTTCATTGTTAAAAATATAATTTATACAGGGTATCCCATTAGTGCGTTATTGTTCATTATTTTGTTGTAGACACGCAAGAAAGTTTTAAATAAAAGTTATATGGATTTGAAAATTACCTACATATTTTAAAAATATCTTTGGCTATACAGGGTGTCACGTTTTTGCCTGGCAAATTAAAGTGTATGTTTTTTAAATGGAACACCTTGTATTTTATTTTATGATAAAATTATTAACACCCTAAATTATTGTAAAGACGAATTGATGCAGAAAAATTTTATCAGGTATGTGTGTGGTTACCTTTTAATAAAAGCCTTGCGGATCCACTCCTCTGCGATACCTGTCTTAAATATAACAAAGATCACGTTGAATTAGATGATTTTTCTTTTAATTGCTTTTTAAAGGCATATGATAACGCCAATCCAGATACATTTGGAAATCTGCAACTGTCAAATGATGAATTTGTAGAACTAATATTCAATATTGAAAAGATATTTCAAAATAATTTTGAAGAATTGGCTACAAAAAATAACATTTGTACCACACTTTTAGAATTAATTAATTAATTAATTTAATTACGAGTATTAAAACTAAAGTCCTGAAAGTTTCGGTGAAGATGAGGACAGAGCATCTGCCTTCCACGCGAAAAGCCCGGGATCGAATCTAGGCCGAGGACTAATTAATTTTTCATGTTAATTTTATTTTAAAAATTAGTCAACTTCGTAAATTATTTTAAAATTAGTTATTTTGTCTAAATAACCTAAAATAATTTTCGTTAGTGGGTCGTAGAAAAAATATACTGACCATATCGAGTGGATTGTTCATATCACAATCAGACGATTGAGTACTCCGCATACGACGTCGTGCTCAAACTTCGTCTTTGTGTGATATTGCTATCATATCCACCCTTGTTGAACAAACTATAATTTATTTGTTTTCTTGGTTTAAACCAAAACTTAAGTTTTACATCAAAAATAGGAACTAAATTAATTTACTTTTCAAGTTTTCTTGTAAAAATCGATATTACTTTCTCCAAGTACAAATTTAGTACCTACCTAAAATAAGTACTAATTATGTAATATCGTGTAATATTGTAATTCAAATTTCACATTACTATAAAGTTTCAAAATTCCCTACTTCGGTATGGTCAGATAAAAATTGAATATATTATATTAATAAAAACTGTCAAAGTATTACTTCTACAAATCTGTATTTCAATTAATAAGAATACATCTAAATATAACCAATATTGTTAAAATAAAAGCACAAATTCTTTATAATTCCAAAATACCATAGAGTTCCCAGACCTCAGTCGAAGCATTCGTTTATCTAGGTATAAACCCTTTGCGCGAAGAGTAACACTTGCCACTTGCCACTTGATTTGCATCCACGAGCGTGACACAATTCTTTAACAATTGAAGCCCTTGGTGTAAAAAGGATCCAAGCCACAATTTGTCGTGAAGTGACTGTTTTAGCTCAAAACATTTGTTAACGAGGATTTTACTAGCCACATACAAATTATTTTACCTCTAATCCGAAAGATGTGCTATTTTTCGTAATATTTATATTTAAATAATGTTTCTAATTATATTTGACAGATTTAAAACAAATTAAAAATTTAATTTCCCAAAACTTACTTAATATGGCATGTAACCAACCTTATTACGCCAAGGTTTTCAATTTTTTCAATAATAAAAAAATTGTTTAATCCGGGCCCGACTTTTCCCTCGAATCTAATAGAGATAGCACCATTCCGTCTTGCTTGGTTCTCGACCGCCAGATCAAAGACGCCGACACGGAGTTGTGGAGCTGTATTGTATAAGCTGTGGTACCATACTGGAATCTTAGCCATAACCTTTTCAAATAGTAAGATAATTGTCTTGCAGATATTCTTCAATATTGTAGAAGTTCTGTGTACAGGTAGATATACTTTTCCTGGGGCCCGGCCTAGCTCTCGGCGGCCCTGGAGTTTTGTTATTAAAACTGCACCGAAAGTTGTAAATAATTTTCATATTCTGGTTGGAAAGGTGAGTCTATTCTATTTATTCAAGTTGAACTTGTCTGATCATTTAAATATCCAATCATTAAATTTATCATTTGGCAACTACGTAAATTTCCGAAATCAAATTGCCTGAACTTATTTTTTGTTGTAAATCTTTAAACTACTTAATGGAATTTTTTTTTTAGTAATTAGTTGTATATAATATGTACATATTGTATTGATTCTTTTCTGTAATATAATTTTTTATTTCAGGTAAAACATCCATCGAGGGCAAATGTTTATTGTAGGTACATGCATGGCTGGCAGGGCCGACTAGAGGGGTGAGGGTGGGGCAGCGGTATAAGGGGGGCCCGGAAGCGATGGTGTTGTTACTTTCAGAAGTTCGACAGAAGAGGGGGGAAGTTATTACTGGAAGACCTTTTTTTTAGAGAAATTTAAGTAGAGGAAGAGAAATTTTTGCTTGAAGACCTTTTATTATTTAATTTTTAATAAAATTGTCGCGGAGCCCGATCTAGAGAATTGTCCTGGGGCCCTGTCTGGCTCACGGCGGCCCTGATGGCTGGTAACTGAAGTTTGTAGTCCATGTTACTGCTGTATATGCCAATTAGGAAAATTAGACATTTCATGTACCGATGTTTTTTGTTGTCATGTATAGGGCATTAAAAAATAAATAATAATAAAAGTATGACATTTCATTTACAAAATAAATTAAATATAAGCAATTATATCAAAAAGGGCCCACCTTGATTTGTTGAACCTATAAAAAAATACCTCATTACTGTATATACATTTCAAATAATTTTTGCTAATAAGTCGATCTACCTATATGACAACATTAAATTTGTATATTTATTAATTTCCAATACAAAATATATCATTCCTATAAAAGAATTACTGTATGTAGTTTGTCTCATGGAGGAAGGTTTTTTCCACAAGGTAATACTAGACAAATTTTATTAATACATAAAAATAATTCAAACTCAAAATGAATATTAGCAATGACCAAAAATGTATAACACCTAAGTACCTACATAAAAAATACTTTGTAAAAAAATAAGTAAAGCATTAGATAGGGTTTATTTTAACAATTTTCGTTTTTTTTTAATAAAACGTTATCATTTCTTATCTCACAGCAAGAAGCCTGTAAATTTTAAAAGGCATAACAGCAATTTTTTTGTTATTTTTTATGTAGAATAACAACAGTAAAATTGTAGTAAAAGTAAAACAATAACATAATAAAAAAATGTATTAAAAATAAGTGAAATAACATATTTTATGTTTATTTATTAAAAATTAGAAAAGCGATATAAAACTTGTTTTAGTGGGCTGGTTTTCTATATTTTAGTTTTTAAATCGAAATAGAACTGTTGACGTGACTTGTTCATGTTATGCTTGGCTTTCAATACTGGTACTTCAAATTAAGTAAGTTTTTTCACTAGCCCATATTTATATAACACTCTTTTTTGATAAAATGCTTTGCATCAGATCACGTTTTCTTTTAAAGCGGGACATTCTTGCATTATTTAGGGACAATGGTACACATAACTTGAAAGTGGGTTTGTCTCATAGAAATAATATAGAAGACCAATATAAACATAACATTTAAGCAGAAATTGAAACCTACTGTGCATAAAAACGCGTCTCTGCGCCTGACATCGCAAAATAGTGTGTCTAGAAGCTTGCGCAATATGCATGACTTGTCCCTGTAGTGTTGCCAAATATATTGAACATACCTAACAGAAAAGAATTTTAAATTAATTAATTTTTAAATTATATGATTTAAACAGTTTATATCTATGAAATATCGCCACAAAATAACTTATAAACATTTAAATAATCAACTAATAATATTTATGTGTAATTACATTCCCAAAAATATATACAAATACCGTATTAATGTCATTAATACCGTATTTTTAATGTTCAGTAAGCGATTCAC